AAAATCGACGAAAGAACCATGATAGGGAAGTTCAACATAACCAAACTTGCAAAGAAAGATAAAATTTTGCTCGGATTCCCATGGTTAAAAGCACTAAATCCAATGATCAACTGGACAAGTAAAGAACTGTCCCTTCCATCAAACGAGCAATCACTCCAGCTCGAGAAGAAGATCGATCGATCCAGAAAAAGGCACGGTCTTTTGCCGCTATTCACCTCTCACACCACTCCACTCGAAAAAGAAGTGTCTCGTGAATGGAAGAATTCCAAGTTGAAAAAAACCCCTGCAGCACCTGTTTACCCTCGAGCTTCCGTGGAGGAAGTTACTGAAGAAGAACTCCCCCGCCTTGTACCGGATCAAGATGAACCGGACTATGACACTAAAGAAGACGTATGGTCAGAAAATTACGCACCACCGGTCGTCAACCCCTCCCTCTATCCTTTAAACGATGAAGACATCTTAATTGAATACTCCCCAGATGGTTCCCAAGTCAGAGTAATCTCCGACATTTCTTTCGACACCCCTCTCACGAAGGATGGTACTTCTAAACAAGAGCAAAAATACTCGAAGACTAGCAATAAAGCTCAAGAATTTGCTATTGCCGGAGAGAAAGAAAAAATGAAGAAAACTTTCGAGGAACTCGTCCCATCCTATCTACACACCTATGCCGACATTTTTGCAAAAGACGGTCTCAATAAACTACCCCCAGAACGACCTGGTATAGATCATTGGATTGATCTAAAACCCGGATTCTTACCACGAACGTCCAAAATCTACCCACTGTCAGGAAAGGAAAGGGAAGCAGTGAAAACTTTCATCAAAGAGAACACGGAGAAAGGATTCATTATACCTTCGAAGTCCCCACAAGCCAGTGGATTCTTCTTCGTAGGAAAGAAAAGCGGTGAACTTCGCCCCTGCCAGGACTACCAGTATCTCAATGACTGGACCGTCCGCAACCAGTACCCGCTCCCTCTCCCAAAGACCCTTATCGAACGGCTCTACAAAGCCCAATATTTCACCAAGATTGATATACGTTCTGGCTATAACAACATCAGAATTCATCCCGATGATAGATGGAAAGCCGCTTTCACAACCGAGGAAGGCCTGTTCGAACCTACTGTCATGTTCTTCAGACTGACGAACTCCCCCGCCACTTTCCAGTCCTACATGAATAACCGCTTCCAAAACGAAATAAATGAAGGATGGATCGTCATATACATGGACGACCTACTCATCTTTTCCTCGGATCTTTCAGAACATCGCGAACGAACCAAAAGAGTATTAGAAGTTCTTCGCAAGGAACAGCTGTTCGTAAAACCGGAAAAATGCACTTTCGATGCAAAAGAAGTGCAATACCTCGAGATGGTTATTCGTCCAGGAGAAGTAGCCATGGAACACGCCAAGGTTGACGGAATAAAGGACTGGCCAACTCCAACCTCTGTAAAAGATGTTCGCTCCTTCCTTGGATTTTGCAACTTTTACAGAGCATTCGTATCTCACTACTCCGACATCGCCTGACCACTTATCAATCTCACTCGAAAGGATCAAGTTTTTGCTTGGACCGCCGATTCTCAAGACTCTTTCGATAAGCTCAAACACTGTTTCACGACAAAGCCTGTGCTACGCAACCCTGACCCTACGTGTCAGTTTGCCCTTGCTATGGACGCTTCTCTTGTAGCAACTGGAGCCATACTTCTCCAGACGGATGAAAATGGCGTTTATCATCCTTGCGAATACATTTCGCAATCCTTCAACCCCACCGAACGGAATTATGAAATCTTCGACCGCGAGCTACTCGCTATTATACGCGCTCTCAATGAATGGCGTCATTATTTAGAAGGGAACCCTCATCCCATTCTCGTCTTCACGGATCATTTAAATCTCCTCTACTTCTCGAAAGCACAGAAGCTTTCTCGGAGACAAGCGCATTGGCAGCTCGTTCTGTCCAATTACGATTTAGGATTGCACCACGTACCAGGCACTAAACTTGCCGTGCCTGACGCCCTTTCCCGACGACCAGATCATGGCCTCGGGGCACACGACAATGAAGATCGCGTACTCCTCCCTGACTCTATGTTCATCAGGTTGCTCGACGAGCTTTCCACCGCCCTTGCCGCGAACTCTCTAGACGACCCGATCTTCTCTACCGCTAGCGATGCCCTGGACGGGCTTTGTTTACCACCGATGAAATCGGCCCTCTCTGATTGGAAAATCTCTGAAGGGGTACTTTATTATAAAGCCTGCGCCTACGTCCCGCCCTCGCATAGATCAGCCGTGTTGCTGCGGCACCATGACCATCCCATGGCCGGCCATCCCGGTCGGTTTAAAACTGAAGAACTCGTCAAACGTGACTATTGGTGGCCCGCTATGGGCACCTTCATTCGCTCCTACGTCGCTGGGTGTGCCCTCTGTCAGCAGATGAAGGCCGACACTCACCCTGTTACCCCCCCTCTTGTTCCCATCCCCTCCTCCGCTACGCGACCCTTTTCCCAGGTCTCTGTCGACTTGGTCACCGACCTTCCTGTCTCCAATGGTTTTGATTCCCTTATGGTCGTGGTCGACCATGGCCTTATGAAGGGGGTGATTATTTCTCCTTGTAACAAGAACATCTCTTCTGAAGGAGTGGCTAAACTATTTTTCAAAAATGTGTTTAAGTGTTTCGGACTTCACGAGAAAGTGATCTCAGACCGAGGACCCCAGTTTATATCGAAGTTCTCGAGAGAATTAGCACGCCTTCTAGGATACCAAATCGCCACCTCCACGGCGTACCACCCGCAGACTGATGGACAGACAGAACGACTCAATCAAGAAATAGAAACATATCTTCGCATATACTGCAGGAGTAATCCCTACGAATGGTCAGATCACCTACCTCTCGCTGAATTTGTGCACAATCATTGGAAACATGAAGCGAGGAATGCATCTCCGTTCTTCCTCATGATGGGATACGAACCTCGCGGTATTCCCCATGTACTGTCGTCATCCGACACACCTGCCATAGAAGAAAGAGTCCGTGCCCTACAGAAGATCAGAGAAGAAGCTATTTCCTGTCACAATATCGCTATGCAGCGAATGGCAGAAAGAACGCATAAAAAGAAGTACCTGCCATGGAAGATAGGAGATAAGGTCTGGTTATCCGCAGCTAATCTCATGACTACTCTTCCATCCAGAAAGCTTGCGCCCAAACGACACGGACCATTCCCCATAACCGCAGTCTTATCGCCAATCACGTTCACACTGAAACTTCCTGAACAATGGAAAGTTCACCCCACATTCCATGCTTCCGAACTATCCTCCTATCAAGAGACAGAAATCCACGGGCCGAACTACGAAGAACCACCTCCGGATATAGTCAATCAAATAGAAGAATACGAAGTTGAAGCCATCCTGAGTCACAAGGGTACGGGTAAACGAAGACGCTATCTCGTGTCCTGGAAAGGATACTCTTCTGGAAGCAACGAATGGATTCCAGCGGAAAATATGGAAAACGCCGAAGACCTCCTTACCACATATAAAAGGAGGCACAGGTTGAACTAGGTTGATCAGTTCCCACTTTTACAAAAACATGTCTTCCCAACAAAACTCCTCTCCTACTGAATCCAGCACCTCCATCCTCAGCGAATCCCCATTTTCCAACAATGTTGTCAGCATTGAAGATGACATCATCGTCAAGACCACCATCTTTTCCATTGCCCACGCCCTCGAGATCGAAACATATCTTAACGCCCAACCAGCAGTCCCAGCCGGCGTCGCCGCCACCTATATCCACATCATCAGAGCCACCCAACACCTTGAGGAAGAATTTGCCCACATATCAAACGACGCCCTCTGACTCTCCTGCAACCACGTCCAGCAGTGCATTCGCTCGCTTATGCTTCAGCTATTCCCTCTTGGTTTTAGCACTATCTGCAAGAAAATTATACAGACTGTTGCTGATCGAAACTCCTTCGAAGTCGGCCGCCCGCTGCCTCCTTTTACTCATACTCCCCCCGCTGTTCTACCTGATCCAACTTCGATTGGAGGGAACGCTCTCCCAGTACCTGTCCCAGCGCCCAACGAAGTCTATAGAAGAAAGCTCCGCAACAGAGCCATCGTTCACGGCGTAACCAAGAACAAATCATCCAAAGGAAAGAAACGCGAGGTCATCGACCTCACTAAGGAATCTTCCCCTGCACCCGCCTCCAGTATCACCATTAGAACCCCCTCACTAAAGCAGATCGTCGGCACTATCGCCGACGCCAATTTCATTTGCTGACTTTGCAAGAAGCTCGGTCACAAGCACAAGAATTGCCCCTTGTATTACTGCCACTTCTGTGGCGACACGAAGCCTGGACATTTCTCCATTTACTGCCCCTTCGACACCAACAAGCCTGACTTTCCGTTGGTTTACACCGACGAGGGCTTCTACGACGTGTTAGCCACGTGGGAAGCAGAAAAGGATAAGAAGGAAGAAGAGGATCTTGAGCGCGCCAATAGGGAGTACTTGGTGCAGCCGGAGGAACTAGAGTTCCACAATGCCGACGCTGACCCCATCTACTACGCAAACCAGGACAACTAGTGACGTCGAAGCCGGTGACATCGACCATAATACGGGGGTAATGTTACGGTATACCTATTCCCCTAACTTTTCCTTCGTTACCAGACAGTGGTCCTTTGTCATATCCGCTACTGAACGTCCGATTACTTTCCAAACCCTTACTCACATTATCGCCAAGCTCACTTTCCGTTCCAGTAACCGTCACCATGCATAGCCCTTATCTCTTATCAAGTGGGCTGTCCGCATCATGTTTGTTATCTCTTATCAAAGCGGGCTGTCTGCCTTCTATCTTGATACGCCATTTACAAGCTCCGCTTGAACACTCGCTATTTAGACACATAGCGTACCACTTGTATTCCTTACTTTAATCTACTGGGTTTTACCTGGAACATAGTCCTTTAGTAAGGCCTCCAACCTTGCTATCTAAAGAACCATTATTCTAAGGGAGTCGCCGATACTCGCCTTAGCCAGAAACCTTTGACCTCTCAATCGAGAGAAGAACCATGTCTGTCTCGCCGAATCTCAGTCCACTCGGACTAAGACAGCTCGACCTATCCCAGTCGTAACAGGTACCCTCAAAGTGATCCAACTGTGAGTCTGCAGCAGCGAAGGACATCACCTCTCTGCTATATGCGGCGACACCTAAATTAATGTCGTCTCTGGTCTGATTCTTGGTACACTTGATGATTTCTCCAATCGAGGTGTCCAAGGGTTCTAAAGCAGCATTTGCGTATATTTCACCTTCATCCTCAAGAACCATGTGAAGTAACCTCAAGCATTGAGCTGTTGCATTGATTTCATGAGCTCTTGCCAGAGCACGTACACACCTGAATTCAACCTCAGCGTGCATCGTGACAACAGCTTGAGCCACGGCCTCGGGAGACAACTGCTGCAAGTCATCCTCAAGCTCAACGTTGCCCTAGTATGAAAGTGTGTCAATAAACAATGCACAAACAATATATAGATAAACATGCCTCAGGAAGGACTACCTGACTCGCAGAGTTGTCAGGACATGATTGATTTTCAAGAAAAAGGGAACCGAGTGCGTCGGCAACATCCCTCTGATAAGGCTTGGGGTCCGTCTTTGCGCGCTTCACAAAACGAGATAACTGGCATAGTATTGGAGGAGGGGTTATTGGTTCAGTTATACCATCATCAGATGAATCATATGTTGAGTCAAGTGATCGTGACCTTGCATGTTTCAAGGTGGTGTGTACATTTCGTGAGGGAGGACGACTCGGAGTCATATTGTTGAGAGCAGGGGGGCTATCCTGCTCGAGTTTGTGCAAAAGGCCAGCGGTATGTTGCCTAAGTTCATCCTTGCCCTCATAGTCAGGAGTAGATCCCCTGGTAGAGTTTGGAGGAGTGTGGAAGTGCATGTTCATGTTGCTCCATATGCTCGTATGGGCTGGCGAAGCAAGTGGGAAATAACTGAGTTTGAAAAGCTGAGGCGCTTTTGAACATAAACCGTATTAATACCTAGATACTTGTCAGCGAACTTCCGGATTGCCATAAGTTCAAGGTACTATATGCGACGTTACCGCCCGAAAAAGTAATGAACTTGAAATGCGGATACCATGCAAACGGAGGAGACGAGTCTGGCTGTTCTGATACGGTCAGAGTTTTGATATCGGGTCTCAATGCCTCATGAGGTTTCAGAACTTCTTCTGAGATCTCATGAGACATTATATGTCTGTCAAAGCCGCAGAGGAGATATGATTAAGTCAATCGGCGGGTTTGATTGTGCTACAGAATGCTACAGAGCGTTGTGTTGCACTCTGTAGTGAATTACGTTTCCCTGATGCGGCCGCCGGCCAATGTCACCTCATTTACCAAGGTCACCCCATTCAGACCTCCCATCAGGAAAAGCACCGAGTAATTTCCATGAGTTTCTGTTGGTGGTTATCTTTAGATAATTAGGTACATGTTGCAACACTATGATCCATGTCTTGACTTCATGTCACTACCACTCTAACATGGACTCGGAGCCGCTAACTTCCGACTGTCAACTACTAGTACGTGGCCGACTCGCCATTTCAAGCCATTCAAATTTCAGCGGCAACTGAAGCTTAACCGTGCCATTGGACTTGATCACTAGGCTACTCGGAGCATGAGCCCACATCGAACAGCCGCAGCGGCTAGAAGCTTCTGCCACTGTGGCATCTCATCCAATGCCAAGCCTACCGTGACTGCCACTCAAACACTCACAAGCTGCACCGCCATTGGAGATATCAAATACAAGGACGTGGCCAATTTGGGCGAGGGTTATGTGAGTACTGTGTATTTGGAGTGCCCGGCTTGATGTACTGATTTGTTTATTCCCTATCAGTCAAAGGGCCCCTTAATTCATCCGACCCTGGGCCCTGAGGCCTGAGGGTCTACCAGGATTTGTTACAGGCATCCGTAACACCTACAGGAGCCCCAGCTCTGCCTACACCAGCCTCCGCCCTGCTAGACTCTGAACGCAGCGGAACACCGCCTGCACTTAGAAAGACAGCAGTCTGGACCGCTGTGACACCACCCCTGGCGCTGTGACACCGCCCCTGGCCTTGTACCTGATCCATGGAGGCTGTACGCCTCATGGTCACCCTAGATCAGCGCATGTATACCACATGTCGCTTCATGAAGATCCAGAGCGCCCTTGGCGCCTCATGTACTTATGCGCAGTCGCACTTGGTGCTGCATGCTTGATCAGAGGTTAAGCCTCATGTACCTTATCTGACCTCATGTCTTGTTATCATAGATCCTAGATATACTATAGATTACAGACTGAGCTTGAACACTTACATGTAGCACATATAAGTAGACAGATTATTGTACTTAGACTTTACTTTAATCTACTAGGTTCATCCCAGAACTTGTTCAGCTAAGCCTCCCAGCTCAGCTGCCTAAGACCGCACTTCTAAGTCGCTCCCCGCTTCTTAGCCGTATCCGCTAGCCCTATATCTCGACGAGCACCGTCTTACCGAGATCACCGGAGGAACCCTTGACATTCCGTCAAGCTGAGAACCACCCTCAGCTTCAGTAGACTCACTCGAGTCGTCGCTGAGAAGACCTATCCTAGTTCGCACACGCCAACTGACGGTCAGCGTAACAGGATTGACATCTCCACCCCCCTGCCCCATCATCCTTACCCGAACACTACACGGACACCAGCACCTGTGTTCAGGAAGACGTATATGACTTCGACATGTACTATGCCTCGCACTCACCCCTTGCGCAAAGCCCCTTTGTTGCTCAAATTTCCCTGATTGCGCCATCACAAATCAAACAGATATGAAAACAGGCTAGAGTCAGGCATGTCCGCATCCACATGGAAATTATTAGCACGATTTTCTAGGCCACAAGCTCTCATCGACACTTCCCTATCTTTGTCGCTTCCTCAAGCTTTGCCAGATCTTCGAGGACTTGAAGTATTTCTTCCGTGAGTCTTTTAAGTTTTTGATGCCCTGGGAGTGGCTTTTTCACATAGCTGTTTCATGTGTCCGTCCGCAGGGTGCTGCAAAAATTAAGTGGTTTCATTTCGACTACTAGTAGTACTTTGCGCTAACCTTTTCACCCAGAATTTATGCACATCCTAAAATGTGCAGGAGAAAGATCAGTACATGATGCTAACACAGGTGGCCTTGTCAGAATTCTTCATCCACAGCCCTGTCATGCTCTACAACCGTTCTGCGTTGACCTTGTACTTGTCCTGTTGTGTGGATGTAAATGCAGCTTACTCGAAGCAGAAGCTGAATTCATCTGTAGTGCTGCTCAACTGTCTTTGCTTTTCCTTTCTCATTTGCATGTCTTTTCCACCCTATCGCCTGTTTTTTTATTCTCCTGTATTTTTCACTGTTTTCATTGTTATTTGCCCTGCATATTTTCCCCTGCCCATCGATTCCCGATTTCGTATCATTTTCGCTTGCCCTATTAATTGGACTAATTCCCGCTTTGCGATGTCACCAGTTCCTGTCCACTGTTCACGGTCGTCACAATTCAATTAAGAAATAGATGAGATATGTTGTCACATGCCACAATCATTATCTAAGTGAATCACGAGGCAAGGCAAAATCAATTCAAAGCGGTGTCGGCGCAACCGCCATTACATCAATAAAAGCTGACTAGTGCTTACTAACTCAATCAAGTGGAGCATTGCATGATCGTTAGCCGCCATCTAGAACTGGTGGTAGTATTCGGGGTCATTGAACTATGGATGAAACCCCAAAAACCTACTACCTCAAGGTGACAGAGATTACTCTAGGGTATTGGTGACTAGAATGTCTGGAAGGCAACCCTGACAATCAAACGCTTCCTGCCCAGTCTGGCCACATCAGGCTGGGGTCAGGTGGTTAGATGAGGTAAGTGAAGATCAAATTTCCACCACGTCCTTTCGAGCCATGACACCGGCATGAGCCAGAAATTGTGATGGAACTTGGACAACTCGGACAAGTTGGACCAATTCATTAGAACCTAACCCTCTGCCAGTGGCAGTGATAAATTGAGTTTTGATCTGCGACATTACTACTACTACTATTTCTTCGACAAAGTTTATCCGAGTCATCATCCCAACCTCACTGGTCACGTCGAGTCAACCATAGAATGGCAGACTCCCAGGCATGGCAAGCCCAATTCGGTCACCAGCCTTGGTTTGATCCCCAAACTTCAACCCATGGATTGCAGCTGCAGTCACAGCCTGATCTTGACCTGATAACCGTACCAGGCAACGGTGACAGTGATCCTCAGACCGACCAAGGTAAGTTTTCAGGTGATCAATCGGGTTTTTTCTGCAGTTTCAACTTTAATCCAGGGCTGTATCATGTCAACTACTCGATGCCGCAATCGCAGACACTTACTCGTGGCAGCCGCGGTCACCCAGGCTTTAACTCTGAAGCGTCCATGTCACAGCCAGAGTCGACGCAACCTGAAGGCCAGAACTCAGGGCTAATCATCCTGTCACTGCCCCAGTGGCAGCCAATGGTGCCAGCACAATTTGGAGGCTTGAATCCAAGGCCAGTCCCACAGCTAGTGCCTGCCCAACTTGAAGTCTCATTGAACTTAGGGCGATTCCCCCCCTTGCTGCCGCAGTGGCACCCACAATTTGAAGGCCCAAGCTCAGGGATAATACCCCCCTCGCTACCCCAGTGGCAAGCGCCCGTACCACAATCAGCGCCTGTGCAATACGGAAGCTCGAGCTTGGGGCTCCCCCCCTCACAGCCGCAGTTGCAGGCACCGCCGTCGTTCGACTCTCAACATTTTCACCCCTGTTTTTCCTTGTCCGACACCCACAGCTCGGAGCCCCCCATCACTACTTTTCAGGCAAATATAACCGAAAATTTGGGCCACGTCAGAAGCATCCGTACAAGTCATAAGCGTGATAGCCAATGGTTCACAGCTTTTGGTGATACAAAGCATGCACACCCCACAGGAACACATGGGGCATCCAAAATGGAACCCGTCACTATAGCACCGGATGTACTCAAGAACAAGAAGAAGCTGGCTCATAGCAGCATGATGCAGAGGGTCTTTGAGATGGGCCTTTTCCCCACCCCGGATGAAATTACTACGACGGTGAATGCAGCACTTGATACTGCGATTGGTTCTGATGGTATTTACTTTCTACCAATTTCTTGTTGCGTGACTTATCAATGAAGAAACAGTGGGCCTCAATGCATGGAAAATGACACATGAGGGTCAACTTTTCATCGGCAGATTGAAGGGAATCGTGAAGAATATTCACTCTGACTTTCAGAAGGCAGTACCGACCGTTGTACTTGCATCAAACCAATCTTTGGCCGAACTGTTGATGACCAACGCAGACATGCAAGCATCGCAAAATGCTAGGTTTGGCAATCTGGTGGAAAACACTTCATCCTTTGATGTAAATATTCGTGTAAGCAACTTATTTTAACAATCACATTTCCTCTGACATCTTGTGATTATTTCAGTGGCCTGTGGAAGACGGTCATGTCGAATCAGTCCATGCGCCGTTGGCACACTCTTCAGTCACTGCCCTACTGGAATATATGCTAGTAACAAAGAAATACTTGGATTATCTTCGCACGAACACAGGTAACTGGAAAACTCATTTTGGACACGCCTTCACCTTTTCAGCTGCAATATGTTGTTTGGAGTTAGAGAAACTCTCACATGCAGGCTGGGAAAATGCAGTTGCCAACGACTTTCCGATTAACAGAGTTAAGGCAGTGTATGATCAGTATGTGGACTACATTTCTTCCTTGGTCGGTGATCGAAAGTCGATCTTTGATCAAATGTTGTCTGGGATGTACCGAAAAGCTTGATCAAGCAGTATCTGACACATGATGTAATCTGGGTGTACTATAAATTGCTAGTAGTAATGCCAAAGTTCATTTCTCATCCGTTGGCCGAATTAGTACCAATCGTAGCAGTGTCATCAATTAGGATCAAAACTCTCTTCCCACTAGTGTTGCTGTCGAACCGAGGTGACCTCAAGGTGAGTTCAATTTGGTTTGAAAATGAGGCAGTTCAATACCACTCTATTAGGAACGAACTGCCAAATGAAATGCTAAATCTCGCCTGTGATTTGGTGATTCATTAGAGTAGTACTTACTACTCGCATCTCTAGCATTTCCTTAATTACTCTGCTCCTCCGTTGCCCATCCTCAAACCTTCGCTGCTACTAGCACCGTCTCCTGTGCAGCTCAGGCTTAAGCTCACACAGGTCAAGCATCATCAGTCACACACGCGCACATGACTGTTTGCTTCTGGGAGGTCACGGTGAGCTCTACTTTTCCTTCACATAACGAAGGAAGGCACTGAGGTCAATTTCAGCGCATGGAAAGAGTCTATCCACTCGTTGCTATGGATGTCACGGTCATGCCAGCTCAGGCATCCTGTGCTGTACGAACGTGTATTTTCATCCAGCAAAGAAACATGCACACTCCATCAAAGCAGACTCTCACCACGAGTAATGGAAGCACTCCATTGCAAAAGAGGATGACTAGTACTCATGGAGGACGTTGGAACGTGGACTCGTTTTACAAGCACATGATCAACATCGACCCAATGTGTGTCACGGTGAACCGAATTTCACGCTGGCTGCTAACTCGGAAGTGAAGACTATAAATGGGATGCATGTTCTTTGCACTATTCCGAACTGGATGTTGTCGCTCAAAAAGTGCTAAGGGTATGCTTTATGAAATTCCATTTTCAGTGTCTACTCAGCATATGAAGCTGATGTTTATTAGCCGTTACTTGTGTACACCTTTCCATTCTAGGCGAGCGATTTTCTGAGCGCCGATCCTGGATAAGCATTAAATAAAGCGGAAACTGCACGAAGTCCAACTCATCCCTAGTCTCCTACGTTCTCCCTTATTCCTCTTTTTCCTTCTTGCTCTTAAAGCTCATGTCCCAGGCGGAGGACAACGTGCGGCCTGGTGCACTGTCTCAGACCCCTCAGCCTGCCACAGCATCATCCCAGGCCCCCCAGCCTGCCGCAGCATCGTCCATAGCAGTGCCGACATCTGAGAATGCTCGACAGCAACGGAGGATTGCCGATTTGGAGGAGAAGTTACAGGTGCTTGAGGCGGGGCAGGCGGTGAAAAAAAGGTACGAACTCTATTGCTAGTAGCCTCTATGCTGTACGCTCACTATTGTCAGGGAAACAAACTATATGATGTCCCAAGGATGAGCTATCAGACGGATAGTTACATTATTTGACAGCATCGAGGACTTAATAAGCGAGAATGATAGGCGGTGCAATAACGACGATGACGACAACGTCACTGTGGAGTCAATATTTTACTTCTTCCGCCTCACGAGAGTCACTTACAGGTTTGTTGACAGTCAGGATCATTTGCAACTCGGATACATAGTCCTTAACAATGTCCTCCCATGGTTTCACCGAAAGGCCTCGGACATGGAGTACGATGATTACACACACATGTTGAAAATGGTGAGCTTTGCTAGTGTCAACAATTCGCCTTGTGCTCAATCGCTATCCAGCTTAGACAGGGGGCCGATGGTGCTCGAGGAGACGACACCTCAAAACTGAAGAGTCTCGTCCCTGAATGGGTCAACCACGACTTCAAGCCCGATCCTCCAGTCGACCCCAAAGATAAATTCTGCCGTGGATTTACCAACGACACATGCGGCAGACTACTCTGCCCATCAGAGTTAGACTGGAATAATCCAACATAATCAACTCCACTCAGAATCTCTTGAGACACTAACTGTTCACTAGTGTCAGAGCTGGAATTAGGGATCGCGTAGATGGCCATGTCGTGACTGAAATGTCCTGGCCAGCATTCCTATATGCTGGATATACCGCCGATCAGAATAATTTCGAGGAGGGTCTCTTTAAAAGCAAGTTGCTGGTTCAGGTTCGTCATACGTGAATAACTCTACAAAGATCTCATTTCTGGCAGGCATTCAAAGCCCACAGGTTCCTGTCATATTTATGCATCAAATCCTTATAATTGTAGCACTAATATGATGCATCATCACTACAATCCTAAGCCCACCAAGTACTGTGCATCACTGATGCATTATTCCCTCAGCTCATGCATTACTCATGCATTGCCCACCGCATTTTTAGCCACCTACTGTGGGAATTTCTCCACAACACTTAAAATAGATTGCTCCTCATATCAGGGCCTTCCCCACACCGCATTTTTGGCCACCTACCGTGGGAATTACCCCACAACACCAAAAACATCGCCCATTTTGGGAATCTCCACAATATTAATTATTCCCACACCCTTCCCACCTCACTGCAGCTTCACCACTACACCACAATAGGTCCCCCTTCATATATAAGTAGTATATTAGTATATATATGTATAACATAATATAATAGACCACTTTTTTTGCTCATTTGTATGCCTGCTCCTCCTCCAGGGGCAATTCAACATATGGTAGGATATAGAACACTTTCGCACTTTTTCCCCTTTGGCAGGGAAGTGTTCTGGGGCATTCAGAACATGTTTAGTAATATATATGAATGTATTCCCATCTTTATTTGACCCTCTAAAGTGCCCTACATCAATAGGTATAGTGTATGTATGGGAAAACACAAAATAGGTTCGCATTTTTTGGTTTCTAGCTATATGAACTTGAAAGAATTGTCCCCAACATCTATTAAATAGTAGGAAAAATGTATCAGGAGCTCAGGACCACAAGGAAAGATCTTGTTGTGCAGTGCATCCATCCTCTCCTGGTGGTTTACCCCTTGTGAAACTTTTTCCTGTAGGACTGGACCTTAATTGAGGCAGGGAATATATTTCTATGTATATTTGGAGTAAATGTATTATATAGCTAGCCCAGGACACACATAGGATCCTTCTACAGGAACAAAAATATAGAAAATCGCATTTTTGACATTTTTGACATTTTTCAGCATCTTACCCTTGCATCTATGATCCAACCTGTTCATATATCATTAGTAGTACATTCAAATATGTGTTTCATGTCAAGGATCAGCTAGATATAGGGCGGAAATTTGAGATATAATGTAAAGGGGTGTTTCTATTGATTAGATGCCTATATGATAGCAAAGCCTGTGATAAGTGATCAGAGACCTGGGATACCTCTCATATATGTCCCTCATGATCATCACGTCGCACAATCAGCATTGAGACAGCAAATGTAAAATATGTCAAAAGGACGACTCCGCTCATAACATTGAGAAAAGTCAGAATACTTGAGCCTTCTATGCACATGTCTATAATTACAAGGAGGCTCGGAGATGATAGCCATTTTGGAATACATCAAACTGAGGGCCCTGTTTATGGGAGATGGAAAAGTCAGGATATCATCTCGGTCTATAGATAGGTGAGCAACTGCAAAAGTAAGGCGGAGCGACGTCGCTACAATACCTAATGTTGCCCAATAAGAACTTTGTCGTTGGATGGAGGAGCTAGACCACCGAGGTCGCAAATGGACGCATATAAAATTCCTATCCTATGGTGCAAAACTACGCGATGATGCTAATGTGTGGCGCAATATCTATGATGCCCGTTGAATGTTAAGCAAGGTATACAGGTGAACCATTACTCACTGCTTACGACTCTCGCGCCAAGGTACTGCACCATAAAGGTACAGCGTCTGCGCGATGCAGCGGCCGCCTTGGGACATGTTGCAACTCACAAAAGGTCGCATGAAGATTTGAAGTAAGGCATACATAGACTCTCCTGTGCTTGGCGAACACATATCAGCTGCTATGCAATAGTACCGATTGTATTGATGGGTGATACAACATATAGGATGCTTATTAAATGGTAAATGATATTTCAAGGCAAGCCATGACTAACCGTCATTGAGCCCCGAACCAAGATACTAAACCATAAAGATACAGCATTCGTGCCAAGCTATAAACTCTTGGGAAGTAGTACAAGTGGACTCCAGCTGTCAGTCGTTAGAAACTCGCAGAAGATTGCGTAGGAAGTTAAAGCAGGACATAGGTTGATTGTTGCTCGCTGGATGAACACACCTTGGCTAGTGTGGCAAGGTATCACTTCTTCCCACGGATTCCCCATCAATATAAAGCAGACTATCATTGGAGAATGTAAGAAGTAGTAGAATGTACTGACATTGTAGTCGTCTTCCTCTTACATGAGATGGTCAGAGCAGATGATTGAAAACCTGCAGTAGCAAATCATTGATTCCCGCTCGACCAGGGTGCAAATCGTCACTTCCATGAGGGAACAAGCAATTCTGTATGAAGTAGTCATAAATTCTCGGACAGAGTGAAACTATACATTTAAAACAGACAGTCAAAAGTTCTGAGGACACCTGTACTTGCTGGGCTTAAGCATAAAACTGTCTGATTAGACACACACCTTTATGCAAAAATGCATCTAATCCTCGATATTAAGCATCACCGCCGAGATAACTGTACTACAGCGTGATAGTGTTTGATCAAGCATCACCATACAGACCGCGCTGACATCAGGCCTTGCACTACCTAATCTTGCCCAGATCTTGCCCAATCTTGCCCGGATCTCGAGCAGTGTTCTGGATCTGTGTTCCTGATCTTGTCAGTGTCCTACTCTTCTCATACATCAAACAGAAGCCATCAAAACAGGTTAATATGTAAGCATGAATATTCTATGGGGCGACAGGCGACGGTAACTGCAGGTACGGGGGTCAGCCGCCAGTGCTTTGCACATATGTCCAGCACACATCAGTGAATGCTGACGTGACTCGAACATATGTGGATGGCACTAGAAGGAGGAGTGGAGGCACAGGCGAGTGCAGACATGTGCAGACAGGTTGAAGTGAGCCACACGCGTGATGTTGGAAACAAAACACATACCTTGTCCAACAAACATATCAGTGCCCCACCCAGAGTTGAGTCCACATGAGCGCAAACAAGTGTAAACGAGCACGAACAACTTCGAACAAGTGAGAACAAGCGCAAATGAGCAAGAACAAGCGGCGGTGCGCTTGAGCTCAGATAGACTTGTGCCTAGGACAAACAAGCATTTTGAGAATTAGATGTGCAGAATGATACAAATGACACAGACCTTTCATAACATCTTCGTTTATGAAGAAGTGTTGCTAACAATCTGTTGATGCAAATGAATGAACATTGAAATTGGTTAAAAGTTGAAGCTTCACGTGAGGTCACTCACCATAACAGTTGGACTTAAATGGGACACTCGCTGTACCAGCACTTCGGGACAAATGAATGCGGGCAAGATCACATCTTTTCGAGCTTTCTGCAGTTATTGTGATGATGAAAATATCATTTCATACATTATATACAATGACATAGTAAAAAGAGGTAGGGCAGGACGACACAGACTATCACAACTATGGATCACCACTCGCTAACCATGCACGCACTCATTAACTGTACAGTAGGGTTCCCATGCATCGGCGTATAGGTGCCTGAACGTTTGGATCTGACAAGAGTCAGGAAAGCTATTATTGGAACACATCGGGGGGAGAGAAGCTGCAAAGGGGAAGGAAGAAGCTGCAAAGGGCAGGGAGAAGCCGCAAAGGGGGAAAGGGCCGTTTTATCCTACCAAAAAAGGGATTTTATGCATGACGAGAAGCTTTAAGCATCATCGCAGACATGAGAAGCTTGAAGCATAAAGCAGGCATGTGGAAGAAGCCTTTAAGCATCAAGATACAAACATCAGGGAACTAGACAGTTTAAGCATAAAGGTCTGTGTCTAATCAGACACCTTTATGCTTAAATCTGACACTATCATCAGTGAACACCTGAGTCCTTGATATTGTAGCCGTGCGAATTACATGAGGGCTGAATTATTTTACTGCCAAACATGACCTTGTATACTACGAGAAATTTGATTTGTTCGTAGCTAGTCATGTATACCTACCACTATAGACCGGCAAGAGGAGTTCGTGTCAAAGTCATGAGATATCATCAATGCAAGCAGCAAGGGATGCGAGCGCCCTCTTGTCGTTGTCGTTGGACAATCTCACTTGACATCATTTGTGCTTCATATTAGAATGCTATTCAAGACTTTCCCAAGGACAGTTGTTTTAGTACGGGCTAGCAAGGGTAGATTCATGTGTTAATTCGTGACAAAATCATGAGACATCACCACCGCAGGCAGCAAGGGATGGGTGTGTATTCCCGTTGACATTGTTGAGCATCCTCGGTTGCAATAACTTGGGTGTCAAATTGCAATGCCATCCAAGACATTCCAAAGCACACTCACTGTGGCACAGGTCAATAGGTGTGCATTCGTGTGCTGCTTTACAATGAAATTATTGGATGGCAGCCACAAATACAGTGCGAGCTAACGGCACATTCCTATCAACCTCTTCGAAATTTCTTATTTCGCATAGTTCGTGTCCTAAGTTAAAATGTTATCCAGGACCTTCTAGTAAGAACTACCTTTGGCCATTGTTAATGCATGTTGAATAACATTCAACCTCGTTTGAAAATTGTGATGTTCCGCCATCACCGCAGGAAAGAAACAAGAGCAGACACCTCCGAACATTGTTGACTGTTCTAGGTTTGAGCTTTCAAGGTCTTTCACGCATGAAAGGGAATCGCAGAGTACTATAGAATTGATACGAAACACAGATGAAATTGAGTGTAGTTTTACCGGACGCCGTGTGTCAAGAGAGACCGAGTGTAGACAGCGAGTTGATTGTATGTGTGGGATGAACAATGTATGAATGAGATAGACTAAGTGGAATTGGCAGACGAGAAGTTGGTAGAACATGATTTGAATGTACGCTACTAGTAGTACCATTCATAAAGCACAGCCGCTAGTAAATGCGGTGTTTCCGAATATTGAATTCAGACTTGCGAGGAGGAGGCTGAGAGACGGGACGCTGCTTGCGCTTGGGATGTCCACGAGAAATGGTAGACGATTCTTGAAAGTCAGCGTCATCTGATCCCAAAGACTCGGAGAGAGATGGGGAATACGAGGGATCCCGTGTACATTTTCCGGCTTTAATCTCCTGGGGCTCGGTTTCGACTTTGATATTGTTGTGCCAAGCTACGTATCGAGCGTAAGAGGTTGATTGTACCGCACCATTCAATGATGAGACAGCATCATCCCAATCGATTGAAAAAGTTACTTGAGCTTCTTCAAGGGGTGTGACGTCGACGGTCTCATCGAGCCGTTGAGTGAAATCGACAAACATGTCTTTGGCCTTTTCCAACCCTCGTTGGATCATATTCATGACGGCGTCCATGCTGATCTCAGGGAACAACATCTGTATATGATCAGAGACTTTCGAGTCAGCAACTTTGATTGTTTGATATGGAGGAAAAATGTACGCCACGTGCCATATGTTCATCATCATGATCATCAAGATTTATCTGTGCTTCACCATCTGGCTTTATCCACACCATATACTCCACCGAGCTGAGATAACACCAATCATAACCTGCGATCTTGACAGGTTCGCCGAGTGGGACTTCCTCAGTGACGAATTGGTTGCGAGGCATGGGTCTCTCTGAAGTTGAGAGAGTCTCTGACGCGATGGAGCCTTCCCGCGGACTCTGGTACGGCTTCACCTCACGAACTATCGCTAAGATGGCCACAGCAACCTCCGGATTAGCCCCGATAATTCTCCCCATTCTGTCCAAGGTGCTGGCCACAGTGATTGAGCATGCGCACTCTCTGATAAGCGGAAGCAACAGCTCATTGACGAGCCCTTTCGCTTTCATCATCGTGATGGACATATCAGGTGTGACTGATCTACCCGGGATCTCTGACACTAAGTTCATGTTGACGTCTGAGCAAATGAGTTTGTGATTGTAAGAAAGAAGTTTCAATGTAGAAACAAAGGAGTCCTTGAGTTTGCTAAATGGCGCTTCATGGATGGTATTAGGCATGTCGACAAGGAGGACGCGCTCAATATAGTCGTAAGTCAGCCTTTAACTTCCCAGTTAGTACATCACCAGAAACGGAATAATGAACGTGCCTGGGCTTTACTCGGCCCCTCTCTTCCAGCATGCTTTGTAACATATTGTATTCCCGCGCCTCAACACTGTGAAATTCCTGTGAGATTTAGTAAGCATGGGAGTTTCGGCCTTGAATTAGTTCAGAATACTATCACACACACCATGACATGGCCAGTCTGCGAATTCCCTTTGATTATTTCTTTCAGTATCCTTCGCCCGTCTTCAAATATCGATCAGAATAGTTAACTATTGATTCTCATACAACATACTTGAGGTAAGGTGATGATTCGAACGATGCAGGTCGTTATCATGATCATGGTCAAACAAAGGATTTGCCGGGACCATAGCCACAGCAGAAGCTTGTGGTAGCTTGAGGATCTTGTTCTTTTCAGTCTCACGGATGCCAAGTGGTAAGGATGTCTTTGACTCGGAGGTGATTGTTGTAGACTCAGTTCCAATACCCAGCGGTCTGAAAACTGGGGTGGCTGATTTCACCAGATAATGATTGGGGTGGCCATTTTCAGTCTTTGGCTTCCAAGTCATAGTCTGAGGTGTTCCCTGTAGAGTGGTGTTGGTTTTAGTTTCATAGTGTCTGTGGGGAGTATGGCAGGCATGGCTAGTGTTAGCCAGAGTCAGAGTCGACATGACTGTTCGATGTCACTAGTGTGACATAGGTATTGTCACAAGATAAATTGTGATATACTCAATATAGTGATTTGGCAAATGCCGCGCAGACTGAGGTACTGATATAGAAATGTATGGACTACTGGAGTATGATGCAGTAGGATGATGATATATAGAGATGCATGCACTATTGGAGCATGGTAAGTACAATAAATGAATAGGGATGGTCTGAGAGGGATTCATGTGTATAGGAGGTTGAGATTCTTTGGGAGGTAGTAGTACTAATTCGCCAGACTCAGACCCGGACTTGGAAGAGTGAGAATGACCAGTCAAGTTGGGAGATGTGGTGGACATAGCGAGGATCAGCGTGAGAGAGGAGTATGAGGTGAAGGGAATGAGTAAAAGAGCGAGGTATGATACATTAGCCTAGTAGGATGATGATAAGAGCACTATATCGTGTCCTCTTTCCTTCTGTACCTCTCCGCTCAAACAAGGTTATAGCCTTGGTAGCTTCAGGCTTCAAAGTTTCTTTCCCTTGAACATGTGCTACTCATCGACAGTGCACTGGCATGCAGCCCGGTTCATCAAGGCCAAAGAATTCGAAGTTGGGACCGTGACTTGTAGTACCAGATACCTCACAGCCACTGATAAATGCGCGATCGGTTATATAAAGCAGCTGGTACATGTGGGCAATGTAGTAAACTATCATGAGGTTGCATGATGGTTCTGGTCGAAGGGACTTCACGGAAGAACAAACTAAGTCTACTGAAAGTCCTACGGCGGAAACAAGTGACTAACCAAATGAGGTATTTACTATAAACAGATTGGGAGACTACCAAACGAGTGAAAAAAGAAGGAAGACTCGCGAGCCTTAGATGAGTAGTCGCCCGAGAATGAACAAATAACTAGTGCTCCTCTGGCCAGTTGATAAAGTCCATCAAATCTGGGTCTGATTCCATCACGGTTGACGTTGGAACAGCTGCAGCCACAGCCATTGCGCCAACTGCCTCTGAGTGGGACTTGGCATGACAATGACAATGACAACACAAGTCAACGTTGACCAATGGTTCTGAGCTACGTTTCGCGGGATGCTCGACCTCAGGCTTGTCCTTGGCACGGGATGAAGTGGACACCGTCATCCTGTCATTGACAGCGGGGCCTGCAAAGAAATCAACGCCATCGTTGAAACTTGTAGATAGAAAGCTCACCTGCATGGGGACCATCGAAGCTGTGATAAACAAACCGGTCAAGTTTGAGAGCATTCTGGTGTTGTTTGTGACGACCCTTCGATGGGTCGACAAACTGAAACTTGGAAGGTTTCTCTACTACTAGAAGGTCAATGATTGTAGTACTATTGAGCAAAATGCACACACCCAGTGTAAAGAGTAGATTCTATGTGGGCGCTACAAAAGTGTTACCTTAAGACTCAGAGTGCGAGTGAGATGTTCATCCCAAAGAGACTGCCTATAGAAATGCTCCTTGTTATAAAGCAAGGGATATCTTGTTAAGATCAAGGATGAGAGAAAGGAAAGTTACCAAGAGCACGCTCAATGTTCCGAGGATGCGTCCGAAGTGGTCCGAAAGTGGTCCGAAGACGGTCCGACGTCAAGAAACGAAGGTCCGAGGTTGCGCGAGGTGTCCGAAGAGCTTCCGATGAACAGTGAGTGTTCCGAGAGGAGTACGGCGGGTGTATCGATGTATAAGACTCACGAAGTAAAACTAAGCAAAGTCTATCGGAAAGAACTTAGAGACAGCGAGTAGCGAAATGGCAGCAGTCAGGCCAAACAATCGTTCCGAATGAACAAAAGATCGATTGCGCGAAGTACAACTATCCGAAAGTGACTCTACTAACTATGACTCGTAGCAGGGAAAGTGAAGTGAAGTGCGAGTAGCTAGCGAGGCAGATTATATCCTATAGCGTGAAAGTCCGGAAACTGCGTAGGCAAAACTAGTAGCGAGATAAGACATCCGAAATGTCATAAGACTCGAGGCGAGCCGCTACAGAGATATGCATGTAATAAGGCGCAAGGCGTGTAGTTATGCGTATAATCGACGGGCCGACAACATATGTGCCCCTAGACATAATCAATAACAGATAACCAAGTGAAAAACGCACCAGCGAAGTCAAATGGACACGGACGGAACATGGTAAGGAGGATCGGAACTGTATACAGGCCTCGGGAACAGACGGACGACCTTCGGATGACTCGGATGAGTGCGCAGAACTCTCGGAAGGTAAGTGGAGTGTCAAGGAACATGTGTGTGGGATACCTATGGATTTGGCAGGATACGAGTCCAATGCCGATCCAAGTCGACACAAGGCGGCATAGGCTCTTATATTGACTCAAACTCGAGTTTTATGACTAAATTGCTAACCGAGTGCAACATGAGTGGTCGGTTAAGTCCCCAAGAAAGTTTTGAGGATGTTCGTTGATTACTAGACCTCAAGAAAACGTTGTAGCAGCGCAGCCAGCATTCGAGGACGACGACATAACACGGAGATGTTAGACCTCACTCCGGTCATCTGGATCATGGTTTGTTCGGTCTCAGTGAAAACATCAAGAATTTTATTACATAATCAAAACAACATACTGCAACCAAGAATTTGCTCGCACTGTTCAGAAGAAATTTTTTATGCGTGGTCGTTAGTCCTAATTACATTAATTGTACCAGCATCTCTGAGAGGTCGCTGACATACTAACCCATCATCAAATGCTCCTTGGTCCATAATACTAATTGCAACTCGGAGAAGCCTCCGAGAAATCCAACTGCCATATTGATTCGTGTTCATAAAATATTAGGTCGACAGGCTTTCATATATAATTAGTCTATATCCCCCAACTATACCCTGGACCACATCGCACATGATTTGCGTGTCAAAAGCCCGATTTCTAGAATCTTAAAAGGCGCCACATCGGGTGTTTGAGGCTCTGTCATCATATTTCTATAAGCTGTTCGCTTGAACAAGTGAAAATTTTACCTTGACAGGTACTCTTGCTTTTCGTGAGGTTGTGGGAAGGCAATTAACTGGGAAAATGACAAAGTCGAGTCAAAACAATGAGGTAGGCAAATAACTTATGATGAATTCCAAGCGAGAATACCGAGGGTAGGATAGACTCTGGAATCTGTAGCTACAGTCAGCGAGGTGCTATTAATAGGATTTAGAAGGTACAAGAGTTATGTACCCCCCCGCGACCCTCCGAAGGGTATCATCCTTGCCTCTAGGAACCAAGACTGGCACGTCAGCATAGTTGTATACAGTAGACTTTACATTGTATAAATTGGTTAGGATGAATCTACCCAAACTTGTGAGCAAAATTCAGGACAGCAGGAAAGACATAAGTACCAAATTATCGTTGCCATCAAGGATCGATAGTGCCTCTTTGGCAGCAGGCAGAGGGTTCTCCCCACGAAGAACAGCATCCTGGGAAAAGTTTTAAAAAACCACAGTAAGTCCTTGAACCATTATAATTGAGGATTGTAGTGGCCAGTAGAGTTCGCGCGATGCCGGCGAACAGTGAATCTGACATCATCTGCCTGAAATCAACAGAAACCATAGGTGAGAGCATGGTCGATAGAGCATTTGAAATGAACGTGCAAGCATCCGGCTTGCATGGATATCAACACACTTAATCAAACTGTTCGAACGGGCAATTATTTCAGGGGTGATACCATGCTTACCTGGACCATCAGGATGGGTGCCATGCATAAGAAGGATGCAAACGATGCTTGTGTGACCGTTTGTAACAGCGAAATAGGCAGAGTCATACGGTATTTGCGGGGAAGTCTGTAAACAGTATACATGATCAGAATCATGAATTAATACAAAAACTTACCCTGATGCATCGACACCTGTTGCCTTGATGAAAAGATCGACTACGAGAATACTACCACCTGCACAAGTAACAGCTGTGCTGAACCGTACAAAGAACCTTGAATTGCATGACAGCACATCCCACAAACTGATAGTACCTGATGTGAACGATTTGTCAAGAGACATAGTGGACTACGATATTGAGTAACACACCGTCTCAGGCCGGAAGCTCGCGCACTTGGAAGACCTAAGTGAGATGAAGTCCAAGATGGAGAAGAAGCTTGTGGAAGGCCATCGGATGACCTGGGTTACATGAACTTCACAATGAAGCAGAAGCTCACGGGGGGCCAGATGACCCGGGTTACATGAACTTCACAGTGGAGCAGAGGCTTGTGGGATGCAGATGCATACAAACTTCACAATGGAGCAGAAGCTCGCGGGAGGCCAGATGACCTGGGTTAGATGAATTTCACAGTGGAGCAGAGGTTCGCGGTGAAGGTTCAACGATACTGCGAGGCACGAACAATGCTCCTGACTGTATCTATAAATGTTGTAAGGTCGCGCGTTGCCTAGTCTGCTATACTTGAGACGACAAGTGCATTCGACCCTAAAGGGGAAGCGAGTGCAGCAAGGATCTAGTAGTAGGCGCCGAAGGTGCTACTGGTTGGTGAATGCGAAGCGCAGGAAAGCGCGAGGCGCGAGAATGCGCGAAGTGTGGGAATGCGCACGCGTGTATGCGGAAACAAGTGAGAGTAAGAGTGAGTTTGCTTAAGTGATGATTAGACACTTGACAAGAGGTGAGAGATGCAAGCTGAGAGATGTTATATGCGAGGTGCCAAGGAATAGATTTCAACTATGCTCTGCTGGGTAGTAAATGGGTATCATTTTGGTTCAGTCCTCTGTCATTCTTGGTGGGTGAGTAAGTGAGTAATAGTATGTACTGCTGGCGCTTAAGTATGGCGCCTAAGCGCTGTCATGCGGAGCCGAAGTGCTACCGAGTAAGGTATGTAAGGATATATGTAAGTAAGGGTCCATGATAAAAATAAAGATGGAACGATATGCAAATGTGAGAAATGGAAATATACGCACTAGGGAACTTGGTGGACAGTGGATGGATGCTTCTGGATGGCTGGCGCTATAGGGCGCTCAAGCGCGGGAAAGCTCGCGCGCATATACATCGTGAAGCGCGGGAAGTTCCGCGCACATTGCGCGATGCACGGGAAAGCTGCGCCTCATGTAGGAATAGCTGTAGGAAGCATACAGAGTGATGCTACAAGTTCGTGCTGTATACTCCTTGGTGAAAACTGCAATATTGCACAAGGAGAGGCATGAGTCTCTACAGCGGGATGCAGATGCATACGAACTTCACAATGGAGCAGAAGCTCGCAGGAGGCCAGATGACCCAGGTTGGACGAATTTCACAATAGAGCAGAAGCTCGCAGGAGGCCAGGTGACTTGGGTTGCATGAACTCATGAAGCAGAAGCTTGGAGAATGTCAGATGACACCGTCACTCGGAGTTACTCATCAACTCATTCAAGAATCAACACTGAATAACAATTCCCACAGCTTACTAAGAGTATGACAGACTCATTTACATAAGTCATCAATCCTGGGAGCTCTATCCGCAGCTTCGAGATGCACTATGCACCCATGGCTTTCTCTACGCTATCAATCATGGTTATACACAAGCTCAGGTACGGCCCATTCTTGTCACCCATGCTCAAAGGTTTCTGAATCAATGTTGTAGCATGACAGGATCTTCAACATAGCTGGCATTCCTTTTAACAACGTGTCTCCAGATGAAAAGAAGATGTACGCCGATATCGAGAAAGTCGGGTATTACGCAGGTTATAAACCTCGTCAATTCTGGGTCCGTCGTTTCCACAAATGACATCATGAGTGCAACTTATTGCTCTTATTCAGAAAGTCGACACGGATAATCAAATTCTCGATCAGATTCTCCATCCGATCCTTCGGTCAGTTCTACTGCAAGTCCCTTCTCAATGTTTTAGCTTACGAGCACCATTATACAGCTTGATTGTGTTAAGCCTCGAGCTGCCCGAGGAGACTTTGGTGGAAAAACACAATTTTGATCGAACGGGAGAAACCTCTGGTTAGTCTTTCTCCTCATGCATGCAGTCCTATATCCATGAAGATATTCGCAGTCAGGTTCATAAAATAGTAAAACCCTTCTTTTCGCAACCGTTCCTTAACTTACGAACTGTCATCAAGCTACAGGTGCTCAAATGACGAAGAAGAAAAATCAAAGAATGTCTGGTTGAAGGGACACACAGGTACACTTGATACCTCTTTTACTTCAAACTTGTCTCCTGAATCGTGCAGACATCGGCAGCATCACCGTTCTATGGAGCCAGCCTATTGGGGGCCTGCAAATCATGGCTCCTGACAGCAAATGGAAATGGGTTCGACACATTGACGATGGTTTGATATGCTCATGAAGCTACGGTGATACCTCAAACCTGATGTTCCGCCACAGGTCATCGATACAGGTGGATACTGCAAGCCTACGATCCACTGTGTCATCCAGCCCCCCCCCCCCCCTCAGACCAATGTGCCTACGACCGTTTGGGTGCATACTATTTCGCGATGCCAGACAACGACATTCGTTTGCTGCCATGTGCTGAAAGCCCTGTGTTAAAGCGACAGTGTCTTGATGACGATTCGTCATTGTGCGAGACATGGAGGAAGGAAAGGACAATGTTGTATGGGAGGACTGGTCTCAAGAGTGGGGTAGAACGTGGTGTTGAGGAGGAGGTCATCGAGGGGATCGTGGTGAAGCATTATAATTGAGCATGTGGAATAATTATGTATTAGTATGATTGGCTGACGAACTGGAAGTCATTTCACTAGTTTCCGTCATTGACATTGACTTTATTAGAAGCAAAGACCTCGCCCCTACCTGATCTGTATTCGAATAAGAGAAGCACAAATGGATGTTTCAGAAGCACATCAAAGTCATATACTAAACTCACGGATCAAGGTCCCATGAATCATTAGTTTCATCGTCGCTCCAATTTGCAAGCCATAAACACTGGGATCGGTATACAACTCAAGTTATTCAAAAAGACAGATGGTCATCCTCATCGAACTCCCACTCGTCTTCGTCTTCGCACTCATCACCTTCACCCTCACCATCGCATCATTGAATATTGCTCTCCCAAACCTCCTCTTCATCATTCATATCGTCATCCGAGTCTGGGGAGTTGTCAGCCAGCTCCGCATTGGCGCAGTCTCTTGTCATTTCTCGCACGGCAGCAGGATGGCCGACTCCGTAGTGCGTATAACGCACAAACATGTCACGATTGACGAATCTGGGGGATAAACAGCTCTAGTAAGTATGAGATGGAGAATGGGGCTTACATTCCAACATAGTATGCTTCCCAGTCGTCTGATTCATCATTTTGACGTGCGAATGACGTTCCATGGCAGAGAGAAGTTGTTCCACGGCCATAAGCAAAAGCTGGAATTAAATGTGTGCTTCGGATGACCTGACCTGGATCAAGAAAACCGAATGCATCACGGTCGGACTCTTCGACAAAAGCAACCTGCGGAAGTCGAGTGCAGTGAATCCCTGACTGGTAGTCGGTCAAGGGTGCCAACCATCTGACATAAAGAACTTCCATTTGGTGTTTCTTCATCGAACCCCCAGCATTGAGCCATATATCCATGTGATAAATGCCCAGAACACGGGCATACCAATAGGGATGACGAGGCCTCGTTTCCCCAGATTGGACCATGATGTCAGGATGTGTCCTAGGATTGATGGTATCGTACCCCCGTCATAGGTCATAAGTCGTGTAATGTACCTGTAAAGTTGAAGGATCATATCCTAGCAAAATATGCAATACACACAACATACCTGCATTGTTTGGACAGAGTATATTTTGTTGTCTGGGATGATGACCATATTGCGCTCGTTGTCGGTAAAAGTATGATCACAGTGACTGACATCTAACCCTCGAAGTCGATACAGTATATGATCCTTGAGTTTTGGTATGAATTCCTGCAACTTATCATAAGCAAGATTAACAATGCAGAGAGTAGTACCTACTGCTACAGCTGGATCGTTTTCATGCTGTTGCAGAAATCTGAAAATATATAAAGGATTGTTGCAGTTAAGTGTCGGTATATAGTGATGATCCTTGAGATCTCCAGGCAAGTCGGTTGGTGTCTGCTTGCTAATGCACAAATTGGGTCCTGTTTCTGCCACGCGCCGAAGGATACGTCGATGACACTCATGCCTAGCAAGTTGAGACGGGGTGTCTAGTTTGTTGGTTAACGGATAGAACACTTTCAGTGCTCTATGTGCCAACTCTCCCTGGCCCAAAATCATGATGAGTTAAGAAAGTTTGACAGAATTTCACGTACGATTTGTGTGGTGAAGGAGTCCGTTGTCCCAAAGAGCCGGATAGAACACACGTAATCTCCCATGGCATGAAATTTATACGTGCTTAAATTGAACTTCTTAGTGTTTCGACCACCACTTCCAGAGTCCGGATTGTTGGGACCTGAGTGCTCACGCGCAATCTTGCGCTCGCGAGCAGCTTTTTCTTTTGGTAGCTCCATCATGGTAAAGGCAGCACACGTGAAGTCGCTGAACTTGCGCAACTGACGAGAGAGTTTTTTGAATGTCTCATCCAGAGCCAATAAAGTGGTTTCGGAGTGCATCCGGAGTTTCGCAAGGGCATGCCAATGCGCAAATCTATACAGAAGCGATTGTATGATGACATCATGGTCCCTTGGGAAAAGCCCTTCGAAGACTGGTATAGCACACTAGGATGGGTATTAACGACACATATTAGCACAAGAAGCAACAAGATAAACCTGTAAAATGTCTTCGAAATCTCGTGCTGCAAGTTTTTTCATTTCCGAGGTGTTATTCGTAAATCTGCGAATGATACCATTGCCATATGATGGAACATCACGAAATCTAAACTCAATAGCATCAGTTTCATAATTAGAAAGACAAATGTCATGGTAAAATGAACCTGCTATCAAGTTGTGCAACAAGACCTTCACCACCAGGAAGTGCATAAAGTAGGCGAATAAGATGTGTAAACAGCGCCTTCCATGTGCCTATCTCAATTTCATGCATGAAATCAACGACGAGCATGCGAAAAGCATCGAATCCTAACGGACCAAGTTTTTCTACAAATACATTCTGGTCGAGAATGAGACAGTACATTGATATGATTCATTCTGAAGTCCTCACCATAGTTGGCACCCATGATCCTTCTCCAAGGACTGTCTGAACTTTCGAGCCGTTAACAGTATACCCAGATCCATAGATGAATTTGCAAGCCTCAGTCACCCTCGCAAGAGAGTAAGCTCGGAGGTTGGCTATGCGATCTCGCATGTCGCTGAAGAGGCCCAATAAATTGAATGAGGCCTTCGGCATGAGACACCGTGGACACGGGCAAGAACCCATATCTTTAATTGTTGCTATTAGAACCCTAGAATGGTGATTACTTGTCAATGTGAAATGAAGAAGATAAAGAGCGCACTTATCTGGGTAATCCACCAAATAAGTGAAGATTCTTGGAAAGACCCTTCTGAGTATCCCATCTGGACACTGAAGGACGATTCCATGACGGTATGCATGAAGAAACTCAGGATCCAATAAGATATTCCAACAAGCATGAAATAGCTCCCGTTGACAATGCGTATTGAGAGCTGCGATTCTGCTTTTCGATATCCCAGGTAGATTGCTCAAAATATCCTTGACACGGTCTGGAAGCTTGAAAAGGATGTCCATTGATAGGGTCACAAGATATAGTAAGTAAGCGACATACCGAAGGCAAAAATCCCGCAAGATGGCATGCACCAGATGTGGGTGCTGAACGTACATACTTGCTCAAATTTCCGAAGTATAATTAAAGAGGCCAGGCTTTAGCCGTTCCGAAATTTGCAAGGTGAGTTGCATCAGAGAATAACATGAGTCCGGCGACAACACGTTCGAGGGTGCAACCACGTTCTTTCGGCTGCTTCTGGAGGTCGTCCTGAGCTTCTAGCCAGGTGTCAGAGGTATAGAGCTCGTCGAAAATGTGTTCTTCATGATTGTCCAGAGGATCCTTCCATAAGCGCTTGAAAGGAGAAATATGATATGCGTTGGCTTGAATATCGGCAAATGCAGCATGAATGACAGCTACAAGTGGTCGATAATGAAATCCCGCGATGTTAAATGGTCTGGGTTAATTATCCTTCGACTTTGTAGGAATATCAATGTGAACATCTGTCTCAACCCAATCATCAGGAAAAGTGACTGTCCCCTTGCCTCCATCGTTGTCCAGTGCACGCAAACACCTCCTGACAGAAAATCCATCCAGATCCTTTGGGTCAAAATCCTCTGCTAAAATCACATCTTTAACGAGTCGCATTACTTCAGCTTGTGACTTCTGGTGGCTACCAGAGTTCATCCATGTCATAAGACAATAGACAGTCATGTTAGCAAAGGGATAAGGTGGTTCAGAAACTCCAGGAAATGGATCAGGTCCTTGAGCATCGTGCACGTCGGTAATTATGGGAGAGGATCTGGCTAGCAGCAAAGATGGAACAAATTGATCCGGTTCGAATGAAGGATGCCGAGGATATAGTCGAGAGAGTCCGATCATGTTAAAGGCTGTGTGAAGAGTATCATGTAGTGTCAAAAGGACTCACTGGATCCTATGTTGCAATGGTTTCTGAGTCCCGGTCACAATAGACGGATCATTCACGGGAGAATTCATATCTTCATCGGGAAGTAGAATATCTTCAAAATTCCTTGGTACAAACATACGTCACGAGGGATGATGCCCAGGGTGTGCTGGTGATCCATGAGTACTATGTATGACAATAGACAAAGTTAATAAAGACGCATACCTGGAATTCCATGGTTTTCTTCAATGGCATCCTCCATCTCGAAATCTGCATCCTGTGATATAGTAACACCTGAGGCACTGACATGCGTGGTACTGCTAGCTGGATTCATAGACTTAGTACTAGTAGGTACCTGGTGTTCGCAAGAGGCTATGGGTTTTGGGTTTTGGTCCTTTGTGAATTGGATTGGTTCGAGTGGCTGTTTCAATAAGTCTATATCAGAGTTCTCAGCGACCAATATCACAGATTAGTACTTACAGCAAGTAGTTGCGATGGCCGGTAAGAGGTCGATGATTTCCCTGATGTTGAAATAAAGTCTTTTGCCTGCTGCCGCCTTTTCTCTGTAGCTAGCGTTGAAGGTACAACAATTCAGATGGTGAGTCTGAACAATGTTGGGTCTTGCAGAACCTAGCTGCTATGCGACCCTAAAGGGTTTCTGGACCAGGCTCAAGGCTCAGAGAAGAGGAAATATGATAGAAACTTGCTGAATACTCAGACTCATAGTAGAACTGGTGAAAAGGTAACTTGATTATGTAAGCTACAAAAGTGCAAACATAACACTAAGGTAAAAACAGTCTCTGCAAGCCCAGCCAGAAATGAATCCCTACATCTCATGGGAACTTTGAATCATGACTGTCCCCAGTCATCTACCTATGCAAACCAAAGCTAAGCTAAACTAAGAAAACTAACCTGGGGGTCCTCAAACACCTTTTGTTTCCTTGACGCGTATGCCAGGTAAACTGCGCCAGTGAGTGAGGGTCAGGCAATGCAATAAAACGATAATCTCCAGACTTTGCTTTGAGTACTGGAGGAGCAGCGACGATAAAGTGATAAAAAACGCGATGATGGTTGCATGGGTGACGATGGGGAGTAGACGGATAGAAAGAGGCGAACGAGGGCTTCGAAATGAGTATAGGGTCGACTAGGATTGGTGGAGAACTGGGTGAGAAATGAAGGAAATGGTGGAAAATGGAGGGAAACGCGAGAAGTGCGGATTGCGGAGGAACGCGCAGACGTATCTGGAAGCGGAGCGGACGGATGGAAAGCGGCGGCGAATGCGGTTAGAATGAGTATAGGGTCGATAGGTGCGCGATCAAAGGGTGAGGAGATATAGATAAAATGGTGGAAAAGGTGCGATAAAATGGGGGGCGACGGAAAACGCGAATGGTGGGCGAACGGCGTGTCGGATCGTGGCGCTGATGGGCGCGAATGAAAGCCATGAACGGGGGCTTCAAAACGGGTATAGGGTCGAGGGGGTTCCAATGCGAAATGGGCTGGTGAAAGTGCGAAAAAGTGCGGAGGTGCAAGAGGGAGGAGGAGGAAGGGGTATGGTGCAGGGCAACAAGGGCTGGTCCTATCAAGAAGCAGATTGGGGCAATGGACAGAGCCACTGAAGGATGGTAAATGGCCAAAAGAGCTAAAAGAGACAGGCCTTTGAGCACCCAGAAAACCCTTATCTCCCCTCAACTTCTCAAAAACACCAAAAACTCGATAACTCCACAACTACTGCTCCAAATTCGATGAGCCAGGGCTCAAAATGACCGGACGGACGTGGGGAATACGACCCTAAGTTTGCGAGAGATCCGCTCGAAAAACGCGTGAGAAAAACGCTTATCAATGCGCTGGGGAGGAGGACAAGATGCTGAAAACTTGGGAATATGGGAGAAGCTGATAAGGAATGACTGTGGTAGGATAATAGGCGAATTTGGGGGATGATTGGAGAGCTGGAAGAGCCTAGAAACACAAGAAACCCTCGCGGTGGGCTCCAGTTGAAGGTACAACAATTCAGATGGTGAGTCTGAACAATGTTGGGTCTTGCAGAACCTAGCTGCTATGCGACCCTAAAGGGTTTCTGGACCAGGCTCAAGGCTCAGAGAAGAGGAAATATGATAGAAACTTGCTGAATACTCAGACTCATAGTAGAACTGGTGAAAAGGTAACTTGATTATGTAAGCTACAAAAGTGCAAACATAACACTAAGGTAAAAACAGTCTCTGCAAGCCCAGCCAGAAATGAATCCCTACAGCGTGCTAACCCTCTGATAGTGCTTGCATGTAGCATGATGCCTACTAAGTCCACGAGCATCTGTGTCCTTCGCCCACGAACAACCCGTTGCATTGCAGCATAGTAAGGATACGGCATCCATCAGAAGCAGAAATATAAAACACAAACCGACCCAAGGTGGTCGAGAGATACGCATCCAAGTTTCACTCTAGACTTTTGGACTCATCAACTTAAAGGTGGAAATTTATGATATAATTAGTGAGTCACACCTGTCTGAAGGAACCGGCCTCTAAAGGTAATTTCCTCTAATGGAACATTTGAAATACCGCATGGCTCCGATTCAAGTTGTTCATCAAATATTCTTGGTCATTTGATGCTAAGTTTTAACTCGTTTCAACCCGTACTACTTAAACATGTCGTTAGAAACAACCTCCTCATCGACCTTGATAACACCTGGTCCTTCTCACACTAATACGTCACCATTGTTGACTCCCTCCGACTCTCCAAGTTCCCTTACCATGCATGGAGATTCTATTTTTTCAAAGAGAGAAATGTCAGGTCGCCTACGAGAGTTGCAGTCGTATTTGGTGCGAGTCATACTGTTGCATAAGTTTGTGCCAGCACTGATTTAGCATGTGTCAGATCATGCTTGACGAAGTTGATATCCAGGATGACGAACATGCAAATGAACTATTTACTCGTTACACTATTGATACAGTTTATGCAAGTTACGCTGCAGCACAGAACCGAGTGCGGCAGTACACTCAACTTCTGCAAATTCTCCAATGAGAAGTTGATGATTGGGCGATGAAAGTTGAAAAGGCCAGTTATGTCATGCTGGAATACAAGCCTGTGGGTTGGTTAACATGCTAGGGTAACATTGATATTTTGCTTGAGGATATTGGTTGTCCCTCTTTTTTGACTTCATTGCTCATATTCTTGCTGAATCAGGTTGTTTCATATAGCTCTACTAGTCACATTGTGTATTTTGCTTATTTTGCTCACTGGGGGTGTGGCAATACAGGGGACTAGTATTTCAATAAATGTTATACATGCACCAAGTTATATTCCGTACTGATCATATAATCATGATTCTCAGTGCCGCTTGCTACAGTCACTCAATTTTAACAACGTCCATTTGCCCTCTCAATATTCAATAGTCAACTTCAACAATTGTAGCAGTGCTCCACTCACATCTGATCCTATAAGTCTTATGAATGCGTGACCTTTTTTTGCTACAGACTCTGCCGTCATGTGGGTCAGTCACGGTGGATGCTAGCCTGAGAGAACTGATGAGGGCTTTCATGGACATACCTCGCGCATTTTTGGAATGTCCAACTCAGAGGATATGACCTACCTAAGCCTTCTCGAAGACAAACTTGATACTGCGGCGGTCGCTGATGATGGTATAAGGTGATGCGTACCTGAAGCACATAGTACTATTACGCCCGATTGCTGATGGACTTGGTATTTCCTAAGGTAGCCACTAATATCAAGCTAGCGGCAGGTTAAAATGCAAGTGCACCGTGACAGTGACGGGACCAAAACAAGTCACTTCTAAGATCGACATATGTATTACAGCAACGGTACGTAGTAGTATCACCGGGGCCTTACTATCTTGGAAATCACTTCATCTCTCGCAGATGTCCATTCGCCGCAGTCTGTTATTGCGTTGCTCATGACGCAAGCCAATTATGGAGTGAGCCTATACTGACTCGTCTACTCAGTGAGTGTTTAGATCACAGCCTACAGGCTAAAACACTGGTCGGCCATGTGATCGATGTAAGTAGGTACACTACCATGCCCCATTACAGTGTCTTATACCTTGTGCCCTAAACTGTCATTGTTAGTATGCGTTGGGAATTGGCCACTAACCACATTTTTATTCCTTAGGTGATCATATCACTAATTTCCGCGAAGATATACTCACAACGACCGACAGTGACGAAAGAAAGATCACAGTCGTCAATTGTCAGCCTGGGCGGGGAATGAGCACTCTAACTTCCGTGAGTACTACAGGTGGAAGCAAAAGGCCGTTATTATTGATGTTCTTGCTAGTGCAACTGAAACGCAGGTGTTCATCGTCCTCATTAAACATTGGCTCAGTGTTGGCCTCGAACGGAGCCTCGCTCATTGTTGATGTCGATGACTTCTGATGTTTCATGATGAGCCTGCAAATAACCGACATTCATATGAAGTCATCAATGGTATGTAGTAGCCTTTCAAACTGTCGAGGTATAGCACGGAATTGAGCTTTGAATCATCTAGAAAGGTCTTACAGTTAAGCATACTGTTGCCAAGGTCATTGATATCAATGTGTGATTGTCATGAATCTCCGAGACCCATCGAAGACGAGCGTATTGTGACCGAGCAAGCAACTGACGAGAAGCAAAGCAAAAGTGTATTCATGCCTCAAGAGGTAAAGACAACACTTTCCCTTTATTTATTAAACAGACAAAGGGATGCACAATTTGCGATGTTACTTTGAATTCATCTTGTTCTAGGTGTATCTGTATCTACTAGTACTGAGCCATCGGATGGGATAGTCATTCGAAACTTTGAAGGCATTTAATAGACTCGCCCAGGTAGGAGACCATTCTTGTACCTTACAAAGTGTTTCACTCCTCGACATAGTATAGTCGTCAAAATGTTCGAGAAGCAGCTCATTGTGGAAGGCACGTCCTCGAGTCGCTCCAGTGTGCGGATGCGAAATCATGGAAACTTTAGCTTGTCCCCACTTACTGGTAGTAGCAGTAGCTCTTGAGGATGATAAAGGCAGAATTCGTAGACAAAATATTATAGTGAAACGGGACTATGCATAAATTTGTCCGCCCTGCTATTGTAAACTCGCCTACATGGTACTACCCCGAATTGGTGATTATTTGAAGGTCACGGAGTGTCTGAGTCACTGATACTCTGAATCGTGGTATCAATTTCCTCTTACTATATACTAATGTCGTATCATCGCTAATTTCTACTTCGTACTCTTCAGGCTAGCCTATCTGTTGATTCAACTTCCACTATGGCCCGTACACAACAGACCGCTGGCAAGACTGTAGGAGGACCAGCAAAGTGTGGCACCTTCAAGTTGTCACTTGAAAAAAACACCCAGTGTGCCTTCGCAAACAATGTCTTCCTGGGGTCTAGTACTAGCAGAGCATCACCGAGGACAAAGGGTGCCTTGACAAGGCTGAAGCCTAAAAGATGGAACCTCGTAAGTGCTTGCTAGTGGGGCTTTCACCGTGACACTGCTACTGAGTATCAACTCTGGATCGTTCAGTGGTGTATCTTTTGCTGGGATGGAGCCGCAATCTTGTATGAATATTCGTCTTGCCCACGTGTTGTATGTGAACATTGTATTTCCGTCCAGAAGGAGGCACAGAAGATTGTCATGTGCGATCACATCACTTTCATTTGCCCCATATGTCACAAAGTTCAAAATAAGTGTGCTTCCCAAAGTGTCATCACACTGTATTTTGTAAGCTAATTTTTCTGATGATGTTTCAATTTTCCAACTTATCTTGTCATAACTAGGGCTTTGAGGACACTCAAGGGAGCCCGGCACTGTCAACACCTATCTCTGTCAATGCCTGCATTGAGCTGACTAGTCGATCAGAGATATGCACCGCTCCAATACTTATTCTCAACTTCGTTATAAATGGAGTCAACCCTTCCGGCTTGCCTGCAAGAATTATGCAAGCTTTATTGCAAGCATACCTCCCTGCAGAAGACTTGCACTATCACGAAGTTATTTTTGACATCGGGATGACCCAGAAATGCAAGACACATGAAAGGTCGATGGAGAAACTCGTAGCTGAATTAGGATGAACGGAATTTGATCGTGTCGAAGTCTTTATCCTGACGCACTCAGAAACTACACGAGGTGATATCTGGGGAGGTTACAAGAGTGCGATTTCCATGAGAAAGGGGAGGATTAAAATCGCAAAGCCTACTCCTGTTGCCTATATGGTCGACAATGTAAGTTGTCATTTGCTTTTGATTTTGTGTATTCATTCTCGACAGTTTTTTGCCGGGATTTTCGTTGCTGGCTTGGATGAGATACTCAAGGGTGCCACACTATGGATGCTGGTTTGTGGGCATATGGTACACGAAACTGAGTCATTCAAGAGTTTCACGACTTGTGTTAAACAGTGAGTTTAGATACTACTACCTGTGAGCCTCAGTCCTTGCTGATTTTTCTACAGTTATGACATCGCAAATGCATTCGCATTCGGTGCTGAAGGGTTGCATGTCTGTCTTACTATGCCATTTATAGCTGCCTATGTTGAGCGCATCCTCGTCGAAGGCTTCCTGGTGCAAGAGGTCATGACAAGTCTCCTTGCTGTGTGTCCTCGGCTCACAATGCACGCCTCTATCATTCACATTCATGTTATGAATGCTCTTCGCCGTCGCCTACCAACAATTGTTGAATACAACAAGGGGGTAATGCACATCGATGACAAGGCTTCCATCATCGTGTCGACCTATACCTTCTTCGACAAGAACCAGCGACCATGGGGCAACGCACTACCCCTTCAATGCTCAGGCTGCAAGTGTCTCCATCAATGGAAGCGCATTTCCCCTTCGCTTTCTGACAATGGTTCTGTGGCGAAGTTCGCCTGCAACTTATGCGGATACATTATCATGTATACGAGGCCCAGTCAAGCGCGGATCATATTATTTACTCAAGGTTATCAGACAGCCTGCGCTGGTGATGGTATGCTATTGAGGAAGAACCACCGTGCGGGTGGTTCTGGGTGGTTGATATCTGTACTAGAAGTTGAGCCTGGTGTGCAGGATGTTGCTTAACCAGAAGTACCTATCAGTGCTATGGTAGAGCACCAATCTATTATTTGCTCTTTCTCTTGTTCAAATTCCTGTAGATTTTAAGAACATATTGCAAACATCTTGCAACTCTGTTTACTTAGTAAGCTGCAAAAATGATTTGTCAGCCAAACCGTTCAAGTCTTCTTCACATTCCCGCCGACCTGGTTCTCTTACTCACAGCATTTCACTCCTCTCTCCGTCGTTCCTCACACTTCCATCTCTGGCCACATGAACGAGCTTGCGTCAGGTCTTGTTTGTATCCGGAGGTGCCAAAAGTTGCTTGTGGTTTGACCTGTTCTGAATTAACTGCATCATTACAGGTGTTTGGAGTAGCCGGACTTGGTAAATTGTATGTCGAGGCGCGCGTGACAGAGGCACTTAGTAAGATTCAAGGAGGTGTTGAGAAGATGGAGAAGATGGAGATTATTGAGGGATCGTCAAAGGCTGCGCGGAAGAAGCGGTATATGATAATGGGTCTGGTCACACTTGGTATTCTCATTTATTCCAATCAAAATGTGCGACAGGTGCACATTTCAATATTATTGGACTTTTGCTCTGTGATCACAACTGGAGGTGTTCAGAGTGACTCTGGGATCGCTGCTCAAGGAATGGCCCGACGTACATGACAAGTACGAATATTTGATGTGCTACTGCTGCACAACAACAAGTATGTCAGCTGCATCCTGGACGTTCCTAGTAGGTGCGTCCATCGTCAAATGCAAGTATATCGACTATTTCAAACTTGTGATCATGATGTAGATTCATGAATGGCGAGATTGAGGATGTCCGCCTACCTTCCAGTGTCTGTATCCGTGACCATGGGTGATGTATACCTTGGGAGCCTCAGATTCAAGAACCGGTAGTGCACTAGAGATTCTTATGGGAGAGATTCTGTCACAAACAGTTCAGACTGCGCTCATGGGGGGATTCCAGTCACCAACCAGTCGCGGTAGGTGTAATGTTGATTTGCATTTTATAAAGAGTATATGATACACAAAAGTACGTGTATTATTCCGCTGTTTTATGCCAACTATAGTAAATACCTCATTAGGAATCTACTCAACAGGCCAATATGTCAACAAGCCCCGAACATACATATAAAAACCTTCAGCTTCACAGCCATCTCCTCTATCCCCCACTTCACTCTTTTCTCCCATCTCGTTCTTTTCTCCCATCTCTCTTATCTCACCCATCTCGCTCTTTTCTCCTGTCTCATTTCACCTAGCTCTTTTACTTGTTCCCTTCACCTCGTACTCTTCTCTCACTCTGAGTCCCCACTATGGCCACCACATCTCCCGACTTGACTCCTCACTCTTCCGAGTCCGGGTCCGAGTCTGGCGAATTACCTCCCGACCAATCCCAGTTTCCGGTACACGTGGATCCCTCTCAGCCCATCCCTACCTCTACCAATGTGAGGGCAAAGCGCCACATTGCTGCCTTAGAAGATGAGCTCGAGACGCTGCGACAGGAGAGAGGGACCAAGCAGAGGTAAGCATACTGTCTTGCATACTTGGGCTAGTGTTAATCTATCCGTAAAGAAAGACAACCTACTACGTTGCACAAGGCAGGGCAATTCGCCGCATGGTCGTCTTGTACTCTAGCTTAGAGGACTTGGTCGCTGAGAATGATCGCAGGTACGAGAGTTTGCGTCTCATGGATGACTCAGAGGCCACGCTGGAGTAAGTCCTCGACTTTTTGTTTTATACCGTACTTTTAATCTGATTACACAGACAAGATCGCATGCAGTCTGGATACATTGAACTCGCACAAACACTACCATGGCTGCACGAGAAGCTCGGGCAACTTGAGCACAAAGAAAGTGAAGATATGTTAAAAAAGGTCTGGCGTGTCATTTGCAAAACATTCATGCTGCGTGCTGATGCTGCTTGTTCTATAGCTTAAGAAAGGAGCAGATGCAGCGTGTGGTGATGATACCTCCAGTCTCGAGGAGCTTGTTGCTGCCTGGGTCAACCAAGAATTTCGCCCATCTCCTTTGATCAAGCCTGACGATAAACATTCACGCGGCTTTACGAGTGACATTTGTGGGAAGCTACTTTGTCCTGCCGAATGGGACTGGGATCAAAACCGGTAAGTATCAGCCTTTCTCGAGTATCACAGGACACTGATACTGGGCCAGCATCAAGGCCAGTATTCGCAACAGAACAATGGATTATATTGTCTCGGAAAATTCGTGGCCGGTGTTCATGTACGAGAATTATAAAGTCGACCGCGATAAACTCGAGGAGGGTTTTTTAAAATTGAAGCTTCTGGTTCTGGTGAGTCACAGTGGCTTTGGAATGTAGTCATAACTTCTCATGGCAGCACTCTAGGCTTTCAAAGCCATCTTTACGTCTCCTTCCTCTGCAAAGGAAGCTGACAGAGATGGTGATGGTGCCGATATCCTTGAAAATAATAGGTGTGCTCGGCGGAAATCAGATCAGGCAAAAGTTAAAACATGTGTGGCCTCCATCATCAACATGAAGAAGGTGACACCTCGTGCCATCGCTTACATTGTTTGTCAAGTGAGTAGTAAATGTCATTATGCACTATTCGATCTCTGGCGTCTAACCTTAGTGGTAGGTTCGTTTTGCTTTATCGTGTGTTTCATCTTGGTGCACCGTGGACGGCGATTTTGATTATGAGGTATTCTGGAATAACATCGTGGACTATTTTGAGGTTGTCCCTGGTCCTGTCACGAAACATAGGGTAGATAAGCTCCCCTCCTGGAATGGTGGACCAGGTAAGGATTTTGTCACTGCTCAGCAAGTACCAATAATTAACAGTGCTGTTTAGAAAATTTTTTGGAACCAATCATCGCCAGGACCTGATGCCAGAGGTTGTATCCCACATGTCCGTCAACGCACTAGCCGAACAGAGGAGGATGCTGGAGGATGCCACCTTTGACTCAGAGTAAATCTTTTTTTGTCTTCCCTCTTCTTGCTATTCTCTGTTTGTCATTCTCGTTCCTTTGCCTGCTAACGCATCATAGTTGAGTACTGTCCGTATTAATCTAATTTGTTTATGTTTACAATAATTAATTAATTGCAAATTTTATGATGGATGATTTCCAGCAGCATTTATACTGTTCAACATACCAATCAATACTACATTTATTGCAGTGTCTAATGCTGCCAAACGGCAGGGAGGTTCGCTTTTCACACAACTGTAGTAACGACTGCGCAAACAAAAATATGTTGCGTGGCTTGGTATTTAGTCGTCGAAAGTGTTCCAATTGCAATACCCTTGATTGAGGAAGTCACCCACAATCTTCAAACTAAAGAGGATTGGTTGACAACATAATGTTATACTATTCAACATGTTAAGTGCTAATTGATCTATTAAAACATCCAATGCAGTTCAGGCGGCAAGAACATTTGCTTTTTAAACAATCGTAGTGACAACTGCGCGAACGAGAGTATGTTACGTGGCATGGTGATCAATCATCGAAACTTCTTGATATAAAATTCCCCCACTTAAAAAGGTCGACTACAGCCTTGAACTAAATAGGTTCGATTGACAGAACTAAACACGACAGATGCATTGGGTAGATGAAAAAACTGCGGGAGACATTGGAGTATGAAAATACATTTGCTTAGAAATCAAAATTCATGAACATATCTCGTCATTTCCTCAAAAATCCTGCCCTTCACTTCATCTTCAAAACTCCATGATCCTGCACTTCAGCGTGCATGCAATAGATTATGATGTACCTGCTGAGAACATTCAAACATGTCGTGTGTCTGAGCGATGACACAGTGAATCTGCTAAAGCAAACACCAGACGTACCTTGCTGTCCCTTTGACACTCCATGATCCTGCACTTCAATTTGCATGCAATAGATTGTGATGTACCTGCTGAGAACATTCAAACATGTTGTGTGTCTGGGCAACACCCCAATGTACGTCATGTCCTCGAAAGACATGGATTGTTATGTCCCTGTCGATTGTTTGGATTTGTAATGTCAGTTGAGCATATTATTTGCATTTCCCAATGTTGATCGGAATGTCCCGACTTGCTCCGCGACAGCAATGCGAAAACCATGTGCCCCGATATCAGTCTCCGAAGGGTTGGGCGGTAGAAGATTTCTCCGGCAGTATTTCGAGTCTGGTACTAAATCATGCATTTGTGAGAATCGAGTATTCGTGTCATTTCAATAGAGATTGTCACATCTTTTATTTGTTAAATCTATAATCCGCTTCATTGACTCATGTCCAACATTTCACTGATGGACTAATTCACGTATAAAATGGTATTGAGGGCAGGACAAGCTTTCTCCTGAGATATTTCGAGTCTGGTACTAAATTATGCGTTTGTGAGAATCAAGGATTAGTATCACTGCAACAGAGAGTGTCACATCTTTTGTTGGTAGACTAGTATAAATCCATAATCCATTTCATTAGCTTGTGCCAAATATTTAACTTATAGGCTGTTTTGCACATAAGACGGTGCATCGAGGGTAGGATAGCTCAGCTGGTTGATTTTCAAACCTGTCTTTCCTTCGGAAGCTCATATATCTCCAAGTAATCCCCCCCACCAGATTTATGGTAATTGTTGTGATTGTTAGCAATATATAGTTAAATATAACATTTTAATATGTTCACCGGTTCGCTGATGATAGCCTGCTGAGGAAGCACATCAATATAGCTTCTTCACACAGATTCGCAACTGACATATAGCAGACAAACTTCAAGAATTTACAAAGGTGAGCAGCAAAATTCACAGTATGATATAACTTTATTCTTGCGCGCTGGGAAACAAGGTTCGTCGTTCTCCGGAGAATTTTAGCTTCAAGTCTTGCTCGGCACATTGTCCTAGGATCGAGGGACCTCAAACATTGTAAAACTTACTTCTGGCGTCCCAACTGTGTTGAATCTAGCTTCACTATCAGCTTCTGCTCCACATTCCCTTCGCATTGAAGTTTGAGTGATGTGTGTATGAGACAATTGCACATAGTAAGCATGCAAGTTGAAGGTGGTGTCCAAGAGCTACCCTACCACTTTTAAGGCAAGAAATACTATATTAGGACTATAAGTTGTAGATATCATCCTGGCCGACTTGCACATAAATAAAAAAAACAACTAGCTTGCCAATCAGACTTGTTTTTTACTATTATAATTAGAATAATACAAGCAAAAATACAGTACAGTATGAGCTGTAGAAGGTGTTCTGGCCGATGTCTACATAAGGAAAATCAGTCCGGCTGGACCATCAGTACACCATGTAATTGGATACAGTATGCTGTAGAAGGTGTTCTGGCCAATGTCTACATGAGGCAAAGCAGTCTGGCCGGACCATCAGTACACCATGTAATTGGGTACAGTATGCTGTAGAAGGTGTTCTGGCCGATGTCTATATGAGGAAAAGCAGTCTGGCCGGACCATCAGTACACCATGTAATTGGGTACAGTATGTTGTAGAAGGTGTTCTGGCCGATGTCTACATGAGGAAAAGCAGTCCAGCTGGACCATCAGTACACCATGTAATTGGGTACAGTATGCTGTAGAAGGTGTTCTGACCGATGTCTACATAAGGAAAATCAGTCCGGTTGGACCATCAGTACACCATGTCTATTATATTCCTGCCACATACTTCAGTTAGAATAGTCTAGGAATACAACTGTTAAGTGACTACAACCATTTTGTCCTTGGATGAATTTTCTGCATTCACTAAGAACCTTCCCCACAGGAGCACCTGTCGTTGTGCATAGGCTTGATGACCATGCTTTGTGGCTTCATGGTATCTTCGTTCCCATTCTTCCTTCTTGTATCTAAACCAACCCACTGTCCACCCCATCTCATGTTGAACCAAACTCAACTCCTCCTCCCACCTTTGCCATTGAGCCTTAGCTTTCAACCAATTTAGCCTATAGACTGATACTTGTCATGTAATAATGAATGAATATGAAACATGACTCACATTCATCCATCCATACATCTTCAGGAGAATCATGACCATTGTTCACCCTCCAAAACCAAGCTAGTCTGTCTGATCCCTGCCCATATCTGTTCTCCTCAGTGACTTCCTTGTTCACATTAAGCTGACTCGGCTGAATCTCTTGATAAACATTCTTCAGAGTATCTTCATCTACTCCTAGTCTCTGCAGTGCATTCCTGGCCCTCTGATAGCTTTGAACACACTGATCGATCGAGCTTCTTGCTTTGACCTGGTACCCACCCATGTGGAATCTGCACTTCTAAAATGTTGACGGTAAATTATGGCTTTGTGGCCGAGAGCCTGCCATAACTTTTCCAAGCAATCATTTGCCTGACCCTGCCGTAACTGCAGTTCTTCGGCTTGTAGAGAACCTAGGCCAAGGGCTAAAGCATTGTCGTGAGGTATTGATGATGGCATCCAGATCCGCATGGCTTCTGCAACAACTTCTTCACAGATTTCTTCAGAAGTCACTTTGGGATCTGCTGCTTCCCTCTCTTCTTCCTCCATATCTGCAGTACAAAATCTGACGTCATCCATGTGCTCCATACCTGTGTCAACTTCAATGCCTTCTGTCATGGCATCAGCCATTTCATGAAATTTTGAGATCCTTGCTGCCAGTTTTTGTCGTTTTTCTTCAACTACTGCCTTTTGAGTGGCAGATGCATCTTTGGGAAGCTTTCGAATATCTCCCCTCAAAGCATCCCTAAAGCAAAATTGAGATGTACCTTAAATGAAGGTGATATAATGACATACTGAGCATTCTCCAAATTGATACCACTGGTGAGTAAAGATATCAATCCTCGTTTGCTAGTATTAGCATATTCTGTTTTGGTTAATTTTAGCCGAATTTCTGCCATTGTTGGGGCTTCCAATCACCGCATCAGAATGAACAGCATGTGAAAATGAAAAGAACCTAGGAACAACTCACCTTTATCTATTTGTAGTTGGTATATGTCAAGATGCTCTCCACATTGTTCCATAGCTCGTTTTTCATCTTTCTCCCATGAGGAGACTTTACTGACTTCCAAGGAATGTGTGAGCTCTTGGAATGGCACCTTAGTGTCATCGATGCCCTTATTGGCACATTTGTACTTTTGCAAGAGCGTCTTAACTGTATGTGCCGTTTGACTGATTTTTAATTGATTCCAAATATAGGCACTCACCAATTTGGACATGTTTTTTCCAATTTGAGTTACGCATGTGATCATCAAGGATTTCTTGACGGTGGGCTTGGCTCATAGAACGTGCTGTTGGAGAAATCTTATTGAAGGGAGCCCAGAGTGTCTCTAGAATTTCCCCATCAACCTGCCCAGCTCCTACAATAAAGTTCAGGCTGTATCTAGGAAAACAAGCAAGCTTGTGAGCGCTGGGATGAAATTTTCCCACTGCAACCACAATCTCTGTGTCATCAGGGAGGGTCAAGCTAGAGCAGTTGTTGACACGTTCTGAAAAATGAAGACTCCACTGGCAGCCCACATCATAAATTACCAGGGAGTCATTGATTCCTCTTGCAGCATGCTTAATAGCATTGCATATGGAGTAATCTATATTCATGTGGCTTGAAGTGATTTTGTCATCAAGTCAGTCAATCAGTAGTATATTAAATAAGACTTGCCATTCGCCCTTTTGAAAGTCTACTACAGAGTGGGGAATGAAACATCCATGCCTTGCACAAGCAGTGGCCCCCACCCCTGTAGTTCTGAGGTTGCCTCGGTTTGTATTTGCTGCATTGACTGCACGATGGTTGCTACAAGTAGACCTCTTCCAACTTGTTCAGCATACTTGTAAAATGAACACAACCCAACTCACCTTCCTACTCTCTGTAGCTGAGGCCAAGTGAGCTTGATATTCTCCCTCTGTGACCATATAACCTAAACCATCTGAGAGGAAGATGTCCTCTTTCAGCTGTCTCATGTTCATGTGCTGAGCAGTAAAATTTCCATCTACCACAAATCTCTTCATGACAAGCCACCTGTGTTGAACATCCAAAATTAGCATTATTGAACCATAATAATTCTTTGGAGAGTTCTTCATAACCAAGACAGTCTGGCCAGAGTGCACTTTACAAGGCACATAGTATCGTAGCACAATGGTGACAGCCAGCTGGACTACCTGCACTAGCTGTACAATCAGTACTGGCCAGCATCCTCTGCTGCTATTTGACCTCGGCCAGCACCACACATATGTTGGCTAGCTATTGGCTGGCCAGGTTTAGGAAAAACCTGGCCAAGATCTGTACTGGCCACTGTACCAGGTGTACTGGCCAGGGTAAATACACACATATGTCCAGCCTGCAGCATTACTGGCCTATGTACAATGTGTACTGGCCAGAGTTCACCTTGCTCAACAGCCATGAGTGTATACAACACGTAGCAACCAACCGGCCACTGTCTAGCTATGATTTCGCTGCACCAGTAATAATAATTGACTTGCCTTTCATACTTCTGCTCCCAATCAAGAGGCATGTTGATTCCTGGCTGAGGACATGAAGGGCAGAAAAGGGCAAGATCTCCTGGGCCAGGTCCTGATTTCATATTATGGCCAAATCCAAACCATTTACGGTTCTTCAAGTCTCTCCACAGTCGAGATACTCTCATGAGTTCACGATAACGATCCTACAGATGCCATTGGAATTTTGAACTACAAATATAGATTTCTCACTCACTGGGACAGTATCTGGAAATGCATTATTTGTCAACCTTGTAAGTTTCTCAAAGAAGCTCCTGGCTGAAGTCTTGCATTCCAAGGCGTCAATGAGAAAATGATCCAGTACTTCGAAGGTGAAAACAGTCCTGGGCCGTGTGGAGCTGGCAGGAAATAGCTGTGCTCTCAGGAGCTGCAGGTGCTGAGGATCGGATCCTTGGCAATGACACCACAATACGTTGTGTGTGAACACTCCTGATGAATGTACAATAGTCACAGGGGTGGTATCTTGAGGTAAGGGGCCTGTCTCTGTAATATCATCTACTTTCCCATCTTGATCCCCGTGAATTTTCGAAGCTCCATATGAAGGGCAAGGCTCTCCTCCATGGCCTAAGTACCATATGAATCCTTGGTCAGCAAGAGTGACGTCCTGGAAGCACATGTTGTTCCAAAGTTGAATTTTGTGGAAAGGTAATGACTGATGCGATCTGATCAAGCAAGGACGACACCACCCATGGTCACCAGCACAGGTTACACAATTGAATGTGGCCTCAGCACTCTGACATGTCTCGCAGATCCCTGCACAGGTGAATTGTTCTGAATCTAGAATTATATCTAGATATACATCTCAATAATGAAGATATTCTGCTATGAAGTTGTTTTGTGTCTATAGCATGCATGAGAAAACTTTTATCAGCGAGTTAGGAAACTACTAGACACACCTTTGTTTTTCTTGGTTGGTGACCATCCTCTGTGTCCAGAATGAAGTCACCCAAACTTTCCTGAGAGGCTTCGACATCCACAAATTCTGCATGGTTCTCTTTCATTCGTTTCCTTGGGCTGCTGGGGGAGGAAGGGTCCATCGATGTTTCATACAGTGGATCTGCACAGGATTCGACCCATGAGGACTTTCCCCTCTTGTCTCTGGTAGGCTTGTAGGCAACATAGTCTATGTCCAGGTCTTTCTTTTTGGATAGGCTACCTCTGTGTTTGAAAGAATAAGAAACAGCCTTAAGACGATTTTTTTTCTGCCCAGACATGATGTTTCAACCAAGGAATGATAATGTGAAACGAAGTGTATAGTCAAAATTTGTCTAATCAAATCCAAAAATCTCGGCTATCACAAATGAATAACTGTCTCTACTTACTACCTCTGGACTCTCCCCTGTTCAACCCATTCTTTCTGCCCTTCTTCCTACTAACAGGTTTTCCTCCTTTACCTGCCCCCACTTTGATGAGAAATTCCAAGTCCGTTGGAAACATCGGTCTAGGAATACTCTGCCTATCATGAACTTTGTCCTTGACAAAGTGGGCGATTACGATCCTCTCCCCATCATGCCACCTTGGGACCCCATGCTCCAGTACCTTACCACAAATGTAAACCATGTGTTACGCACTCAAATAGATCTGTTATGTGGAGCCCTAAGAGGGGCGTCGTCCGCTAACGTTCGTGACGTAACCGGAAGGATCCGGTTATAGCAAGTGAGACTGGCGACGACAAGTCGGCAGTGATCACAGTACGCGCGTGTCACGTGACTTCTAAGACAGGTGTCTATGAAGTCGCTCAAAGTAAGGACAGTCTTGTCAGAACAATGAGGTCGATCGAGATAGACTTAGTCGCGATGAGCAACTAAGAAAAGATACTAGAGACTGAAGCCAAAGGGGCGTTCAGAGAGAAGTATGTTCCAGGGAAGATTGAGTAGATTCAAGTTAGAGAATCTAGTACAGGGTGACCAACTACTTATACTAAGTGAAGAGGGTTAAGGGCAAGGCTACTGCCACAGTAGGTAAGGGTAAAGGGGAAACGAGAATGGTATAGGTGTGTTGGCAACAGAGCTGGATTAGTGATGGATGGTTGAATGTGGAATGAGACCGAGAAACGTTGGAACGGACCAACGGTAAGAATACAACGTGCAGGAATCCGCCAGTCAGAAGGTAACAGAAAGGGAAAGCCACATTGGTGGCGTGAGTCAGACCAAGTCATAGGTGCGGGACCACATTGGTGGTCGAATCAAGGGAGGAACGTGCGTGCACGTGCATAGAGGCGGGCGATGCGAGGGATGGGAACAATCCCGATGATCTGGTCAATGGAAAGTCGGGTAAAGGAGGACGAGCCGGTAGATGGTGAGGGCAAGGGATGAAGGGAAAATGATAGGTGGGCCACGTGACAATTGTTACTTGTAACACCATGGCTCCCAGGGTCATATTGTAGCTCGGCACCCACGTCAGGCAGATCCAATATAGCCTGGTGATCTTTTCCGAGGCTCACCAAAAGGTCATAAAATGATGGTGATGCTCCTGGATCGCGATGATACGGTGTCTCCTGGTTGACAATCACCTCAATTCCAGAAAAATCTGAGGGCCAAACAACTGGATTGAAAGTCTTGACCGCTTGCTTCAGGCTAGAAATACATTGCATGCCGCAAGATACTGATGGGGTGCAATAATACTGGTGATAGCGGACCAGAATTGTTCGGTTGCTGTGATTTCAGACAACCAATATTGAACTATGGGTGACGACAGAGAAGTTGATTGATTAAAAGATCTTGAAGCCACTAACTCAATTGAGTTACTTTTGTCTTGTGAATCGGATATGAAAAAAATCTCACTTCATGACGTTGCATGAAACCACCGGGGCACATAGTCACCCGTCCTGCTCCAAATTCTCCTCCGCCAGAGGGTATGACAAAGCCTTGTGAACGCCAAGGCTGTTTTGCCTGTTCCTGTTGGCTTAGGCAAGAGTGATCAAGGACAGGTCTGAGTATCTTGATGGACTCGTTGATGTGTTCCTAGATTATAAACAGTTTAAAATAGGGTTTTCATATTTGTGAGAGCTGTACCATTCAGGTCGGGCATCAGGATCTTGGGGAGATACCAAGCTAGGATTCTTCCATGCTTATCAACCAATGTGGTGGGCTCGGTTATGTGACCAAATGAAGAAGCTTTGAAATACTTGGCTAGTTTCTTTCTTTGTTTTGTATTTCGGGAGGCTTTAGCAGAGTCCAAAAATCGATCAACATCCCAATCTGTTTGTACTGCAGTCAAATATTCAAATTCGGGTACAGTCGAAAAATCAAATAAAGACGTACAACTATTAACTGCTGCATAAGCAATGATTACTGCAGCCCTGGAAATTTCAATATCAGTAATGATCGTCGGATTAGTATCACTATCGCCACTAGCAGACAGTAGAATGTTCTGCCACTGATTCCACAATCTGGTCCTTAAATTACGGCTGTTGAGTGGCGCAGAAAAACAACTTAGAAATTGCTTACTTGGCTCTCTGTAGTAATTTTTTGTCAATGTTGTTCTGTGTGAACAATTCAAATGGTGAGGAATCACACAGGAGTTCATCAACGCGGCTACTGAGCCTTTTGGCTAGTAAAGCTACAGGATCCCCCATTGTAAGTCGGAGTGGATGGAAATTTTCAAATCTGTCACGTCGGAAGTGTAAATGAACATGCCAACATGTCACACATTAATGTAGCCTAATGGAGAATCCCCATGGATAATTACATAATTCTGTCGAACATTAGAAGAGGGTACTCTGGGCCTGCCGGTTCCTGTAAAATGGGTCAAGGTGTTACTGAAGCACTGAAGAATGGCGGTGATCTGAACAATAAAACAATGAAAAGATGGGTAATAATAAATGGAGTTTTGTACTATGTAGTGCATAGATTACGGAAGAATGAGGTTTTGTTCGGTGAAGATGAAATGGGGGACATTTACTTGTGAGTTTAGAAGATGAAGAGGGATGGCTGTTCACTGAACAAAACTCACAAGTAAAGCTCCCCCATTTCATCGTGTATGCACTTCACCGAACAAAGCTTCATTCTTCTATAACCTTCACCACTGTCATTGTTTGGTGAAGTGCGTACGCGCAATGAAATGGGGGAGCTTTACTTGTGAGTTAGAATATAATGTGAGGCAAGGAGTCAAGGACAGAAGAATGGAGTTTTGTTCGGTGAAGTGCATACGTGATGAAATGGGGGAGCTTTACTTGTGAGTCACAAGGATGAAGAGGGGTGGCGGTTGTAAAGGTTACAGAACAAAAGTTTCAGTGAAGTGCATATGTGATGAAATATGGGGAGTTACTGTACAGCTGTTGAAGCAACACTTAGGGCGCACTGGAGGTTTGTCCCCAATTGCACTCTGAACAAGAAAGGCGGGCTGCTAGGCAGTTGCATACGGGCTTTTGAATTTTGAATTTTTATATTTGGCCATCTACGCTCACATAAGCTCAGGTAACTAGGTTCCTCGATGGCTCAACTATCAATGAAACAAAAATGTCCTCCAAATCAAATCAAACGTTTTGAATCAAAGCAAATCTTGCAAACTTGTTGGTAACAGATATGCATAAGTCTCCAAAGACTTATATGGGGCGCTGAGTATACAAGTCACATGATTTTATTCCAAAGCGGCACATATGGTTTCTAATACAAGTCACGTGATTTTATTTCAAAGCGGAGCATGTGATTTTATAATGGTAAAACTACTGAGACATGTTGTGCATTTTAAAATAGTAATAAGTGAAAAAATTCTGCCAATACAAGGCTGCTGTGGAGGGGCCCTCTCCACAACGGTCTTGTACTGCTAACTACAGTACATATAAAAGTAGGTACAATCTGTAAACGTTGGTCAGTACCTGTAAAGTCAAATATAATCAAAACCGTCCTTTTATTAGATATTGGCGCCATATAATAATACCTGCATGAACGGTGGTCAGTGTTTGCTAAGGGAATACAAATGAAACTACCTTGTTGAGGAAGCGAATTTAGGCGCACATTGAGCACCATACCCCAAGTAAATGGTGGAGGAGGATAGGCACACCAGTGTGGACACTATACCTCCCTCCAGCCCCAAAGACCCATGAAAATATTGGAGGAGGATAGGCGCACCAGTGTGGACACTATACCTCCCCCAGCCCCAAAGACCCATGCAGATATTGCGCATGGCAATAAAACACTAAAAAAAAGGAAAATGGTAAGTGCAGGCAAGCTCTAGATAAAACAGACCTGAGAGGGCACATAACTTGAAGGAGAACGAATGAGTGAAATGCTGAAGACAGACGGTAAGCGCAGGAGAGCTCAAAAGAACACGGACCTTGGTGAGAGAGTGGACGGATGATAATAAAATACTATAGACAAATAGTCAGCGCAGGAGACGTCAAGATAAGACAAACCTTGGTGAATGAGTGGAGTAAAGAGGCGGATGATGAAGGAATCCTATCAAAAAGAAAGAAGGTAAGCGCCGCATAACTTAACAGAAGACTCACCTGAGAGGATATAACCTGTAGAAAAGAACATATTCAGCAAGGAACGCGAGAAAAGAAGACATCTACCTTGAAGTGTAGAATGCTCAGTGACCCATAAGCCACTTACACAGCTGCAGACTGTGTAAGTGGCTAATGGGATGAGCACTGAAGTGTGGTGAGGAGTGAGGATGCACATGGTGAGCAATGGTGAGTGAGCGGTACAAGAAATTCAACCGTGGGAATGTGTTACCTGCTCACTATATGCCGCAATATTTGATTGTGTTTGTATTCGCACAATGCCGGTTTCATGTAATCACATGATCAAACAAGACGCGTTTAAAATACAAAAAAAGACTTGTCCTGCGCGCGTGTCACGGGTCACATGATCAAACAAGACGTGTTTAAAATACAAAAAATACTTGTCCACAATGCGCGCGTGCCACGGGTCACATGATCAAACAAGACGCGTTTAAAACACGACTCATCCACAATGCACGCATGCCATATGTCACATGATCGCGTGAAACTGGCATTGTGCATACAAAAAGACATGATGGATTCAACAATAAGAAATCGGACTTACAATAATTCGAACATGGGTGTCACATGATTGCGTGAAACCGGCATTGTGCATACAAAAAGAACATGTTCTTTTTGTATGCACAATGCCGGTTTCACGCAATCATGTGACACCCATGTTCGAATTATTGTAAGTCCGATTTCTTATTGTTGAATCCATCGGCCGGTACCCGCTTCTACATCTCATAGCCCCAGCTCATGCCACCCAAGAAGAACACTGCCAAGAAGCGTGCTGCTGGGGGTGTTGCCCTCAAAGTCAGTGTTCCCCTTGGTTCTCCCATTCCATATGTGGAGGATCCATTGCCAAGTGGACCGGCGGCACCTGAGCTGCCTGCAGAGATCCACAGCCTAGTAAGTTCTTCCTTCATAATGTCTATCTTAGCTAATTTAGTCAGTGGTGTATGATCTGCCATGACGGCACCGAAGGTGACATTGTATTGTACAAGTGCGACGCTTGTCCGCGTGTTATGTGCAGTCACTGTATTGAAGTCCCCACCGGCTATGTCGACATTGTACAAGGCGTCGACGTCTTGTTTCTTTGCCTATCCTGCCATTCTCTGTGCAGTCTTAGAAAGCCGGCACCCTACTTTGTAAGTACTTTTTTTAATTCTTTTGACTATGCTATTAATGTGATTACAGGGATTCTACAGCGCCAACTTGCCTGACAGAGGAGGGCATCCTGTCCTTCCTCATTTCCTCCGGCTCAATGGCAAGTTTGAGGCCGCATCATGCACGTTGTTGGCCTCCACGCCGGTCGCCATCATTCACTTCATCATCAGTGCAACTGATGAAGTGATAATGCCTGTCCCCCTCCTGTCGCACTATTTGGAACACTTTTTCCCCAATGGTGGGTACACTTACCTGGAGGTTGTCTTCGATGTCGCAACACACAAGAAGATAGACACGTACACTCAGACGCAGCAAGCGCGTGTCACTCAACTCACACAACACCTTGGACGAGCTGGACATGTTTTTGCATTTTTTTCGAACCATTCCAAACAAGACAGCGGGTGGCTGTTCACGGGTAAGGTAAATGGTAGATATATTGCTATGAGCATCACCCAGGTAATGTATCCATCTATTCTGCAAGTTCTTGGCTAATTGGTGATCTAGGTACTATATACTGTATTCTGGCCTTATCTTCCTCTTCTCAAGGCCGCCAACATGGTGCTCCTTGTGTGTGGCTCTATTGTCACACATTGTTACGTCGACTGTAGGTCGGCGTGTGCGAACTAGGATAGGTCTTCTCAGCGACGACTCGAGTGAGTCTACTGAAGCTGAGCGTGGTCTAGCCTTGACGGAACGTCAAGGATTCCTCCGGCGATCTCGGTAAGACGGCGCTCGTCGAGATGCAGGGCTAGCAGATACGTGCTAAGTCGTATGGGGGCGACTTAGAAGTGCGGTCTCACACAAGGAAGCTGGTAGGCTTAGTTGAGCAAGTTCTGGGGATGAACCTAGTAGATTAAAGTAAAGTCTAAGTACAATAATCTGTGTCTACTTATAGGGAAGTACTACAAGTATTCTAGCTCAGTCTGTAATCAATAGTATATCGTAAATCTATGATAGCAAGACATGAGGTTCAGATAAGATACATGAGGCTTAACCTCTGATCAAGCATGCTGCGCCAAGGGCAGCTGCGCATAGGTACAGGAAGCGCCAAGCGCGCTCCGGATCTTCATGAAGCGACATGCGTTATGCATGCGCTGATCTAGGGTGTCCATGAGGCGTACAGCCTCCATGGAACAGGTACAAGGCCGTCTAGGCCAGGGGCGGGGTCATAGCGCCAGGCGGGGTCATAGCGCCATGGGGCGGGGTCGTAGCGGTCCAGACCACTGTCTTTCTAGGCGCAGGCGGCGCACCGCCGCGCGGGGAGTCTAGCAGAGCGGGGGCAGGCGTGGGAAGAGCTGGGGCTCTAGTAGGTGTTACAGATCCCTGTAACACACATGAGGACGCATTTGTTGAGCTCAAGCAGGCCGTCCTGGACATCAAGGTAGCATCCGCTATCATTTTTCCTGCCAAAAGGTTCCAGCCGCTGGTCGCCACCAACTTCCTACTGGCCCTAGCGGAACTTGTCATCATCGAACAGCTGGATCTCCACAAAGTCTTTCCCTCTCTGCTCTCCCTCTCCAACCACCTTGGACTACATTCCAAGATCATATCAATGACCAGGGATAACGCCACCCATTTTCCCAGGCTTTTCATCACAACTTACGCACGCGCCCACCCACAGACACAGCCGTGGGGCATTGAGGTGCCTTCACAGTGTCCCCTCTGCGGCTCGACCAATAGTTGGTCGGAGAAAGTCGGTGTGACAGCGTCACAACAGTCTCAAGGTGTTGCCGCTCAAGACCAGGCCGCAGGTGTCAGTAGGTACATATATACCTGCTTACATACTAAATGTAGTAAGAGCCAGGGAAAGTCTCCCCATAGGTTCCAGATTGACAAACCTCCGGGTTTCCTTGTCAACACCGCTAAGAGCAGGAACAGCGGCTGGTTTCAGTCCCCTTCTGCCATCTTCCCATCTCCGTCTGTTCAGTCTGCACCTATTTCGGCCACATCTTCCATCAGCCAAGCCAAACGTCCAAGGAGTAGCAAAGAGAGTTTAGATGAGACTGAGTCTACTAGGAAGAAGGCGCGCAACTGAATTATTTCACACTAGTTACTTAGATAGATGTTTTTGCAATTGATTTGATTTGTTAGCCTCCATTTGTGCATTCATCAGCGGTTTCATTAATTACAGGTTTAGAAATAAGGATATGAAGTGTTTTTTTTTTTTGCACCAGATTGAGTCCTTTGGGGTCGTAGACCCTATGTTGGACATTTCTCGTCATATGCTTTTCCCTCGTATATGTTTTGGTGGTATGGCACTATCATTCTATGTTTTCGAACACGTACTCCCCACGCCGTCTGGCAGGACGACGCAAGTAAGCACAAAAGGAAGACTGCAACAAGAAGGTTAGTAGATGAGGTTAGATGAGGTGGGCTTGCGGTTATTTTGAGTCGGTCGTGGCGGGCTGGACTTGCTACTGATCCGGGGTGCTTGTTTCTACTGGTCCTTCCATGGTGTTGACAGTGTCGCAGGGGGTGCGGCTCTCCTTTTGTCGTGGAGTAGGTTGGTTGGTGTTTGTGGTGATGGTACATGGTATATGGCGTATGGTGGTGGTGGTGGTACATGGGTCGGTGCATTTTTTGACTATGTTGGTTATGTTCAGTGTGTGGATGAGAGCGTTCGGCGTTATGTGCAGGTCTAGTGTAGAGTATGGTAGTATATCATTCAATATTTTACAGCTCACCAAAGGTTGTTTTGAAACGTCCGGTACTGTTGATGAAGCGGCTGAGGTGGGGTATTGCTTTGTCGGATGTGAGGAGGTATGCTAACGAGGTAGCATCACGTCTTAAAGCGTTTGAGAGGATGTGTCGCTCATGTCGGTATTGGGGGCAGTCAAAGAGGTAGTGGTGGATCGTTTCGTTGGTGCCGGGGCATATTGGACAGTGGGGCGTGTCACTTCTATTGATGCGGTGCAGATGCTGATTGAGGGGGATGTGTTGGGTTCGGAATTGAATGTAGAGGCTGGACGTGCGCTTTGGTAGACCATCAACGAGCTTGACAAACTTCTCTGACGGCATGGATGAGTTGATGTTGCATGTTTGGGCGTATCGGGGGGATTTCTCCCAGAGCGTCTTCCACTGGTCGTGTGATTTTGTTTTCTGGGCTGCTCTGAGTGCTGCTGTGCTGCATTGGAGTTGGTGTCCTCTTAGGTACTTAGGTAGGAGGCATGTCGGGCTATTGTGGTTCCTGCCTTGTGCGGCCATTTTGGCTTCTTTGTCCGCTAATTCATTCCCTGCAACACTGATGTGGCCCGGTATCCACCTTACTGTGAGTTTGAAGTCTCCCTGCGCTTCTCGTCGTTTGGCTAGCCGGTGGGTCAGTTGTTCGAATTGATCCGCGATGTACCCGCTTCCAGTCTTGTTCATTACTTCGCCCGTTTGGATTGCTGCCTGGTTGTCTACTAAAATTGAGGCTGGGTAGGTGATGTTCTGTTCTGTGGCTAGGAGGTGAGCTGCGAGAGTGAGTCTGAGTAGTTCTCCTTCGTGGACGGTGTGGTCTTTGTCGCTTCCTAGATGGTACCTCAGCGTGCGTGGGTCCTGTCCACTCCTTATTAGAGTTGCTGCTGCACCTATTCCCCCGCAATAACCGGAGCCGTCGCTGAAGATCTGGATGATGTCCTTGAGGTCTTTCTGCTCCTGTACTGCATCTTGTTTTGTCTTCGCTATTCTCGTTTGATACACACTTTTCCCTAATGGTCCTGTTGCCGTCTTGACTGGGTCGATTGTTTCCGTGTTGCCTGGAAAGATGCGGAAGGTGTGAAGAAGATTATGTAGGGACGATCGATGGCTTTGGACATTGTGATTAGCTATCCATATGAGTTTCTTGTATAGCGGATGGGATTGCGGGAGGGAAGCTAGTCGGACTGTGGCTCGGTGACATATCTTTTGCATTAGGAGGGTAATCGGGAGGAGGTTGGCGTGTGCTTCTAAGGAGTCAGTTGGGGCGGTTCGCATTGCCCCGGTGTGTTACGTCGACTGTAGGTCGGCGTGTGCGAACTAGGATAGGTCTTCTCAGCGACGACTCGAGTGAGTCTACTGAAGCTGAGCGTGGTCTAGCCTTGACGGAACGTCAAGGATTCCTCCGGCGATCTCGGTAAGACGGCGCTTGTCGAGATGCAGGGCTAGCAGATATGTGCTAAGTCGTATGGGGGCGACTTAGAAGTGCGGTCTCACACAAGGAAGCTGGTTAAGGCTTAGATGAGCAAGTTCTGGGGATGAACCTAGTAGATTAAAGTGAAGTATAATCTACAACAATGTGTCTACTTATACATGGTATATGTAAGCGTTCAAGCTCAGTCTATAATCTATAGTATATCTGTGATCTAAGATAACTAGACATGAGGTTAGATAAAGTACATGAGGCTTAGCCTCAGATCAAGCATGCAGCGCCAAGTGCGACTGCGCAATCAACAGGAGGCGCATGGAAGCGCTCCGGGTATCCTACATGAGGCGCCAAGGGCGCTCCGGATCTTCATGAAGCGACATGCTGTATACATGCGCTGATCTAGGGTGTCCATGAGGCGTACAGCTTTCATGGATCAGGCACAAGGCTGTCTAGGCCAGGGGCGAGGTCATAGCGCCAGGCGGGGTCATAGCGGTCCAGACCGCTGTCTTTCTAGGCGCAGGCCGGCGCACCGCCGCGCGGGGAGTCTAGCAGAGCGGGGGCGGGCGTAGGGAGAGCTGGGGCTCTAGTAGGTGTTACAGATCCCTGTAACACGGTGATGCTGATGGCTGCTATTCGTTGGACGGTCGTTAGGCGGTCTGCAATTCCTTTGGACCCTTTTTGCATTCCTCCTGTGCCGTCCTTGAAGAGAGGTCTGAACCAGATGTCGGCTCCATATGTGAACTTGGGTATCGCTACACTTTGGTATAGTTGGCACATGAGTTTGGTGGGGATGCCCATGGATGATCTGGATAAGCGGCGGATCTGTAAGATGTATTCTGTACCTTTCGCCACTGCATATGCTGCGTGTTCCTTCCATGTGAGTTCTTGGTCTACTATAATACCTAGGAAGCGAGTGTGGTGAGAAGGTTGGATAACGGTGCCATTGAGGGTGATGGGGTTCCGTTTTTGGTCTTGCTGCGAGTGAAATCCATTAGAGCGAATTTGGATGTCTTGAACTTCGAGTTATGTTCTCTTGACCATTGGTAGCCTCCTCCTTCGCATTCTAGCATGTCTGTCAGGATGGCGTGTGTCTCTTCGAATGTGTTGGCTACTGCGATGTAGGCTGTGTCATCCACGAAGGCAAGAGCAATCTCTTTGCGTCCTCTTCCTATGCGTCCTTTGGCTATATCTACGAGGTCGGAGCTGTATATCAGATAGCAGATCATTGAGAGGGGGTCGCCTTGGCCGATTCCATTGTTGACGGGGAACCATTCGGAGGTGAAGTCATCGAATTTGAGTTGGGTGCGTCGTCCTGTTAGCATTCGCTCCGTGAATTCCACAAGTTCCAGTGGTAGCTGTTGTTTTCTCATGTTGTGGATGAGTCTGTTAGTTACTGCATTCGGGAAGGTGCCTTCTATGTCTAGGAACAAGACTGATGCTACCTTTTTCGATTGCCAGGCATCTTTAATTGTTGCTTCGAGTAGGTGTACTGAGTCGGTGGTGGATTGTCCTGGTCGTCCTCCGAAGTGATTTGCCGGTAGGAGTTGGTACTTTTCGAGTACATGCGTGACTTGACAAGTGACTATAGCCGTGAGGAGTTTGCATGTGGTGTTGATGAGCGCAATCGGTCTGTATGCCTTCGGGATCGAGTAGTCGGCCTTACCGGGTTTTCGTAGCACTACCGTGGTGAAGTCCTTCCAGGGTTCGAAGTATGTATGGTGTGTGAAGACTGCATTAAAAGGTGAGTGAGGTATGGATGAGGGTGGAGGTGTTGCTTTTAAATACTATATTACAGATTCCGTCGGGTCCTGGAGCTTTGAATGGGCTGGTGTTGGTAATGGCGTGGCGGACATCTGCTTCTTTGATAGGCTTGAATGGGGTAACTGGATCTGGGTATTCAAAGTTAGCTGGGATGTTGCTTGAGGCTGGAGCCGGTGGGAAGAATGCTTGGGCGAGGAAGGTGCTTTTCTCGTCATTCATTACTGCTTCTCTAAGTAAGCTGTCGGCATTTTTGGCTTGAAGTACTGGGATTCTTGCTTTGCTGCCATCACTGCTCAGGGTTGAGACATATTTGTTCGCTATCCATATTTCCCGCTGAGTGGCTTCCTCTAGGAACTGCGTCCAATGTTCTTTCTTGGCTTTGTAGATGGCGTTGGATACTTTGTTGCGGAATATCCTGTGTTCTTCGTGTGATGGGTGATCTCTTAGCGCTCGAAATCTGTAGGATAATTCACTCAGCTCGTGTTTTCTCTCTAGCATCTTGGTGAGGTCACGCGTCCACCATCTTTTGGCATGCGGGTTCAGTCTAGATTTGGGTACTTTCTCCTCGATGACTTCGTGCAGGGTCTTTGCTAGTGCCTTTGCTGCTGTTTGGAATTCGTCTGGGGATGTGAGAATAGCTGGGGGCGGGATCATTATTAATTTTTCCTTTAGACACTTATTGAAGCTTTCCCAGTCGGTTTCCTGGTAGTTGTGGCTTATGGTCATAGTGGCTTGAGGGAGTTCTAGATCGAGTGTGCTTAGGATGGGGACGTGGTCAGTTTTCGGTGCGCGAAGTCAGGGTGCCGTGTCACATATGATGAACGAATCTAAGGTATTGTCAGAGCAGATAACGTTGTCGGGACGGGTCCAATTGCCAGTACTTGTAGATTGCAGGGTCGGCTTGTCCTTGGGTAGCGCTTGGCACATTCCATATTCCGCCATTAATTCTAGCCACACTTGGGCTTTAGCTTGAGCATCTCTTGGTTTGAAGAGGTGACGGTTCCTTTCTTCTTCCCATAACGGGTGGTGACAGTTGAAGTCACCTAGCCATACTATATGATCGGTGGCTGATGGACGGATGGTTATATTGGTTTTGAGGTATTGTTGCATTGCTTGAGGGGAGTCTTGTTTGTCGCCGTCATTGTAGATATTAAATAGTGTTAGTTTGCCAAATGCGCCGCCGAATTGAATTACAACTATATCTGTGGAGGGAAAAGGGAGTTGGCGCCAGTTGTCAGTATTAGTACGTTTGTTTACAAGTGTTACCACCCACGAGCGCTTGTTTTGGGTGTAACGGTGAGTGGGATATACTACATGCCAGTCTGGAGTGACTCGTGTATTACCTTTCGTGTCGATGGTGGGTTCTTGTAGGGCTATTATATCCCAGTCTCGTGCAGTCGTGGGTCCGCTAAGAACACAGTGTTGAGCATCAGGTGAGGTGTTGAGGTTTTGCTGCCATATATGCAATCGTGTCGCTGAGTTGTCAGGCGTGTCAATCATTCCAGTTGGCAGGGGATTGGTTTCCTGTCGTGTATTCCAGAGTGCTAAAGAAGTTTTGTGATTGTTGTGGTTGATTGTATCGAGGAGAGGAGTGGTTGGGGACGAAGCCTCATGATGGTGGTCCACCACGTCCAAATCGATGGTTTTGTCTGTTCAGGTATGAATCCAACGTGCGCTGTGTGAGAGGGGGTGGTTGATCATTCGGTGGTGGTGCGGGTTTGCGGTATGGGGCAGGTTTTGGGGGAGCTGCTACTTGGGTCCATTCTTCGTTCGTTGGGAAGAAAGGCATACTGTTATCAGGGTAATGTTTGTCAGTGTCATCACATTTCTTTTTGAAGAATGGACAGTCGCGACTCCAGCTTGAGTGGTCTTCCATTTCGCATGACGTGCAGTAGTTCTTGTCTTTGGTGGTGCAATCATTGGAGCGGTGGTTGTTCCCGCAGTTTGCGCATGTGTCACCTTTTGCTATGCATTCACAAGTGATGTGGCCAAAGTGTTGGCATTTGGCGCAGCGGATTGGTTTGCGTCTGTTTTTCTTCGGCCAGAGTTTGAGCTGGTAGAAGGTGATGCCGTCTCTGATCGCGGTGTTCGCTTCCATTGGTTCTGTGAAGTTAATCAGTACATGGGCTGCTTGTTGGGTACTCATTCTCTTTTCCGCTGGCTTGATCCAACGAGCTGAAGCGAGTGATCCTTTTGTCCAGTTGTTTTTGTCCTCCAGCGTTCTGAGGGCAGCGTCGCTCGTCGGGTTGAATGTGACTGGCATGAAGGGTATCACTACAGGGTAGATACGTTCCTTTATTGTAGCGTTTGGATCAAGGTTCTTCAGGAGGAGGTTCTTCGTTTCTTCATTGGTGTGGATGTAGATAGCGGCTTCCTTCATTTTGAATTCAATGGTCATTCCTCCCTGCTTGAATTGTGAGACTGCCTTCATTTCGAGATCGATGTCGTCCTCTTTGGGTAGGGCTGCCAGGGCTTTGCGGACTCTTTCAACAAGCTGGGCATGGGAGCTTTTCCCCACCACTAGAGGACAGTTAGCTGGGAAATCAATCAGTAGTTGCCTCTCCTTGATTGCTTCTCTCGCTAGTTGCTGGACTTGTTGGGATTGGTGTACTGGATCCTGGTGAGGTGATTGTCCCATCTTCAACGTTTCGGCGTGCGATGGTTTGAGGAGGGGGGAGTCTGATACTTGTGTTGCGAGCTTATCAACAGAGCTTTGAACCTTCATTAGCTGAGAGTCTTAAGCTAGGACTTTGGCGTTGAGTTCCATCGTGGCCTTACTGATGGCTTCTTCTGCTTCTTGGAGTTTGGCTACCTGAGGGGAGATCGATGCTACCACTAGCTTGGCTATGATTTCTGCTGTCTCATTGTTAGTTTTCTCTTGCGTGATGAAGGCTACCGCTCTGATGGCCGTGACAGCTGGTAATGAGATTCCGCTGAGTTGGGTGACATGCAAAAGAGTTTTGGTTAGCGTGTTTACGGTGTAGGGTTTACCTTTGATTGATAGAGCAGTGCGCTCAAGGTATTTCTTGCCTGTATCCGCATTATGGACTTCGTTGGTCAGTTCCATGATTTCCTGGGTGGTTAACCTGGGCGGGGCTTGTCTATTGGCTGTAGCCATCGGTCCGTTGGTGGCTGGGGTCTCGGCTCAGTTCGAGTCAGTTCCTTGGCCGTCTAGAGTAGTTTGAAGTGTGTTTTTGGTGGTTTTTCTTGGTTGTGATGAAAGGGTGAGTGGCATTAGTTGAATCTAGAGTAGGGAGGTTGGTTAGTGGTATTTAGTGAGATGGTGAGGTGCCGTTGGGCGCCTGGTGGTTGAAGTTTTCTGGGGTCCTAGTCGGGGTGCCACCTGGTGCTAAACCAAGAAGCGATGATATGAAGTGTTTGCGACACGTAGTCAAGGGTTGGCCGAACATTTGTGCGGCCGACCCTTGACTACATGTCGCAAACACTTCATATCCTTATTTCTACTACTAAACATATCATGGACAAATGGTATGAGTCTTTCGAGGGAATACTAGCTATCCACCAGGACAAGTTTGTTACTGCTTCGGCACCAACACGTCAAAGTATTTTGAAGACAATACGCGATCAGATTGTCACAAAACATAAGTCACTGGAGGATCCTGCTGCCTTGCCGAAGCCTTTAAGAAAGGTTTGTATCGCTTATTTTGTATAGAAAATAGTACTTATTTGCCTGTATATGAAAAGGCCATTAGGCGCTACTATCTCCAGTTCTTAACCGATGAGGATGATATTCAAGCTGAAGGAGAGTTCCTGGAAGATGAACAGGACAATGAAGCACTTGGTGTATCCCCTGAGGAGAGGGAGATGGCAGCTCGTCCAAAGGATGCCGCATTTTACATGAAGGAAATTACTGACTGGGATGTCGCACAGAAGTTGTTCAAGCAGGAAATCAACGACTATGACAAGGAGGAGCAATCAAAGTCGGGGGGAAAACATTCGATCAAATTCCATACAGGACACACGAGGGACTGGTTTAACAATATGACTCCTGCGCAACGCGAGGAGGTAGAGGACACGAAGGAAAAGTGGAATAGGGAAGGCGCACCAGCAGAAGCGCAGGCAATGTAAGTATTTATATTCTCAACTCAGTATCTCCTATAACTACATATACTGGCAGGTATCGGAAGAGGAACCTCAAAAGAGTCCTGGACGATTTTACAGAACAAATTCGTCGTACTATGGGGTGTCAGGTTGTGATGCTAGTCAGTCACAAAAAAAAATCTGATCAGACTCTAAGTGTTGTCGTGTGAGTGATATTGTCTTATCGAAGTAAAATAACTCAATGTTATTATTCAGCCATGAGTCTAAGCCCTTGAATGGCAAAAAAGTGTTCACACAAAGTTCTCGCGGCAACAAAGAATGGACATCTGATGGTTTTACAAAATTTGCGGAGTGGTCCAAGTCGGAATTCTGTGAGTTTTCATTTTGTATTGACTACACAATAATTAAAGAATCTTAAGACCCTGAGGACTCTGATGGAGTGTCAGACAATGAGGACGATGAGGACGATACCAAGGATAAGTTGCCTGAACTTGTCTTAGACAAGACAGGCTATGCAAAGCTTCCTTCACGCGCTGGTATCAATGCAAAAGGATAGCAAGAATTAGTCCGATGGATCTTCCATGCATTGTACAGTGAGTTGATGTCTGTTCGGTCAGCTTTGATGGGACTTAAGGTTGGTTGGGTAGAAGTTTTCACTGACAGTACCAAGCCAGTACCTTGGCGTGAGGTTGTGGCTAAGCCAAGTTTGTACTTGGACCTGGAGTGCCTCCCCAAGGGTTTCTTGTTGAGGGATCCCTCTCATTTGAGGGCTGACGACATCACCAAGCTGTGGGACCATTGGGAAGTCAGACGGGCAGCCAAGCAAAGATTGATTATTTTCCTTGCAGGCAAGCTTGCTAATATGAGCAAAGAGAGCCTGCAGAATGCAGTTCCCTATAAGGGGGACAAAAAGGTATATGTGGAAATCAGTCAAGAAAACGAGGACGATACCTCAGCCAAGCCACCTACGACACGTACCGAAGGGCCGGCCGGGACCAAGGCTGCCTCCAGCGCCCTAGCCAGCACACACCTTGCACCATGTACCATCAGCCCAGCTGATGATGACTCTTCAGAAGATGACTTAGCCACAACATCCTTTGCAGGACATACAACAGGGCCGGCTGGTGGGCCATCTGGCGCTCAAGAAGGAGCACCCGCAGCAGTTCCAATGAAGGATCGCGTGCAGTTCTTGAAGTCCCTGAGCAATAATGATAAATACCTGCTGTTGGTTGAAGGGGTCAGAGACTTGGAGAAGGTATGTTTGTCATTGAATGAGCAGAATTCAATACTCACATGGTGTAGGGACCAAGCTCTGAGGAGCAAAGGGACTGGCCTACCTGGGCAACATGGTCTTGGGAAGAATCGTACCTTCCCAATGCTGTACACTCTGAAGATGGTGTTGTAGAAATTTTTTTGGACATGATCGCATCTGCCAAGATCACCAGCTTGCCCTCAGGAATGCGCGTCACTTTGGGTCTCGGCTTACTGCTCAGGGAATGTAAACGTGCTATTGAGTATGAGGTGGACGAAGCCCCTCACAACACCCCCACTTACCTTGGTGCCTCGACCTTAGATATCAAGATCCTCAGCCTTGTTGAAGATTTGGTCGATACTGTCAGAGGTAGGATGCTTCCAACGCTCAAGGGAAGGGAGGGTCAGCAATGTGCTGCAGGAGAGCAGGAGGAGAAGGAAAGGGATCACGAGTTGGAGGTCAGGCAGCACCTGGAGGAAGAGTTGAGGATGTTGGAGGAGGCGAAATCGAGGAATAAGAGGTTAAAGGATGATATGCAGAAGCTGCAGGAGGAAACGAAGAAGCTCGTGGAGGAAAATGAGTCCCTGGAGAGACAGAGAGTGGAACTCTTATCCTTGTGCCATTGCCTTTGAGCCTTATCCGCTAAATAGCCAACGTCACATCTTTTTTGACATACTAAAGTCTACTACTACACTTTAAACCTTCTTTCACGATCCTCGTCGACTCTGGTACCCACTCGGTTAGGCCCACCGCAGTACACCACCTTGACGATGACATCTATCTACACCTTTGGACTGCATAATGCCGTCCCGCTGCCCCTTACGTTCTCAGCGCTCTGCACTCGCTGCCAGCATCGAAAACACACCTGATGCTCGAAGTGAGTCATCTTTAATGTCAATACCAACTCATTATCATACCTCAATGGTGGAGAGGTCACAAGACTCTCATGTTGATGGTGCTGTCCTCAGACCCGCTTGCTCTTATAGCGACGTGGTACGGACGAGAGCAAACACACCTCAGCCTGGAGCTGAGGTGGTGTCAGCTGGAGCCTTGAGCACTGAAGACATGCCGAGTAGTTACAAAATGTCGGTGGCTCCCAGCTCCGAAACTGCTATAAAAATAATGGATAGTCTGTTCCTTAGTTCGAGTGAATCGACGGAGGACTCTAGGGTGGACGCACCTTGGAAGACAATTGAACGTCAGCACAAACGATCTAAGAAAGCTGTAAAGAGACCATCTGCAGCGCGGTCAGCGACAAACACTGACCTGGTGAGGGAGGCCGAGAACCATCTCACCAACGAGGAAAAACAGTGCATCCTTGAAAGGAAGCGCGTGGAGGAAAGTGCTCAACCTGATGAGCACACCTCATCGTCCCACGAAGAGGGACCATCCAAAGGAAAGGGGGCTGACCCACGCAACTGGGGCAACCTCGACCTTGATGAAGCCGAAGGCGACGTCAAAGCTCAATGTGAGGCTCTTGAGACCTGGGCCCGCACTAGGGACTGGTCAAGGACTGTTCCAAGAGAAGAACATGAGCCGAGGACTGAATCTGAGAAGGAAAACGAACCTCCAACCGAGTCGGGAGACCGAATCTCAGCAGCCATTAGAGCCGCTGAAAAATGGGTAGCTGAACACTACCAAGACCAAATTCAGTCGCTGCGCAAAGAGTTAAGTAAGAAAGACGCACCTGCAAAGAAAGCAGGTGACCATTCTAAGAAAAAGGTGACCCTACCGCCAGACGAGGATCCTGTGAGACAGATGATGAAGGGGGCAACTAAAAAACCCCCAAAGAAACCGACTCACAGGGAGACTCCTCCTATGATGGACGCAGCTGCACAGATCACTCCCAAAAGTTACTTGGGATGCGCGTTCACGAAACTCGCACCTAAAGACGTTAGAAAACAAAAAAAGTGGACGAAGAACCATGCACCTAGAAGTGATTCTTCAGACAAGGAGCCGTCAAGCTCTGACTCTTCCTCATCTAATAGCACCCGCTCTTCCAGCGATTCCACCAGCTCCTCGAGCTCGTCTAATTCCTCCTCGAGTGGTAAACGACACTCGAAGAAGGGTCGGAAGGGACGTAAGAGCTCTAAGAAGCGTAAGACGTCAACGAAGAGAAAAAGCACCTTGAAACCAATGCCACCTACCAAGTATGACGGTGCAGAGGATTCGAGGGCGTTCCATCAGTTTATAACCAAAGGCACAGCTTATCTGGAAGATGGGCATGTGCCGCGAAAACGTCGAGTGTTCACCTTATCCCGATTTCTCAAGGGAAAGGCGCACGAGTTCTACCTAAGACAAGTGTCAGATAGTCCTAGCACATGGAGAGTGGATGAATTCTTTACCGAGTTATTCAACTACTGTTTTCCATTAGACTATAGCACCAAGCAGCGAAAGAAACTGTACCGATGTTATCGAGGGGACAAACGTGTGCGAGACTATTTGTCAGAACTAAACGAACTATGGTTAATGATAGGAAACGTACCTGAACGAGACAAAGTCATTGAGTTCTGGTTCAGTTTGAACCCAAGCATCCAAACCGAACTCTATAAAATGAGATTAAACCCGGAGGTGTCTTCATTGTCGAAAGTTCAGAAGACAGCCAAGATCATCGAGCTGGCCAACTCCACTGTGGGGACTCGGTCGCGCAACGATGGGTCCAAAGGACACAAACCATCTGGAAAAGATAAGTCAGGACGGACCTCAAAGGGGACTGATAAAACGACGCACCCGAACCAGTCGTCGGGGTCGTCGAAGGACCAGAATGGAGCCAGGCACAACGGCTCCAGAGACAAAGGGTGACGAGACCGATCGAATCCCAAGGATCGACGGAAAGAGCATTTTAACGAACCTAAAATGAGCAAAGAAGAACATGATAAGTTAATGTCCGAAGGACGGTGCTTCATTTGCAAAAAAACCGGGCACATGTCCCGACAGTGCCCTAAAAATGAACGGTACCTTTGAATTCCAGGGATAGACCTCCTGGAGTCCCGAGTTACTCGATGCATGTCAACTATGCTGAGACAGAACACTTGCGGGCACTAGCGGACAGCACCGAGGTAATACCAGAGATATCTGTGGGCAGCATGAGCCTTCATTGCGAGATGAGGGCAAATACCATACCTGCGATCAGGCAACCCATGAGTTTGCTACTAGGAGACCCACTCGCCGAGGAAGCGGAGCGCCTGCTGTCATTGCACGCCCCGTACCCCGGCGATAATCTGGACAAAGAAGAATCATTCTCGGGTCAGCGTTTCGTGATATACCGAGTCTCGGACACTCACCATGTTATCATGGACGGTGCACGAAGGCTGGAAGAGGACTTGACAATCCCTAGTGCATTGCTGAGAAATCCTAAGTTTCCGGTGGGTGACTGGTACATGACCCACCTAGCGAAGCGATTGGGGTGGTCCCGGTCCGAAACTTGTCAGAGACATATTGGAGAACCGATTGGTGATCCTACATCTTGAAGAGTAAGTGAGATCCTAAACAAGGAACAAGACGTACCTAGCGTTAAGTCACGAACTCGTTTCAAATGCGAACAAGTGACGTTCAATGACGAAGCTATGTTCGAGATCACGGATCGTGAACTGACCTTCAGGATATGGGCGAGCCAAACTGACCTGGCAAATGCAAAGCTAGACGTTAGCAGGTGGTACGCGAGGCATCTAGAGAAGGCTTACTGACAGATGCATTCAATGCTGCTGGAAAGGGAGCTAGAACACGAATACAATCAGTTCCGAGCACTGGAAAACGAGGCACTGAGTCCATTGGATTGTGTGTTGGAGGAGGTGGCTCACCAATTATTTGCAATACCGAACATCAGGTTCGCTGAAACGAGAGATCAGTTCCGGCTTGTAGAACTGAACGGACAGCAAGTGGCGCCAGGTACTTACCCTGCGATACAAAGGAACTCGGCCATGACGCGTGATTTTAAGCGCCTAATCCCCAAGCCGATAGTGATAGTGGTGCACATTAATGGGCGCCTGGCACGGGCGTTGGTGGATACCGGTTCGCTCGCCGACTTCATGTCGACGTCACTAGCAGACCAGCTTAGAGTAAAGAAAGTGGCACTAGAGAAACCACTTACTATTCAGCTGGCAGTTCAGGGCTCGCAATCCAAAGTCAATTATGGCGCGAGCGTGAGTTTTGCCTATCAACGAATCAGCGAAACATGTTTGTTCGATATCATAAACCTACAAAACTATGATATGATACTCGGAACGCCGTTCCTGTTCCAACACCAGGCCATGGTGGGATTGAACCCACCAAGGATGGTCATAGGGAGTGACAGGGCGCTACCTATCAAAGGAGAACAAGTGTCAGTACTTGAATCTCGCATGGCGGAAGCATACGAGGAGAACCTTGAGCGCGCTTGCGAGGAGCTACGCCGGCTGGCGAAACCGTTGTGCGCAAAGGCCAGTGAGACTGGCCTTCCTCTGCTGCAAGCAATAAACCACACCATCCCACTCATAGACCTGGAGAAGGTCTACAAGTGGCGGCCATCAAGGTGCCCAGAGCCCTTACGGCCGCAGTGGGGTGAGAAAAGAAAGGCTTACCTGGCTACGGGCAGATGGCGCATGACGAGCGCAGGTAACACTGTCCCGATGCTCTTCATCTGGAAGCCCGGGTCCGATAAGCTGCGAACGGTCATTGACCTGCGTGAGCGGAACACGAACACAAAGAAGTTGTCCTCACCCTTGCCAGACATTGATGGAATACTGCGCCGGGTGGCTCACAAATGTTATTGGTCCATCATAGATGGCCAGGACTCATACGAGCAAATCCGGATCGTCCCCGAACACGTGGAACGATCCGCGGTGACAACACCTGACGGAAACATGATTAGTGAAGTACTGCAGCAGGGAGACTGCAATGCACCTGCAATGTACCAAGCCCTGATGAACTACCTGTTCAGAGAGTACATTGGTAACTGGTTAGACGTGTACCTGGACGACTTGATAATATATTCAGACTCACTCGAGGAGCACGTCCAACACGTAAAGACCGTGCTTGGGATCCTAGAGCGCGAGAAGCTCTACTTAAGTGAGGGAAAGCTCCAGTTCCTGTGCAAGGAACTGAAGGTACTGGGCCGGGTGGTTGACGACGCTGGGATCCGGATGGACCCTGACAAGGTGGACCGGATCCTGAACTGGAAGACCCCAGTAAACCGGGACGCGCTGAGAAGCTTCTTGGGCGCGGTGGGTTTCCTCGCCAATGACATCCATAATGTCCGGGTCCCCATGGGCATCCTATCTGAGATTACTGGGGACACCATACCCTTCCACTGGGAGTACACTCACCAGCGGGCGTTTGACGAGATCAAACAATATATTGAGCACTGCAAGGATCATCATTGAGTGCCTCTGGAATACGGAGGAGACGCACCTACCATCTGGCTGATGACGGACGCCAGTGCCAAAGGCATATCCGCCGTCGTGGCCCAAGGCACGGACTGGCGCACATCGAAGGTGGCAGCACTCTACAGCGCCAAGTTGAGCTCGGCACAGCAAAATTATGCCATCCACAAGCAGGAGATGTTGGCCAGCATGGAGGGGATGCTGCGGCATCACGACATCCTGCAGGGGGCAAAGTTCATGTGGTTGACCGACCACAAGGGCCTGGTGCACCTGTTGCACCAGAAGGAAGTATCCGGAAGGCAAGCGCATTGGTTCGAAAAACTGGGTGAATTCGACTTCGAAGTCAGATACATCCCAGGGGAGGAGAACATCTTACCGGATGCGCTATCACGCATGTACTCATATGATGAGCCGGGCACCGTGCGGGCCGAGAGCGAGTATGCCGCCCATGATGGGGCAATGGACGAGCGTCTGTTGCACACCATTATTTCGATGCCGGTGCTGGTGGGTACGGAAGCCAAGGCCGCTTCTCCAGGATTGCTGGTGCGACGGAGCACCCGCCTGGGGGCTAAGGAGAGACAAGATGCAAGGCATCCAAAAAGGGCACACCAGCCGGTACCGGAAGAGGTTGCTACAACCAGGCCCACACCTGGCATGATCAACCTACCGCCAGGTAGGGATAAACCCACACCTGGCATGATCAACCTAGGGCCTGGTGGGGATGAACCCACACCTGGCATGACCAACCTATGGGGATACCCCACACCTAGCATGATCAACCTACCGCCAACCAAGCCGGCAGTAACCACCTCAGGGAGTGGTAAGTCAGGTGGTGGGCGGCAGGGTTGTCCTTGGATGGAGGAACCAGCTGAGACTGGTCGTCCGGAGATGGCGGCAGAGTTTGCCAGGAGGGTGGCTGGGCGTTTCGTCCTGCGTGGCCCACGCGAACGAAAGGAGGGGGAGGATGCTGGCAAGCAGTCACGAAGCATGTCAGTGTCGAACACCCCAGAGGCAGACGACTTACCAGCGAGCCCATTATGGTACCCAGAGGAGGACCAGCTAATCAAACGAATTAAGGGTCATTATCAGGAGGACCCATTCTTCCAGAAAATACTGGACTCACCCAGTGAATATCGGAACTTCGAGATGACGCAGGAGTTGATACGCATCCGGCTAAAGGACCATACCCTCCTGTGTATCCCAGACCTAAGGATGGATGGCCGGAGTATCCGGGAAGTGGTGATCTTGCAGGCTCACTCACTGTTAGCTCACCTAGGAGCACAAAAGACACTGACCTACCTAAGAGACCACGTCTGGTGGAAGACAATGGCGGCAGACATAACATCCTACTGCGCATCCTGCATGACCTGCAAAAGAAGTAAGCCAGCCAATCATAAACCGTACGGGCTGTTACACACCTTGCCAGTCCCCACGAAACCCTGGGAGTCCATCGGAATCGACTTCGTAGGGCCATTGCCAATGTCTAAAGATCGGGACGGTGAGTACAATGCAATAACTGTCATAATTGACAGACTCACCTTGATGGTACATCTGGTACCCAGCCGAGTCAACTATAAGGCGCGCGAGGTGGCCAAGCTAGTCTTCGCAGAAGTGTACAAACTACACGGACTCCCTAGATCCATCATCAGTGACCGAGACGTCCTATTCACAAGTGCGTTCTGGACTGATCTTAATAAACTAATCGGGGTCAACCAACAGATGTCGAGCGCGTACCATCCAGAGTTGGATGGTGCGACCGAGCGAGCCAACCGGACGTTGGGACAAATGCTGAGGTCCATAATCGGTGCCAGACAGGCGGATTGGGTGTCAAAGCTTCCTGCGATAGAATTCGCTATCAATTCAGCAAGCTCAGAGTCAACACTGACCTCACCTTTCAAGGCAAACTATGGGCAAACTCCCCGCGCCATGGTTTGGGACAACCTGATGAGGGATGAGTATCCCAGCGTGGCGTGTGTACCTGCAGAAGATGAAGCAGGCAGCTATGTCGGCACATGACTCTATCCTACATGCGTGTGTGAAACAAACACACTACACAAACAAACGACGTCAGCCATGTCCATTTAAGGAAGGAGACTTGGCTTACATTTCGACAAAGAACTTGTCTCTGCCCAAGGGCTCAGCGCGCAAACTGACGCCCAAATATATAGGACCCTACAGGCTTATCAAAAGCTACAGTAATAACTCTTTCCTGGCGGACTTACCTAGTCGTTTACGACAATGCGGGATACACCCCGTCTTCCACTCCTCCCTCCTTCGCATCCACATTCCAAATGATGACAGACTCTTCCCTGGACGCCTGGACACGCAGGTGGTGGACCTGGATAGCGAGCGAGAGGGTGAATGGTTAGTGGATCGTGTTCTCTTGCACCACGGGGCAGGGCGGAACACCACGTTCGAGGTAAAGTGGCGAGCCGGGGACGTCACCTGGTTGCCATACAGGCAAGTGTGCCATTTGGATGCCTTAGGCGAGTACCTGGACTCCTTCGGCTACGCTAATATCTCTGAGTTGACAGAGGGGCAAGGGACTCCACCTGGAGACGACCTGACAAGTTATATTGGGGTCATGTTGCTAGGAGGAAATAATATAAAGTCAGTGCCCGTCCCTACCCCACCAGAACAACCCACCTTGTCCTTCATCCCATCATCAGCACTCTCACCATCCTTCTCGTGGTCCAATGAGACCGAGCTATCACTATTCGCCATGATGGTCCTTCAAGACGAGGGAGACTTGCTGTACTTCACGGGGCACAGACACGACATTCTCATCCGCAACCCCGAAAATCCCAACGACTCTCACCTCATCATGCACGACCAGCTCAAGCTGTTCGTGATGTACTCTCACACCCTCCGCAACAAGGGACCTTGCTCCCGTCCCCCTGGCCCTCTGGGCTACAAATTCTTCGTGCAGGCCTTCAACAGCGAAGGCTTGCATTCATCAGCCTCGTACCTAGATGAGCACGGCACCGTCATCAGTGCCGGATCCTCAATTGAGGCATCAGACATCATTGGGGACGACGACGATGATGAAAATACAACCGTCTCATCCACCCGCATGGGGCAGATGGAAAAGATGGTCTGGCATACGGCGTTGAGCACCACTCATCAGCGGGAGAAGATGGAGATGCGTCGGGCGGGACAGTGTAAAGAAAAGAACTTCAGGCGCAAGCAGGCGCAGAAGTTACACAAAAAGGGACTGGGCAAGATTCGGAAGGAGACCGACCTGCCCACTACATACCCCGTCACGGGCCCCTCATCTGGTGCGGTCATCAAAGAGACCATGGCCACAGAGGACTAACACTCCACCAACCAAAAGACTCGAGGGGACGGACGTCTCCCTGGAGGGGGAGATGTAACGGTTACGTTCCTTTTGCTCCTGGTTATCTGTTCCTCATTTATATTTCTTATGTCTGACTCTATGCACACAACTACTTACCGGTCTCATAGTTATCTATTTATCGGCCGAGCCCTGCGTTACCCCTTGGCTTCCTACCTTTCCCGTTTACCTTAGTATCCGATATCAGCCGTCTTCGTAGACCTTAAATATCATACCTAGTCGTAGAGTTAGGGCAGAGTTGTTTGAACCCCCAAATTGGAGACTTTGATCCTGTCATTTACGTTCGAACTCTCTCTTATCCTTGTGCCGTTGCCTTCGAGCCTTATCCGCTAAATAGCCAACGTCACACAATGACAACACCTCTATTTTATAATTCTTGTAAATGTCGTGCACTAGAAGATGACTATGAATGATTTGTATGTCCCGAGTGTTCAATATCAATGTCCGAAAAACATCATGCTATGAGCTGAGCTCAGTCCATCTGAGTGCTGGCACATCCTCAATACACAAATGCTTAAGCGCAGTCTAGCCGCACTTGCAAACCTCGGACAATTCACAAAGAAAAGTACATCAGTAAATCATGAGTTCACTTTTCTAGCTTTTTTAGCATTTAAATAAGTGACCTGTTACTCATTTTCACTTTTTCCCACTATTTGTTTGGACGTGAAAAGTTCATGCTTTGAAATTAAGTAACCAACATATAATAAGCGGAAAAGTCAGCAAAAAGTGAGTAAGGTGAAAAGTGAGCGACAAGGAACAAAGTAAACAAAATGATAGAAAAAGTGAGTTACACTAAGCTGCTATTTTAAATGCATGATGGTCAGCATATTTGTTGACATAGAAAAGGGTGAATATGTCGAGAACATGGTGGGATTTAATTGCCGGGGGGAGCATATCAGTACCGTAGACTGGAATAAGGTGAGCGGAACGGAAAATACTATCCACATGGATCACCGCAAAGTGTGTGCGACCATCAACAGAGGAAGGCTCTACCATCCACATTCCAGTATCGTCATCTGGTGCATTTCCAACTTGGTTGAACCAGCGGACAACTGCGCATGGATAGCGTACATCCCTGAGTCGAAAGGAAAAAAATGTGAGTACCTGAGCAATATCCATGCCACGCATTCCGTGAGCATTTGAGTCAGTAATGACAAGCACGCAATCTTTGCGTGCATGTCCAGTTCTCCACTTGGGAGACACGCGAATGTACTCGTGTTTCATCCCACCAATCCCACTCAAATCGCTCGGTGCGAAGAACATTGATACTGCAGAATTAAAGACCCGTATCCTCCCATTGAAACGAGGGCAGTCCATGATACTCTCGGGAACTTCGGTAGGGTCCTTGTCCGGATACAGTTGTCCGATGAGGAATTGCGAGACGAGATCAGCCAGATGTGGGATATCAAGCTCATTGGCTAGCGCAGGGACACTTTGTGCCCGCTTTTTCCCTTCTATTTGAATTCATAGTTAGCACATTAAGATAGAGAATATAAATAAATGACATACGAGACGTTCGTGCAAGTTCGACATGTGCAAGGACAGACATCGGTGCGTCAATGTCCTCAAAGTCCGCAGCAACATCAGTGTCAGCCACACTGGCACTTTTTGGTATACTGGGTTCTTGTTGGTCCGAGTCAGTAGTATGGGGCTCTTCTACATCACTTTGCGCAGGGGAGATAGTAGTGGCAGGTCGTCCATCTGCTGATGGTTCTAGTAGTAATGAGAATGAGAATTACATATTAAATGAGATAGCGGCAACATACCGAGTGATGCGAGAACAGCAGATACACATGTACCTGCAAGCATTCCACGAAAACGGAAATCCACCCGTGACATTGCCAATTTATCCAAACACTGATTAGTTAGCAGCATCTGTCCTAGTGCCTTGTATCGGCCGGAACGCCTCCATGGCTCTTTGACGGCTTTGATATGTTTGGACTCTGTGATCGAGGAGCACAGCCCATTTGGAGCACCAAACAGTCGAATAAGGCGGGCATAGTGAACCATAGAGTGTTGCCTAGGAAGTGAGAAAGTAGTGACTACTCCAGTCGTCTTGAAAATCTCACGATATGTATGAAAACGAGTCAGCGCATCTTCGATTTCAGAGAGGGACTTCTCGTTGATGACGTTACGACGGACAAGGTAACAGAACTCAAGTAATGCCCGGAAGGAACGCACGACGTCCACTGGCACATATCCTTCAATGGCAGGCAAGTAAACCTTAAGACAATCAGTGCTACAATATTTTGTATAGAATAAAATGTAGATTACCTTCATAAGTGCTTTTGAGTCGTCACCTGTCCACTGTTTGAAATGACGTCCTTGGGGAAATCTACGCAATCCAGGAAATGGAGGGACTGCCGCAATTCTATGAAAAATTAAGTCTAAGTAAAATTACAGTAAAGAAAACGCACCTTCGGTCAATGTCATCTAGGATAATATTAGCTCGCCTCTTTCCATGTGTCTGCAGGAGATACTTCTCTACCCAATCAACCAAATGATCTTTGTATGCCCCCTTGATGAGCTGATGGAGAATGTCAGGCGCAAGCAACTCGTGAATATCGGCGCGGGGGAAATCGTTCGTAAACGGCTGCATTCATGAGTGAATCTAAGTACTAATGAAACTAAGGGAACAAGTTACTGTTACGCTGACTGTGGGTCGGCGTGTGCGAACTAGGATGGGTCTTCTCAGCGACGACTCGAGTGAGTCTACTGAAGCTGAGCGTGGTCTGGCCTCGACGGAACGTCAAGGATTCCTCCGGCGATCTCAGTAAGGCGGCGCTCGTCGAGATGCAGGGCTAGCGGATACGTGCTAAGTCGTATGGGGGCGACTTAGAAGTGCGGTCTCACACAAGGAAGCTGGTAGGCTTAGATGAGCAAGTTCTGGGGATGAACCTAGTAGATTAAAGTAAAGTCTAAGTACAATAATCTGTGTCTACTTATAGGGAAGTACTACAAGTATTCTAGCTCAGTCTGTAATCAATAGTATATCGTAAATCTATGATAGCAAGACATGAGGTTCAGATAAGATACATGAGGCTTAACCTCTGATCAAGCATGCTGCGCCAAGGGCAGCTGCGCATAGGTACAGGAAGCGCCGAGCGCGCTCCGGATCTTCATGAAGCGACATGCGGTATGCATGCGCTGATCTAGGGTGACCATGAGGCGTACAGCCTCCATGGATCAGGTACAAGGCCTTCTAGGCCAGGGGCGGGTTATAGCGCCAGGGGAGGGGTCACAGCGGTCCAGACCACTGTCTTTCTAGGCGCGGGCGGCGCACCGCCGCGCGGGGAGTCTAGCAGAGCGGGGGCAGGCGTAGGCAGAGCAGTGGCTCTCATAGGTGTTACAGATGCCTGTAACAGTTACCACAAGCTCGCCAACTATACCATATTCCAAATGCAGGGTTCCAGAGTCGCACTCTTTGATTAGGGCATCTGTATGAGATCTTGAGCGACAGAGACTGACATCATCGAGGTTTCCGCGACGTGAAAGACATCTTGCTCGGCATAAGCATAAATAACAGTAGGTCATCGAGAAAAACTTACTTGGTGCACCAATTTCGAAATATACAGGCGAGCAGCACCTGCTCTTCATAGTCCGCAATGTAAGGTCTAAGCCCGTAGATCACGCAACGGTAATGGCCATCCCCGAAGCGTGTGACCTCAGGCTTCGTCATAGCAGGCTTGAGGTTCTTGAGGATGAATGAAAGTGAGGAATGAAAGAGTTGGCGTCGGAAATTTCGGAAGCCTGGTGTCTCGGCGTGCTCTTTGGTTGCTTTTTAAGATGTCAGAACAATGCGACAGGGAACAAGTGACCACTTACTTTTGGGCATTGCAAGAAAGCCTATGACAACTACAGCATTACGATGAGCACGACGCACATTATTCTGAATGTTACCAATGGAGGCGTAGAGTGGATAGTAGTCGTTCTGCCCAGTGGCAACTGAAACGGTTGTTTTGTCGCTTCCAAGAATGACCGGCACGAATGTGGAGCCATGAGTGTCAGGATCTTCGGATATCTTGTCCTGTAGATGCCTTAGTTGAGACATACACAATGAGATAATGAAAGACGTACAGCCTGAGCCCAGCTCCAATCTCCGGACATGAAATCTTTCCATTGGCGTTCATCATTCTCTGTTGCAAACTCACGGTAGGGTTGAAGGTCCATCTCCGCAGCAAAGTCTGGATTAGCGAGCATATTTCGAATAACGTCACGAGGATCGCAAAACCAAACTTCATGGGAATCTTCCATCCAGGGCAGGGCACCTTCATCTGGAATTGTGCCGGTGTATTTGGCTGAAAAGGATTGCCACTTAATGTCGCCGAGGGGAGTATTGTCAATCATCCTGTAGAGGTCGCGATGATCAGAGAACAGAGTGTGTTTACCCCCAGCTTGGATCAAGGAAGCTGACAAAATGTTCAGGAGCTGGTCAATCGAATTGGCAGGAGTTTGATTCTTCGTAAATAGGTAGTCGGCCAGCTCAAATTCGACGCGGCTCCTGTAGGGAGTCCAGTCATCCAGTGACTTTTCTGTGAGTGGTGGTGGAGGAGTTCCTGGTGGAAGGAATACGCCCTCAGGATCACAGGGACGAGCTATGTAGGTATAATGTAGGTATATTTTTAGTACTGTTAAACAAAAATAGAGCGGTTGAACTTACCGGACAAGAAAGGGTGATAATTTCTATACAACTGGTCACCAGTGCCAAAGAATTCCGCCCTTACTTGCGGAGGATCTTCATCATCCATGGGACCGGTGTCACCAAAGTCCATGGGGCCAAGCCCAGGGCTTGGTGGATGAGGTGGCAATTGAGTTGGTGCAGGTGGCGTTAGGAAAATGGGGTGCTTCGCGTTCACATGCTGAGTATGCCCCAACTGATTCCTAAACCAGCAGTTGCACCCTGCCTTCGTACAAGGGATGCATAGTCCGCTGGGCTTGCGATGTGACTGAGGCATGATCCTCAGAACCTGTTGTAGTACGCCCTTGCCTTGAGTATTTAATATGTGAAAAAATGCAGATGAACTTACCGGAGACTGAGTACAGGAGGGAGGGGTGGTACGCCCTTGCCTTGAGTAGACATTTGAGGGTGGGGTGGTACACCCTTGCCAATGTTCGAGGGTGATGTGTAAAAATGCTTGATGGACTTGACGGGAGACTGAGTGCAGGAGGGACTGTTGTTGACAGTGCTCATTAGCCTAGTAAATGTTGGAGGTGAATATACATACCTGTAGCGAGTATAGGCGGACTTGGAAAAATGGTATCGAGTGCTACTGAAGGGTTGTTTGTTTGCGTTTAGGAAATTTTGTACACTGCACTACGTTTGACTCACCTTTTATAATCAGTGTCCTTTGCCGCATTCCTCTCCTTGCCTGCCATTCATATCCGTCATGGCACCTCCCATCTCCCCTCGCCGTACACGTGTCAAAAACGCCACACAACGCCCTGGGCTTGTGCTTCTCGAAGGTAAAAAAAAACAACGTACTCAAGCCCAGATCAAAGAAGACAAACAGCGTGCCGAGGAGGCGCAGGCTGCACAGGAAGCTGCCCTGCAGCATGGAATCGACCATATCGCAGGTATCGAGGCTGCCATGGAGGTGGAGCAGGGCACTCAGTCAGCTGCGAAAGCGAAGCCGGTGAAACCTCGTGCTAGACCAGTCAAGAAAAAGTTAGATGGGGCAGTTGCAGCTAATGAGCTTACCTCTAGCAGTCTCCCTGTGGCCCCAGCACCGGCTAATAAGGGTCAAGGCGGCATGAAGGGTCAAGGCGGCATGAAGAGTCAGGGTGTTGGTGGCATAGGGGAAGGAAGTAGCGGAGCGGTTGGGAATGAGATCACAAAGCCGACAAAGAAGACAAAGAAGAAGCTGCATGAGGCTGCAACAAGGCAAATCCTTGATGGCGATCAGCGAATCGAAGTTGAAGTACCCGATACTGACAAGAAAGGAAATCATGTACCGTCAGTGAACTTGTCTTCTCACCATCATGTTGATGCTCACCGAATCCACGCTGCGCTTTATGACACTGACTTGGGCACTTAGTAATAAAAAATGCTTGGCAGGGAAGGTCAACAACTGGCAAAATCGCCTGGAACCTGAGACCGAGTCAGCGGTGTCCCCTGTTGTGAGAGCTGAACCTGAACCTTCAGGCGGCTCTGTTTTGTCAGCAACAACCCGGCTGAAGACGAGTCAGACTGCAGCAACCACAATCTTGTTTGCAAAAGACCCACCACTTTCCTTGATGGATTCATCGGACGGTTCTATATCGGACAATAGTGAGGACGGAGGCAATGAAAAAGATGGTGATGAGGATGGTGATGAGGATTCCAAAGAGCATCCGGCTACTCTCGCAGACAGTGTGAAAGGGAAGGCGGGAATGAAGGTGAGTCTCTCATTTTCATTTTTGTTTGATGCACACTCACAGTATTTAACTTAGTCTGTCGTACAGATCGCTGAAAGTTCAGATGACGGAATGTCCGAAGTACAAGTATCAACACCATTTCATCTGCTGCCATTTAGTCAACAAGCTGACATAGTGAGATTTGCCCTGGAGCAGGCCCGGCCTCATGCAGCTTCATCGACAAAGAGAACAATTGAGGAAGCCGGATTGATAGGCTCCTCCGAAGACTATGATCCAGATGATATTGAGGAGGAGGAGGGGGAAGAGGATGAGTTCGTCACTGACTCTAATAGTATGTTGGTCGATGAAGAATCTTCCTCAATTGTAGAGGTTCTTAAGCCAACACGCACTACTACAAAGGTGAGTGTTTTTTTTTAGTCTTTATGATGCTAAGATATACTCTACTAGACTAGTGTGATGGTCGCTAGCACCGAGAAACTGAAACCACTCAAGAAACCGAAATTGGAACCGGCACTTCTAACAATCTCTGAATCTAGTTTGATGTCTGCTGACTTGGCGACAAAGCCCAAATCTGGCAACCAATGGCGAAACACGGATCTCCCACCAATTATGCTGGAGGATGGCACATGGCGCAGGAGCTTTATCCCGACAGTTTTTCTTTGGGCAGGTGCTCAGCCAAATTTTTGGTGCATTGAGGCCGAAAAATTACACCCAGCGCTCCAGGCCATTTTTGACGTTGCATTTCCAGGAATGAATCACAATGTTCAACCAAAAGGTCCCATTATGGGCTTGGTATGTCTCACTCTTATTTTCGTATCCAACTATTTTAACTATTACCCGAAGGTGAATCAACGTCTTTGCTCCTGGCGCAGCAATTTCGGATCAACAGCCATCGCCCTCGTCACCAACTTTCTGGCCACCTCTAAAGATAACAACATCGATGAGGACGAGGATGAGGACGACTATGAACAGGAGCTAGCAGCAAGTCTTCTCGAGAACTGGGCCTTTCTCTATGAGGACCCAGATAATTGCGACCCAAACAAGATCTATCGGTCGGTATTCATACTGGAAATGATCGAGTCAGCTCATATCAACACAACTGCCGGATCCCTCGATGTACCAGCACTCAACACAGATGCTCTACGGCTGAATGGCATGCAAGGTGTCATCGCTGCAAGTGCCGCTGCTGTAGGTCGTATCTGTGGGTTTTAACTTTGATTAACAGTCTATTTTTGCAGCTTGAACGTGCTTTCAATATTGCCACAAAGCCGAAGAATTTCACTGATACATTCAGCACTGGAACCAGCAGCGTGAAGGGCAGTATTAAGGCCCGCAAAACGCCCCTGAAGCGCAACAAATCTACCGGTAAGGACAACACTATAGCATCAGCCTTTTCAGAGGCGAACTGTGGCTTGGCAACATCGGAATACTATGCATCCCTCCAGAGGCGAGGGATGAAGTACACGATAGACACGATTGCTTTGGTGCGTCAGCGGCAAGCAGCCCAAAACACTACTTCTGAGGACTCGCTGAAACCGAAGGGCAAACGTGCCATGCTCTGTAAGTAGTTTTTACTTGATATATGCTTTACTGACTGCTGCATGTCCAACAGAATACTTCTTGGTTTCGTCCTTCATTTTCCGAACTCTCTGCTTGCCCCAGTACCTTACACCATCGGGACATTAATGCATCTTCCCCCCCTTCCGGTGATTTGATAACAAGAATTTTCTATTCGCATTTTTGGACTACTTCTAGATTACTTTTTGTCTCCGTTTTTCGCACCTCTGGACTACTTTTCCTCTACTCACTCATATTTGTGGACTACTTCTAGACGCCTTTTGTCTCTATTTTTCGCACTTTTAAACTACTTATTTCTCACTCAAACAGCTTTTTAATGTGCTGTCTCACACGAGTCTCGTAAAATAAGTCAAAATAAGTTGGAATAAGTTGGGAATAAGTTGAATTTGAGGAGAGAGATCTACTGAAAAAAGTTGCTCTTACTTTTGTCGCCTTCACACGACTTCCTACTGAATCGTGCGAAAAAGTTGGATATAAGTGGGTAAGAAGTGAACTCATGATTTACTGATGTATTGATGCTTATCATAAAAGCCTAAGTACTGCCAGGTGTCAGGCTGCGGCTTGGGCGGCAAAGTACCATGGACACCGTGTTCGAGTCCCACCTTCAATATACTCAGTAAACTCGATGCAGTTGAAAAGTGACATGATATCGATAAAATATAAAATATCTAGTGTACATGAGTTTTGAAGTGTGTTGCATATTACCCATCGATTGTACAACTTGAAGGTGATACTTAGTGTATGATGTTTGAGAAAATGATCGGAAGCGGAAGTCGGGGACTTGCTATGTAACACCATGCAACCCGGGCCATCATATTGATGGCAATAAGTTTAACAAGGTTTGTGGTCCAGCGACGTGCCAGCTGGAGCCTATTGCGTTAATCGCGCATGACCGTAATATGAACGGTATCAAGAAACACAATGTGTGTTGTTATAATCGTTCGTTTCCATACTCATGCCAGCAGGATTTTGTTTGACACATTGCGTTAATAACAAATTGCTCATGCAGCCAAAGTGCAGTCGCAAACCGGTACTAATCCGAGTGAAGGTGTAACTAGGGCACTCCACTTGGCATCTCTTGCTCATCTTCTGCTAACAGTCGTCCATGTCGACATTCACCGTTCTTACTTCGCTGTACATTTGTCTTGCTGGTGTCGGAGTGTTTCTCGACTACATATTCGCCAAGAAGAACCCACAATATCCCCCTGGTCCTCGGGGCCTGCCTCTAGTTGGGAACATTCAAGACATACCTTTTGTCAAACCGTGGCTCACCTTCGCTGAATGGGGCAAGAAGTATGGTAAAGTCTCCCGTTTTTCCAGAATCATACATTTTAATGCCCTTGCGCGCAGGTGATATTTCGCATGTCAATGTTCTAGGTATGCACATCTTCGTGCTGAACTCCGCCAAAACTGCGGTGGAAATGCTGGACAAGAAGAGTTCTATATACTCTGACCGTCCAGTTGTTCCTATGAGTGGCGAACTTATGGGCTATGGGCAAACTTTGCCTTATCTCCGTTATGGTGAACGCTTCCGCTCATTCCGCAAGAATTTCCATCGCGCCCTTGGTAAGTCGCGCTGCTTTGGTTGTCTACCAGCCCATAGAGGAGATGGAGACCCGCAGATTCCTGAAGCGTGTACTAGCGAAACCTGACCAGCTGCAAGCACACATTCGACAGTATGTATTCTGTAGTATCACTACTGGCTTAACCTTGAATCTTTCTAGCACCACTGGCGCTATCATTCTGCGCATCTGTTATGGTTATGAAGTCAAGGAGAATAAGGATCCTCTCGTTGACATTGCAGAACGTACTTTAGACGAATTCTCGCAGCACGCTTACATCGGTGAATTTATGGTCGACTTCCTGCCATCCTGTAAGGCCATGACATTTCGACGTTCGCTCTCAATAGACCTGACTATGTTCTAGTGGCAAAGGTCCCAGAGTGGTTCCCTGGTGCCTGGCTTCAAACGCATAGCCCGTGAGTGCCGAGCGACCGTCGAAGAGATGGCTGCTATACCCTACAAGTTTGTCAAAGATCAGATGGTGACTAAGATTTGTAGTTTTTCCGCTACGCACTATTGATTGAATTTTACAGGTTGCTGGCATTGCCCTCAAGTCTTTTACTTCAGATTTGTTAAAGGACCGTACTTTGACAGCGGAAGAGGATCACATTGTGAAGTGGTCTGCTGTATCACTATTCAGCGCTGGTGCCGACACGGTTTGTCCGTTTGAAACTATCATATGTTGGGGCTAACGCCTGTTTGCTCAGACTGTTTCTGCGATCTACTCATTTTTCCTGGCTATGACACTTTTCCCTGATGTGCAGAAGAAGGCTCAGGCTGAAATTGATGCTGTTGTTGGCCCTGATCGTCTTCCCTCCTTCGCCGATCGCGTCCTCCCTCCCCTACATCGAGGCGCTTGTTAAGGAGGTCCTCCGCTGGAATGTTGTCATACCTACTGGTATGTGTATCTCGTTTATCGTAATCTTTAGTTGACCAATAGTGCCCGATGTCAGTTGATCACAGCGTAACTGAGGATGACATCCACGATGGGTATCACATCCCAAGAGGCTCTGTGATAATCACCTAACATATGGTTGGTACTCTCCTTGTGCATATGGTATATTAACACTTTGAATTGTGACAGGTTCATGCTCAATGATCCGCAGGCATATGTCAATCCCTCGGAATTCAATCCTGAGCGCTTTTTGGCCAAGGATGGAAAAGAGCCTGAGACCGATCCTCGCACCCTGTGCTTCGGTTTTGGTAGACGGTAAGAGTTGAGTCGCTGTTATATTTTGAGTGAAATGCTAAGGTTCTGTTCTATAGGCTCTGCCCGGGTATGCACGACTGACAGAACACTAACAAGTTTTCTAACGTTGATCGCTTTCGACTGTATAGGTCTGCATCTCGCTGATGCATCCATCTGGTTAACCGCCGCAATGTCACTTGCAGTGTTTGACGTTTCCAAGGTTGTCGAGAATGGCGTTGAAATCACCCCTGAAATTGACCCCTCATCCGGGTTGATCAGGTATGTTGCATATCTTAATATGACTACGGTGCTCTGGACATACACACTCGCAGCCACCCCAAACCTTTCAAGTGCTCGATCGAGGCTCGCTCTGAAACAGCTTCTACACTAATTCAACAAGATATTTAAGTACTAAGTATTGCTAACCGGAGGTTGTTTCACACAGTAAGGCTACGTCACAAAGTATTCTACGATTTCTTCTGCTTGATCATACGAGGGAACTCGCGGGGTGAATGATGCATGAATGCTCTCTTCCTCTGCAAGCTAGAACACACTGTCATTCAGAGTACCTTGAGACGAGGTTTTCAGGCCTTTGCCCCTGTTACTATCATGTTGTTTCCGTGTATAACTTTCTTCGTTGTCTGCTAGGTCACCATCATGTGAACGTCAGTGGTGAGGTACCAAATACCCGTACTACGTGAGTCGTGAATGTCAGAGATTCCTGGATGTCCTCGCAACAGCGCCGCAGTGCACAGTGACTGCAGTGTGCCTGATCTGAGTAACAACGTCGTCCTCGCTTGAGATCATTCGACATCGTTGATTTGGGCTTTTTGCTATTTTGTGCTCTACTTGATCATCTCACTTCGCGTGGGCGCAGACCTTAAAGCTTAAGATCTAAGACCATGGTGAGGTTGTCGACAGTGCGGGGTACATGCAGGCGGCTTTACCCGGCGGCGGGTAAAATAAGAGGCGCCGTGTTCGGTGGCCAGTTGTGATCCTCGAATCAAAATAAGCAGGTTCTTGTGGACTGCCGTTGCACACCTTATCGATTAACTAGCCAATGGCAAGCCGGTCAGCAAACACCTCATTGGAACAAATTCACATAGTATAATGGGCTACATCTTTCATTCGAGTCGCTCCCTTATACCACCATGATTGTGCCACAGGATGACGAGGAGACACCTCTCCTGCAACGACCAGAGCAGCCAACGACTAAGACACCTCTGCCCTGGGATCGATTTTGGATTATACTGCTCTTGGAGATGCCAAGTTTTCTTTCTTCTCAGACCCTTGCCCCGTTCATTCCCCAGGTGAGTAGATTTCCCTTTGCTAGATCTCAAGGATCTGACTACAACTGGAACTTTGTCAAGCTCATTAGAGACATTGGAGTGACTCACGGAGACGAATCTCAGGTTGGTTACTATGTCGGCATCCTTGTAAGTGTGTCTTCATTGTTCCTACTCCTTCATTCGTTTCTGATATTCTTTTGAGCAATCATCATGCTATGCAGCTCATATGCTGACTATTTTCCATTGGAGTCGACTATCCGACCACATCGGGCGGAAGCCTGTAATGCTGACAGCTTTATTAGCAATCATTGTTTCGATGTTTTCGTTTGGGCTGTCAAAGACTTTCCTTGGTCTGCTGGTCAGGTCAGCGTGTTCAGTCAAAAAGTAGTTGTGACTATCAATATTAATATCCTTGACCAGTCGTGTTTTCTGCGGAGCATTTGATTCGAGCGATGGCGTCCTCGAGACCTTGGTGATGGACACCACTGACGTGACCAATATGCCCGAGGCGTACGGTTATATACCAATTCCATGGATGATCGGAAACACAGTTGGGTAGGCATACAGTACATTTTCTCTCACACTGAGGCTCACGGCATCTACTAGACCGCTCATTGGAGGATCGCTCTCCCGACCAGCAGACAGATTCCCTGACATCTTTGGGCGATCAGAACTCCTGAAAACTTATCCATATCTCCTGCCATGCTCTATTTCAGCATTTTTTATATCGATAGCTTGGCTAATCACGTATTTTCGTCTTAAAGAGGTGAGCGTGATACTGAAAACTCATCTCTGGATCACACTAAGTATGGTTGACAGAGCGTTTCTACCAGGACACCACTTTGGGAGCTAATTAAAGGAGGATTCTTCCGACAGTCATACCAAAAGCTTCACCAACCATCGAGTAATGTTGATCCTGGAGAAGTCCAATCAAAGCCGCTTCCGCTACATGCCTTGTTAACCTCGAAAGTGTTGAGGGTAACAACGAGTTATGCTACCACAAACCTGCTTTACATAGCGTTTGCTTCGGTCCTACCTGTTTTCTATGCGACACCGATTGAACTTGGTGGTCTTTCCCTTGACCCTCCTCGCATAGGCGCTTTGCTTGCGGCACAAGGTGTCACACATGGCATATTTCAGCTACTTTTCAACGCTCGTTTACATGACCGCTTCGGTGCAGGAGCTATCCACATCACCGGCGTTAGCTCCGGCATACCCATCGTCATTTTATTTCCAGTCATCAATGCTCTGGCTCGAGCCTATGGAGTGGGTATGGCGGTATGGCTGTGTGTTGCTGTCCAGCTTGCGCTGACTACTAGCCTGGTCATGTGCTACCGTATGTCAATCCAGCACTTCCTGCGTTCTGCTAAACTAAGAAGACTTCATAGCCTGCATGTCATTATTCGTTAGAGCAGCTGCTCCCAATCGTGCCTCGTTCGGAGCAACCAATGGAATTGCCCTGGTAGCTGTCACAGTAGCTAGTATCATCGCCCCGGCGTCTGCAGCTTCGGTCTTCTCTTATTCATTGCAGGAAGGGCATGATGCGTGGTCGATATACTACTTCTTGATGACAATTACATTTCTCGCAGTAGGTACTGCTCTGTTACTTCCCCGTGATCCTAGTGTATGGGAAGATTCCCAATAATGTTATTGCGAATGACCGCGTGCTATGACAGTGTAGGGGGAAGAACTGGCAAAACTGTCCTCAAAAAACCGTCCCGAATCTCCTGGTGTTCGCGATGAATTTGAACAAGGGTTTAAAGCATTTGGCCTCGTTAGGATGTGTTCTATGTGGTGTGTTTTCGTTCCCAGTTTCATTATGAGTGTCTCGTTGTCTGGCATGGGGGGCGGGCATGTGAAGAGGACTTCCTTCGTTGCATTGCTAGCATGTCACTGTGTCTGACTTCGCTACGCGATCAAGATGTTTATTGAGTGGTGTGTATCCAGTTCAGACTTGGAACAGAACAGAACTCTTGGAACCCTGTCAATGATATCTGTGAAGTGTTTCCGAGTCGAGGGTGCGAATGCAGATCTATGGTGTGCAGTATAGGGGATTTGCGCATGATCTTTGACGCTTCCTGTTTAATTTCCGCTCAGAAGTTCTGCAGCAGTGTCAATCATTATGCTGTGGATTATTGTCCATCTTATCATGCAAAAAAATAGCATCTGCATGCATGATATGTTGTAAATGTGAATGAGCTATGTTGAAATAAAAGATGGTTCAAGTAGGTTCAAGTGTAAAGCGTTGGCTGCGTGCAGCAGAAATTGGGGCTCGCACGCAGGTGTATCGAACCAATGATGATTACAACAGAGATTGAGTAGTACAGCTCAGTTGTGCGTGAGAGATGTTGTCCCATACGTAAGAGAAATGAAAACTGGCAGGAACGGTGTGAACGTTCACGTTCAAACATGCCAGACTAGGCGGGTTGCATTGAGTACCGAAAGGATAAGCATAAGCAGACTGGTCCGGGAAAAGTGCATGGGAGAAGAATGGAACCTGGATTCCGGAGTGTGCCAGAATTTCAGATCAGACCAGAATTTATACTTTGCAGGTGTACGAAATGACGGTAACCTTGTGGTCAATATCTATATCCCACGATCATGATGGTCATAACGCTGTTCAATTTTACCTGAGATGTGTAGCGTACTATATTGTGGAGTGGGAACTCGGCAGCATGTTGTAAGAGATGGAGCAGAGACGTTCCAAAAGGTAGTCGGCCTCCAGAAGGCGCAGCAGTGCAATGGGTTTGACGTTTGCGCCCTAGCACGAGGGGACCCATGAGACGCACACAGGTGGACACCGCTCCAAGATCATCATAAAATTACATATTGCAGATATAGTAACAGCTGAGGCCAGAAGTTCGAGAGCATCGTTAAATAACTAGAAATATATATCTATCTCCAATGAGATATAGAGCCAAATACGTCTAGTATGAAACTCACCTGGGTCATCACGGACGTCATAGTGACAAGGGCGTAAAAATAGGGATCGTAAATGAAGCGGCCGCCATCTAACCCTCACTTTCGACTGCACTCCTTTAAACAAGTGAGAAGCACGTTCCTAAGGGAGACAGTATTCTGAGCAGGTACTATAGAGTTCTCTGGAGACATACCCGAAGTGTCCATCGAAATGGTAGAGAATCTCGGTTATAGTTTCTATTTGAAGTAGGTGAGTGCTCAGTGGCTCCGTACCATGGCATGGAATCGACTGAAAACCTCTTCAAATTTGCAATGTCAACATTGGGTAAATAAGACCGCGAGACAACCTACCGGTACGAAGCTGTAGAGGTGATCTGGGGGAGGCGACACATAAGATTGACTGTAACTATTATCCTAAGAGAATTCCCCGACTGTAAGACTGACAAGACTATGCTCAAGTAACCTGAAAACTCACCACATTGGCGTACATGTAACTCGACGCAGCGCCGTATGGATGATTGATCATGACGGTCCAGCATGAACGAGTAGTACGAGTATGATGGTATACTATGTGCTCCCTTCTGCTCGCTGCAGCGGGATCAAAAAACCGCCCGCAGGTAAACGTTCAAGGAAGACCGCTCTACACCGAGGTGGCCATGTGGAGGATGCAGTGCCGATACGGCCCGACGCGAGATAACTTGGCAGGTTGTGATGGACATAGCCCGAATTCAAGTGAACGGCTGTGAGCCGAAGTCCTGGGTTTAAATTTAGTTACACATCAACTTGAAGATCATGATAAGTCTTTACTTAGACTCAGACTCTTTTGAGAATCGAACTGTGCCCACCCGAATGTACCAGCCATGCTGAGTTTACCTGCCAGCAGTGGCCACTACTAGTAGTAGCCTACACTAGGCCAAGGCTAAACTTGGCCAGGCCCTTGCCATAGAATTGCTGCCGCGGAGATGTCCGACTCCCGGACCCCATCATCATAATCACTACTCGGTCAGAGAAAATGATTATTTTCATAGTACTAGACTTGTGAATTCATTAATGATGGGACAGAATCCAGTGCATGGTTATACCGTGATCATACAATGTCACCATCCTACAGTGTCTTCTCGTGCTCTCGGAGGTGACCTCCTGCTGAAGTGGACCACGCGGACGGTCATCGAAGATACCCCGACTAGTAAGCCCCGACCATCAAAAGTCCCTAACCGCGGTGATCCAGGCCGCGTGTACGTCATTCTCATTGTACTTCCTTTCTTCTGATTCTCTCAGACTGGAGATGCGCAGCACATCCAAGTCGCGGTTATAGTTTGCACAGTATCTCGCACAGCCCGAGCGCCACACAATCATAATGACTCATCAGTCGCAAATTGATTCAGTCCACCAGCCCAGTTCTCAGTGTTTTATGTAAGTTTTGTACAACGGGAATGATGACCATAGAATATAGAATGTTCAAACCTTGCCGGCAGCAGCGGCAATGTTCTAGTCCTTCAATTCACTATGATCACGAGGTACATGAAACAGATCAAAGACTTGGCTGGACATCGTTCACTCAGTGCACAGGCACCGTCTCGATCATAGATAGGCAATTAGAATAGTCAACGAATTCCACTTCATATTCAATATCATATTGTATCCCGCATCTCCACACGTCAATCATTGGAATAAGATGTACAGCTAGCAATGATTTAGCAACTGCGACGGACGAAAAGGTAGGAACTCACTCATGTCAGACATAGTCTCCCCTAGCCAGCGAATCGAGGGAAAGTAGTCGCTCCTTCGTAGTTCTCCGAGTGGGACTTTTGCAATCCTGCCAGCGTGATCCATGTGCCATGCGGCTCAAATCAAGCTCAACATTTCCCGGTATGACCAAGGCATTCCAAGGACTATAAAATGCCGGTCTGGAAGCGGGTGGTACCCAGAATAAGAGCCGATCATTTGGTCCAACCATCCATCCATCATCTCTCAACAAAAAGGTGGTCGACCCGGGATCAGCATGGGAGGTGTCTGGGATTAACTCGGCAGTGTTGCAGAGTGTATGAGAAGAGTTGGAAGAGAAATTCACGAAGCGTTCCGGCAAATGGATATCTCCTGCATACCAGAGCCGGATTGTGCCATCCGCCGAGCAAGATACGATGCGAGTGCCATCTGGCGAGAATGAGACGGAATTCACCGAACCAGTGTGCCCCCGCAAGGGCTCACCAACTTGAATCAGTTGGTCCTTTGCTGCATCCCATAGTCGGATAGTGTGATCCGAAGAACCAGTTGCGACATGAATCCCATCTGACGAGAAAGAGACTGAGTTGACGGAGCATGTGTCCTCCTGCAAAGGCTTTCCAATCTGTTTTCCAGTTGCTATATCCCATAAACGGACAGTCTTATCCAAAGAACCGGTCACGACGCGAGTACCATCGGGAGAGAATGATAATGAAGTGACTGAACAACGATGCCCCCGCCAGGGCTCACCCACTGCCTGCCCAGCTGCATCCCACAACCGCACGGTCTTGTCCGAAGAACCAGTCACGACGTGAGTGCCATTGGGCGAGAATGATACTGTGTTGACTGGACCATGGTGCTCCCAATGTTGACCGACTTGCTTCCCCATCTCTACATCCCACATCCGGACAGTCTTGTCCGAAGAACCGGTCACAACGTGAGTCCCATTCGGTGAGAATGCAACTGAGTTGACCGAACCCTTATGCCCGCACCACGCGTCACCAACTTGCTGCCTCGTCTCTACATCCCACAGCCGAACAGTCTCATCCCATGAACCAGTTACGATGTGAGTCCCATCTGGTGAGAATGAGAGTGACCTAACCGAGGATTTGTGTCCCACCAGAGGCTCGCCGACTAGCTGCCCCGTAACCGCATTCCACAGCCGGACGATGCCAGTGTCCAAAGAACCAGTCGCGATGTGAGTTCCGTTGGGAGAGAAAGAAACCGAGCTGACATAACGGGTGTGCTCCCACAAGGACTGACAGGCTGGCTGCACCATCGCTACATCCCACAGCCAGACAGTCCCATCCGAAGAACCAGTCACGATGTGAGTGCCATCAGGTGAGAATGACACCGACTTGACTGGACTGGTGTGCTCCCAGTGTTGACCTACTTGTTTCCTCGTCTCTACATCCCACAGCCTAACAGTGTTATCCGAGGAACCTGTCACAATGCGACTGTTATCCGGCGAGAATGAAACTGAGTTGACCGAACGAGTATGCCCCAAAAATGGCTGGCCAACTATCTTCCCCATCGCATCCCATTGCCGGGTAGTGAAATCTTGAGAGCCTGTTGCGATGCAAGTCCCATCCGGGGAAAATGAGACTGAATTGACTGAATCAGTGTGATCCTCCATAAGTTCAACGACTGGCTGCCTGGTCACTGCATTCCATAAGCGGATAGTCCTGTCCGAAGAACCTGACATGATGCGAGTCCCGTCCGGCGAGAATGAAACTGAGTTCACTGAATCATTGTGTCCCTTACAGGGCTCGCCATCTGGCTTCCCTGTGGCTACATGCCACAACCGGACAGTATGATCTGAAGAACCAGTTACGACGTGGGTGCCTTCCGGCGAGAACGAAACTGAATTAACCGAACCGGTGTGCCCCTGCCAGGGCTGCCCGATGGGCTGCCCCTTCGTTGTATCCCATAACCGGACAGTCTTGTCCGAAGAACCAGTCACGACGCGAGTTCCATCTGGTGAAAATGCGGCTGAGTTAATAGAACCAGTGTGTCCCTGCCAGGGCTGCCCAATCGGCTGCCTCGTCGCTGCATCCCACAACCGGACAGTCATATCCTCAGAACAAGTCACAATGCGAGTCCCGCCGTCTGGTGAGAACGAGACTGACAGAACCGCTTTTGTATGTCCACGGAGCACACTCTGAACAGCCGGCCAGTCCTTGTTGCCACATCCAGCTGCCAGACAGAGAGTCTTCGGAAACTTTGCAGCGAATTTCTTATATATGATAGAATTGATGGGCGAGAACGGCAGCGCTGATACGTATAGATGTGGCGTGCTGTGCAAAATGATATTGCCGAAGATTTGAACGAATCTCTGTACATCCATCGTAGTCGACAATACATCATCGTATCCGGAATGGCCCTATGCTCGTGCGTCAGTGTTTCATTTGACGTCACCCAGTAGTAACTGTGCTTACCTCCAGCCATGGGACAATGAGTGACAGGGCACAACCTGCACTGTTGAGTGCGTTGATAAGGCTGAGTGCTTCGAGCCAGAAGAGCAGTTGCTCGTGACGGAGGAAACTTCTCACTTTCTTTGCGAGAAGTGTATGAAAATCTGTTTCTTTAACGTGTGTAGCCCAAAATCGACAAGCATATGACAAATGCGGGGGAATTTTTTCCTGAACTCGTTCCTGTAGCCCGGTGTCCATGGAATTAGGGAGATACGATGTCTTTAAATCACAGATATTGAAAGAAAGTCCAAGTTCCATCACTCGAAGTGATGCAAAAGCAAGGCTGTGTTGCACCTTTGATATGTCAACGAAGAACTCCCTGCTGTGTGCTTTGTCCGTCAGGAAATCGCGAAAAGTTGCATGAAGGGGTCGGACGGGGGTTAATGCACTGGTGGTGCCGCTGAGGAGAGATCCCATATGTTTCACAACAATCTCCACTTTGAAATTCTCTTGGTCTGGAAATTGGGATCGCATGGCGTTCAAAGACGCCATAGGAAGGGGTTCCGGTGCGCCAAGGATTTGTGCCATCACGGAACGAAACCTTCTTAGCTGTGTGAGTCGAATCACCGCATTATCTTCACCCATTTGCGTGAACCTTTTCAACAATAAGCGGTAGATATCGTACAACAGATGTCTTCGCTTAGTAGGATCGCGGGATGCCACAGCATCAAAGGACTCGTCTGCAGAATAGCCAGGAGGGGGTTCTGTGATGGCTTCGCAAGCAAGGCGCGCCCATTCGAAAATTCCATCAGCTTTCTCAGCAAGGGCTTTAAACTCTGTTTCCCCGAAATTCGACAGCCCTTTCAGCTTCGTCGACACGTAAGTGCGGATGTCGTGCTCTGCGGTTTCTGGTGAAATGTCGTCCATGGACATCCGTTGAATATGCTGAACATTGGCAAACTCGGCATCGATGTCATGCAGTGGGCGTGAGGTAACAATAAAGCGGAAGTTGTTTGGGAGTTTCGTGATTTCTAGAATACCCGGGTTTTGAAGCTTCCCGGAAAGAATGCGAAGAAGTGTACTCCGTGTTTTTGGGCTGCCACTTTCGTCCAGTGCATCGATAACGATCACAATAGGGCCTACAATTGATTCAGAGAGCTTCCCCAGTGGTTTCGTCAGAAGCTTGTCCCATTGCTGAATAATGTCTACCGTATTCTTGAGCGCATTATCGTTTTGAACCGCACTTGACAAGGCCTGTCTCATCTGCGGATGACGGTCAGCCAGGTCACGTGCGATGGTGGAGAAGACCTTTTCGTGGCGGAGGTCAGCACTGTGGCAGTCGAAACAGTAACAGGAACCAAGCTTCCCCACACCGATGAACTTGCTAGCAATTGTGTGAGAAATGGCTGTTTTACCCGTCCCAGCAGTGCCAGATAGCCACAGCACGCGTCCAGCAGAATCTCCACTTTTATCGATCCATGTCATAATCTGAGAGATAATGTCCTCGCGGGTCCCTGGTAGGCATTGTTTCCCAATATCTAGTGCTGCGCCTTTTGCATAAGTCATTTCATTGAGGTTCAATTCATCAGCTAAACAAGTATGAGTGTTCGTCGAATCAGAAGTACGTTTGAATCCTTACCAATATGGTGAACAAAGATTACCACTTCCCGATCAACTCGATCCCGGAAGTTTTGCATGAGTGCCTCCAGCTTGTCGGTGTACATTTGGATTATACTGTTTGTTTCCGATACAACGTTCTTTCCCAATCTCTTCCCTATGATAATGGTAGAGAATTCAGGATGTGCAAGGCGCAACATCTTGTTCGAGACTCACAGAAACCCTTGGTGCTTGAGTAGTCCCTAATAAAATGGGCACATTCAAGGGTCTGTTGAGATAACTTGCTAACGATGCTATGCATCGACGAAATCTGGTTAAGTGTCTCGTCCTCATTCATGAATTCGTAAACATCAGCCAGTTTCTCGACAAGGCAATATACTGCTCCATCGAGATCCACTTGATCGAGAACAATCTACACCAATAATATTTGGCTGAACAAGAGATAGGAATGAAAATCAAATAAAACGTACTTTTGATGCGCAAGACAACACGCTCAATGCGATCTTCGCATATGGATGCATCTATGGAATGGGGTTAGCCTTGTCTCGATGTAGAAGAAGGGCCCATACCTCCGCGATATTCCTGATGGCAGAGTCGAATATTCTGAGGGGTTGGAGATACGTGTCCTGGAAACTACTTGCAGTATTGAGATCCGCCGGTCCATTTCTGACTGCAGATATCACGTTTATTGCATGTCCCCCGAGTGTCTTGAATTTACGTGCATCTTCACGGGCAGCTTGAAGTGCCACGGCAGCCGATTGGGATTTAGCGATTGGAACAGTTTCTTTTTTCACATCAGGAGACGTGCTTTGTTCCTGTACGACCACCGATTTTGGAACAACACCTTTCACAGCAGGAGATGTAATTTTTGGAACCTGCGTGACCATCAGAATTCGGAAATAGTGCAGAAGCTTAAGTATGAGTTTAATCAACTACCTCAATATTCGGAGTCGATAAAGCGCCTTCATGGTTGATGTTTTTGTCAGGGTTGCGACTGCGGAAACGTTTCAAGCGCTTGTGTACAATTTCAGTGCTTGATTCCAGTACGGCTCAGCATCCTTTTCGACTTACGGAAAATTGGTCAAATACACTATTCTTAAACTTCACAAACAACCAACGAGTTTTGCCATGTGGTGCCTGGAACGGAGCATGCCAAGAGTCAATACATCGAGCGATAAATTTCAGAAACGAGCCACGTACTGCCAAGGCTTCACTAGCTGTGATTGCATCGTTGAAGGCATTTGAAGGAGGATACGAGCTTAAAGGTTTCATAGGAGAAAGGAATTCTTCGCCCATCCGGCGAAGGGGAAGGTTTGTATCGGTCTGAATGAAGTATGAAAGGGTATGATAAGTGTGTGATAGCTTGAGGAGAACGGTTTAACTAAGCATTGGGACGGGCGTCACGACGGAATTTTGCGAGTTCCTTCGAGTTCCATATGCATCAGCTGTTTACGTCGGATGGTGAATATATGAATCATGGGTTTGATGGTGGCTTGATGTGTAAATGATTCGGTCTAAACAAGCGCGCGCTGGCCGCCCTAGTACTCGATGAACTTACGAAGAGCACTCAGCATCCTGCCATTGCAGAAAACCATCATCGATAAATTATCTAGTGCGACTGTATCAGCGGTCCATTGCGAAAGGGCTGAGCTTGTGAAGGTGATACTAATGGACCAGCAACACGGTTTGTGAACGGATGAGTCCAAAGAGCGCGACGCCGATGTCGTAAGATTGAACGTCCGACTCGGAGCGCTCATTCCACGGTGGTGGTTGTCTTTTTCCTATTCAGTCAGTTTTGCTATCTACTTGCTCTAGGCTATTCCATTCATATGATAGCCAGCTGTTTTGGATTGGATGCGCGATGATATTTCCACATCTCAGGCAAAGACTGTATGTTCTTGATTTTTGTTGCAAGTACACTTTCTGAGTTCAATTCAAGTCAAGGGACTCGGACAAGTCGAACGAGTAGTACCTACATGGATGACAGGGTGTTATGGTCGACAGACTTTAAACATTGCTCCGTGAGCCGAGCACCGAGTACTGAGGACTGATGAACGAATTCATGTCCACCGGCGAGCTATTGATGAAGGAGAAAATCCCAAATTCGAGCCAGCCTGAGGATGTTGCATGCATAATGTGCACCTTTTTTCTGCTGACTGACGAGAACAATACTCTGCAAGTTTTTGAATCTCACGGCAGAGTCGCCCGTCTCGTTCTTCGTGCCTACTAAGCTCGATATTGACTCGGATCTCAGGTGGCATGCTCAATAGCTAATGACCAGTCAGTATCAGAACAACTACCTCTATAATGAGTATTACACTATGGAGAACATGTCATGACTGATCGGCTTTTTTACTGGCACATGCTAATGTATTGGAAGACTATTCACCTCACTCGGAGTCACGGTCGAGCTTGAAACGCAGTAAGCCATTCCCCTTTCACATAATATCTTAGTCAAAACTCTTCGAAATTTCAGGACTGCTATCACATTTCCCCGTATACAGTATCCAGAGACACAATCGGCCACAAGATCCGCCGTCTCCTCTCTTCCTCCCAAACACATGGTTATATTCCCGAGACAGTAGGGTTAATGGTTATGGCAGAGAGCAAGCGGGTGCTTGCAGCATGCATAGCTGTGGCGGAGGTGTGCAGTGGTGGGCAAATATCAGAAGAGAGAAGAGCCGAGGCGAGACGCCGAGCGACAACCACAACAACTATCAAAATAGACGACGTTAGAATATAGAAATACAGGAATGTAGGTTATACCTATCAAAATAGACGAGCACGAAACTGAGAAAGGAGAGAAAGCCGAAACGACAAATGTGTAAGTACTGGTACTATGAAAAAGGAAAAGTGATCGAAAGTCAGCAGACAGTGTTCATGACAATACCCCCTCGTCAAATGGTCGCGTCCCGCGACCAATGAAGGTCCCGTTCGAATGTTCCATCCTCCCAATTGAACAGCTGATGTGGAACTCGTGTTGGTACAGTTAGGTTCTCGAGCGCTTGGAAACGCAATCTCATTGTTGGCATAGGACGTGGTGCTGCAGGATGTTTGTGGTGAAAATCGGCAATGGCTTGAGGAGTGTTTCTAAGTTCGGAGGCCGACAACCACTCCCGTTCTTCACGAGGGTAACCCTTCCAATGCACGAGATACTCTAACTTCTCTCGGCGAAGTCGGGAGTCTAAAATCTCCTCGACTTCTTGTTCCTCGTAACCTTCGACTAGTACGGGCGGTGGTGGAGGCGGTTTTCTCTGGGAAGGAAATTCGGCAGGCGTGAATGGGGATAAGACGCATTCATTGAAGACCGGGTGAATAGATTTAGTGTTGTGCGGGCTGGGCTTGGGCCTGTGGCCCAGGGCTGGGCCTGGGCTTGAGCGGGTATGGGCTTCCTAACATTTTGGCCCAGCCCTGACATCGGGCTTGGGCTTGGGCTGGGCTGGGCTTGGGCTGAAGCCCGGGCCTGAAATTGTAAAATAAGTGAACATGTCCTACAGTACAGATAGCATTGTGTGACAATGAAACATGGACTCGTAACATCATTCTAGACTCCCAGTCATACCATACTATCTTCACCAGAGTTCTCTGTACACCCATCAAGTAATTCATCCTCCTCATCTGCAGGATCTTCAGTCAATGACGAAGGTCCTGACTCGCGGAAGACCAGGTCATGACGAAGAAGGCACTGATTTCGGGAGTAGCGGTGTTAGACGCATCGGTTAATTTCTTCGAGGGAGCAGGTGCGCATTTAGAACGCAATGGTGGCTCTTGGTCAGTTTGATTTGTTGCCGGCATATTTCTGACTGCAATGGGTTTGTATGGTCCGAGTCAATGGAAGGTTTCTGCATTTGAAATACGTATATTAACTGTATAGATGCTGTCGCAATACTGTCGGCACGAACCGAGAAAGTAAGTTACAGGCCCGGGCCTGAGCCCTGGGTATGGGCCTGCAGATGTTGTGGGCCCAGCCCATGGCCCTCGTCAGCCCACTCATAGGGCTGGGCTGGGCTGGGCTTCTATAGGGCTGGGCCATGTGGGCCTGCGGGCCTGAGCCCTGGCCCTGCACATCACTAAATAGATTTCCAAGTTCCAGGAAGAGCGAGCTTATATGCAGAAGCTCCATGTTTTTCTAGAATCTTGAAGGGACCGAAGCGTTTGTCATCAAGCTTTTTGGCGGGTCGATCGGATGAAATGTGAGTAGCTTCTAACCATACTCGATCTCCAACTTTGAAGTCATGCGACTCACTCCGTTTCCGGTCATAGAATCGTTTCATATCTTCAGCAGCTCGTTTGAGCGCTGATTCCGCTTCCTCTCGTGTCCTTTGCATCCGCTCTGCAAAATCTTTCGCTGCCTCTGCCTTGACTTCTCGACGAAATCCAGTTCCTTTCTGCGGGTGATAGCCATAGTTAACAAAGAATGGTGAATGACCGGTCGAGGACTGGACCTTATCGTTATATGCAAACTCGGCAAGAGGAAGCCACTCAGACCAATCTGTTTGATGGTAATTGGAGAAGACACGTAGGTAATGTTCTATCTCTTGGTTGATTCATTCAGTTTGACCATCTGTCTGTGGGTGGTAGGCTGTGCTCGCATTGCTCTGGATATTGAGAAGTTGGTAGAGATCGCGCATGAAGGCAGATATGAAGTTTGAGCCTCGGTCACTAATGACCTTACGAGGCAGACCATAGCTTCAGAATATGTGATCCCGGAAGATTCGGGCAACTCCTAGGGATGTGACTTCTGTGTTCGTCGGCACCACTTTGATCATCTTCGAGAATCGGTCGACAACGACAAGGATTGCATTGTTACCTACCGACTCCGGAAGCGGACCGATAATGTCTACAGATATATGTTCCCAAGGCTGTGTGGGGATCTCATTCGGGTGTAGGGGGGCAGCAGGTTGAGTGTTCCTTGGTTTGGTGCATTGGCAGCTCTCACAACCATCAATATAGCGCCGAATGTCAAATAAGATACACGGCCACCAATAGTCACGAGTAATCAACTCGTGAGTCTTGTATCTCCCTGGATGACCCGCTAAAGTGGAGTCATGATGTTCCCGAATGACGTCTTCTCGAAGCTTACGATCTATAGGAATATAGACTCGACCCTTCCAGGTGATGAGACCATCTGAGTCTGACCAGTCTTTGTCCTTCAAGGCGAGCATTTTAGTGACGACTGCATCTTGATTAGAGTGACGACGACGAGCACGTGTGAGGAAGTCCTCGTCTACAGTCTTGAGCTCTACTTGACGGAACATTTCAGGCTTAAGAACAACAATATCTTCGTTGTCATTCTCCCCCGCCTGATGATCTGATCGTCTCGATAGAAGGTCTGCTCGTTGATTGGTCTTTCCGGGTTTATGATGCAGACTGAAATGATAGTTTGACAGCTCTGCCACCCACCGGGCTTGCCGACGATTCAACTTCTGAGGCTTGCGGAAATACGCGAGGTTCTGATGGTCTGTCCATACTTCGAAGTCGTTTACTGCTCCCATGAGGTGATGCCGCCATTCTGCAAGCGCAGTCATGATTGCAAGCAGCTCACGATCATAAATCTCGTAGTTCCGCTCAGTTTCATTTAATGCTTTCGATAGGAAAGCAATGGGCTTCCAAACGCCCTCTTGACATTGCAAGAGCACAGCCCCAATAGCTTTTCCCGAACTGTCAGCCTCAACACGATAAGGATCTTCGTCGGTCGGGATGCCAAGAACAGGGGCAGAAGATATATGTTTCTTGATTGTGTCAAATGCCTCCTGTTGTTGATCTCCCCAGGACCAATCTACGTTTCCCGTCAAGCTCGTTAAAGGCTTTGCAAGATCTCCATAACCTCGAATAAACCTCCGATAAAAGTTAACGAACCCGAGAAACACTTGTAGTTCACGTTTCACGGTAGGTACAGGCCAGTCCATGATTCCCTTAACTTTAACAGGGCCCATCTTGACTTGACCCTCCGAAATGACGAGACCCAAGTACTCGATCTCACTCACTTCAAATTCGCACTTTTCGGGTTTGAGGTAGAGCTTATTCTTGCGAAGGAGTTGGAGGACGCGGCGTACAATATGTTGGTGCTCTTCCCGAGTCTTCGTGAAGATCAGTATGTCATCTAAATAGATAACCACCTTTCCATCACTGATAAGATCTCGAAAGATGTCGTTCATCATCGTCTGAAATGTAGCCGGGGAGTTAGTCAAGCCAAAGAACATTACTAGTGGCTCGAATAATCCTCGGTTTGTACGAAAAGCCGCTTTCCATTCGTCGCCCTCTTTAACTCATACGTTGTTGTACCCCCAGCGGATGTCCAGTTTAGTAAAATACCGGGCACCCTTGAGCTTATGGACGAGTTCCTGGATGAGAGGAAGAGGATACCGATTTTTCACGGTGCATGCATTAAGCTTTCGATAATCCTGTACTGGCCGAAGTTTCCCATCTTTCTTTTTTACGAAGAAGAATGCGGATGCAAATGGGGACTTTGACGAACAGATTCTGCCAGAACGAAGATTCTCTTCGAGAAACGCGTTGAGTTCTCGTTGTTCCTCCGGACTGAGATTATAGACCTTACAATCGATGGCATGCTCCCCAGGGACTAATTCAATTGCATGGTCCCAAGGTTTTCGTGGCGGGAGCTCGTCAAAGGACTCCTTTTTAAAGATGTCTTTAAAGTCATGGTACGAGGTCGGAACCATCTCTTCGAATGTCTTCTCAGTCTTTTTTCTGGACGCTTCTTCGGCTAATTGTTGAGATGTTGTAGTGTGAGCTTTAATATGTAAAGTCCCTCCTTTCATGTAGCCGTCGAAATCGAAAGCAAACAGTCTCTCTCCCTCACCTAGGGTTAACTCTGGATCGCTATTCACACAGTTCAACTTCTCGTCCTCCTCCGTTTGCTCAGGCCCAAATAAATGTTGAGCGTATGCATCAGGAAAAGCCTCCTGGGCAAAAATTGTAATAATTTGCGCTAAATGATGTTATTCTGATAATTCTATCTAATTTCAAGTTTTAGGAATAAAATGGCTAGAAGACGATAATGTACAATGGAATTATCAAGACTTATTTGAAAATACAGTAAGTGAATCTATCTAGATACGAGTTCAACCAAAAAGTGTCACAGTCATCTAGAACTGTATCACTGGACCACTCTCGCGGGACGACGGCACTGAAATTCGGTAGAAGATGGGCACTCCGCACGATCTTCGACAATGGCACAATGCTTGCGACTTTTGCGCCACCAAGAAAGGAACGCGAGACCTTGTAAAGGCCGTGGTGTTGATCGGGAGCCAATGCAAACGGCGAGAACCACTCGATATAAGCCAGGTGGCTAGGAACCTGGACTGTTGGTGGAAAGAGGAGCGGGAGAGATTTTGAAGGTAGTGAGAAAACGACTCGCACTTGACCAACGCGGAGTGCTTGAGCCAGTCAACTGTGAGTCACCAATATCCTTGTGAATACTCGTTGCTGACTTACCTTCTATACCTGCGCTAACGGCTTCTGTATTCGCACCAAGGTTCACCAGCACTGTGTCTGAACGACGGGGCAGCAGACCAGAACCCGATCTCCGTTGTGGTCTTGCGTGAACTGAATCTAACGTGACGGTTGCGTCGCCATGACCACGAGCATCGACGGAGACCCACTTGATCTTGTGGAAAACAGGAAGCGTTCGAAACGGGAAATGGATGTCGCGGGCCAATATTTCCAGTGCTCGCTCATGGAGGGGGTTAGGATCCTCGGCATGCCTGAGCTGTGTGATATAGCGAGCAAGTGCCTCGCGGAAAAAGGTAGCGCCGTAGTCATCAACTAATCTGTCTATAGTGACAGCTTTTGCAGTAGGGTGTTTGGGCATAGTCTGAAGGCGGCGGAAGGTCATATCTGGAGGACGTGAATGGTGGGGCTCAGACTCGACATCACCAGCAAGTCGCCAGATGACATACTTGTCATGGCGCAGTATTTTCTCTTTGCGTTCGAGCCACCGTGTCATCTGCGCGAACTCGTCCTTGTGATTGGTAGCACGGTAAGCGTCTTTTGCATAGTCGATGTGTAGTCTTTCTGTATACTCTGTATTATAATTATCTGTTGTGCCCAACATCATAATCATGTACGAGTAGTGCCGAGTGGCATGCAGCTTCAGTAGATTGAAGTTGTCTCGGATACCGAGATCAACGAAAATGTCTTTGTTCTCGTGAAAAAGACTGAGTGCGTCGTCGAGTAGTTGTAGGGTCTCCGAACTATGACACGGATATTGTGCGAGGTAGAGAAAATCGAGGAGACCATGGACAGCTCGTAGAAGTCGGTTTGCATTAAGATTATTGGGCAAACAGATACCAATTACGATACCCAGAAGAAAGCGGCAGATTTGCGAGTGTTCGGTCCCACTGATACGCGAGAGGCCAGTGATGCCCTTGGTGAACAGACGTATATGATGGTTGGGAGGAAGTCGCCGACAACGAGCATCAATTTCAGCCGCACCACAAGCAGCCTTCAACCAGCCTAAGAGATGTTTGACTAGTCCTTGATATAACTGGTGCAACACATCTGGTGTGATTGCACGGAAAACATTTGCGAACGGGAGGTCTTCCCAGAAGGGATGAATTATGGGCTTGATCCCTGCTGCTGAGCAAGCTCGAACGAAAGACATACTGCCTTCATCCAGAGTAGCGAGCGCATCTAACACTTCGCGCAGTCTTCATAAATGATATGGTGCCGTATTGCTCCCCGTTTCATCAGCCTCAATATCGCATTTGGGACACTCTCTGAACTTTATCCCAGTAGCAAGGAGTTGCTCTGGGTAGTCGCCGACAAAGCTCGCAAACAGTAGGTGGCAACGGCGGAGAGTACCATCCCCACTCGCCATAGTAATCCCATCCAGTCCAACAGATTTCAGGGGAGCGAGAACACGGCTCATGCAAGCATGGTACAGATTTGCCAAAGTTCGGCGGCGTGAAGCTTTGTTAGAAATATGATCGAGGCGTGTGCATGGCAAATATGCCAGAAGTATATGGGCACCGCGTGATGGCTTGCGTCGAATTTCTTTTGGGATGTTGCCGATGGTGAGATAGACAGGGTAAGCAGATTTGTTGCGGAACAAGGTTACTTGAGTTTTGTCGGACGAGATGATGATTGGAATTATGGTGCCGCCTGGGCTGTGCTGATCGAGTTTTTTCTGAAGTATCATTAGTATCATATGGTAGACGTAGTCAATGCAACGTACCTGTGTATCCCACCACCATTTTCCTGTATGCATATCGTGAAACAGACGAACTGTCTCATCCTCGTCGGCATAATGACGCTCAGGCACAAACGCAAGGTATCTCGCGAAATCGGGATCACTGTACAACGACTTGACACATTCAATCACATCGCGATAATAGACGTCGAAGGCTTCTCCCGCAACAATGATTTGCTCTCGTTTGAACTTTGGCCGGCCTGTTGGAAGCTCATGGTCGACGATGGCATTAAGCTCGTTCGCGTTCCTGAAAGAGAGCGACAGGCGTTCACTGACCTGCAATGAACATAAGCGCATGAACCAGAAAATAAAAGGTGACCGACTTACCCCCTCAATAGCAAGTAAGTCAGACAACGCAGTTGAACTGAGTCCACGAAGTTTTGCCCATCTTGCGACCTCCCAATCCATCTTAGAAGCAAATGGGTGATATGTATTCTCCTGGTTGGCATTGGAAAGATGCGCACCATACGCAACATTGGCAGTATGATTGTTAGAAATAGGTTGCCCAGCACGCGAGTCTGGATAGGGCACGATAACACAACCATGCTGCCCTTGGGCACGTTCTTGAATCTCCTGGTGACCATGGTGTTGTTCTTGACCGGTTGCTTCATCAGCGGCCAAATCATCCATGGCATCCATGTCATCGTGGTCATGTTGCTGATCAACCGGAGGCTCCCACTCAGGTTCGTTATTTGCTTCATCTTCCCATCCATCGTCCGCTCCCTCATCCGCATCACTACCATGGCCAGATCCCTTGCGAGCCCACTCAAACTCTTCCATGTCATACCCTCCATCATCATCAGGCCATTCCAACTCGTCATCAAGTTGCGGTTCACTAGTGTTGGCGTGTATCTGGGAGCGTGAGTAATTGTACAGCGCTCGACAATCAGGGTTTCGGCTCTTTGATAGATGATGACTGAGGCCTGTGACAGTGAGATTGTCCTGTCCACAAGCTGGGCAGCTTGCGGACATTGTGTTAGAGACAAGGGGGGTAGAGGTGAGGGAGTGAGACAAGGGGGGCAAAGGGTAGAGGTGAGGAAGAGACGCCCCCGACCAATGATAGAGAGTGAGAGAGTAGAGAGACGCCCCCGACCAACGATACAGACAGAGGGAATAGAGAAACGCCCCTGACCAACACTACAGATGGTTAGACGATAGAGGGTGAGGGTGTAGAGGGTGAGGGAGTAGACGACAGCGCCCCCGACCAACGATAGAGAGAGAGAGGCAGTATCTGCTATGAGGGTGGAGGATGAGAGGGTTGAGGTTAGCCTGAGTAATGTTTAGACCCTCAAATTGAACGTACCAAATTGACTGCCTCCGAGCCCCTTGAAATGCAGGTCAACGTTATATTCGGCACCCAATTGAGGTGAACGGGAGCGGGAATTGAGACAGAACATGTGGCATGCGCATAGGCGTGACATAATGTGAACGCAAGTTCTTTCAGGTGGAGGGAGTAGTAGTAGACGGGAGCGGGAGGGAGTATAGGCATGACATAGTGTGAACGCAAGTTCTTTCAGGTGGAGGGAGTAGTAGTAGACGGGAGTGGGATGACTGAAAATTGAACCCTTGACGGCGAATTGAACTCACCGGTAACTGCCTCCGGCATCCCTTGAAATGCAATAATGAACAAAAATTTTGAGGCGCCGAGAGGTCGAGAGCCAGGACCCGCATCCGAACAGCATATGTGGACGACAGGAATCAGGAAGTAGACCAGTGCCCAATGAGCAGTATTAGCCAAAGTGAAGGGTGGACAGAGTAAAGGATGCTTTGTGCCAAAGATAAGGTGAAGGGTGAGGGAGTGGTGGATCAACGTGGCCGATATACGCGCAAATATCCTAGTGAGTCTGAGGTAAAATGAACTCACCTAACGACTCGGAACTGCCACCGATGCACTGCAATGCACACAACGTCACCGTTAAAAATGACAACGAAAAATCTAACAGCGTTGTCAAATTTTTATTTCACCCCCCCTCCCGCTCTTTTCGTATCCTGAACATTCATTCAGTTAGCTTCCTGTCCTTGCAATCCAGTATAGCATGTATGCACCTCTTAATTCTCGTGGTGAGTTAAGCATATTATTTTGAAGATTGGCGAGACGGCAGCTTCTCACTGGGCTTGAATAGAGCCCCGAAATGCAAAGAAAAAAGCTATGGAAAAAGCCAGTAAGCAAGCGACTTCGGTCAGGCTTGAAATCAGAGAATTCAATGCTCACCTGCTACTTCAGTTTGGATGCCTGAAAAGTCGGCAAGAAAAGTTCTTCAACAGACTCAAGCACCTCCCAACCCACCGGCGAGTAGGCCACCCACCAAACCACCCACCAAACCATCTACCAAACCACCCACCAAAGCGAAACGACCAGCGCCAAGTGCGGTTGCTCAGATTGACCAGGGTTTGCCTTCAAAACTGAGTACATCACGTATTTAATCTTGAAATCATAGCGATAAGTACTAACTTTGATGGTAGAGCGTCAGCGTACCTTTGTGAACGAGGAATCGGATGATGGGTATGGTTCTAGTGGCCATGGTAGCGACTCAGAGGACTTGTGACCTGAAAAAAATCGAGGTGAGTTATAGATAACAAGGGGTTTGAATCTTACTCACTATGATGATGTGCACCATCCCAGCTGCCCGTCCTAAGAAACTCTGTCGCACTTATGCGATGCGCGATGTGACTGCGATGTTCGACTCCGACGAAGATCTTGAGGACAAGCCACCAAATGGCATTGATACTGATGCCGACTGCGAGGAGAGTGAGGGCGAAGAACCAGAGGCCACTGCCTTGATGCTCTCAGACGAGGTTAGTAGTTGCACTGGTTTACCTAAGCTGATCCTGCTGATTCTGAGTTTCGGAAGATGCCTTCGCTTGTTCAATCACGTGGCAACTCCTTGAAGCAATCCGCCAGAGAGCGAAAGCAAGCCGAGGAGGTGAGTCCATACTATTATATACTCTACGCTGATACTACAGACTACCTTCAGACTCCAATGTGGCGCGATGTCGACAACGCTGTCTCAGAGTCAGTTGAAGAATCCACTACTCGTGGTGACTCCTTGGAACCTCCCTCCAGCGACATTGAAGTTGTCCAGAAGGTCACCTCTGCAGCTTCTCTCGTTCGAACGGAGAAAGGAAACGTCAAACTACTCGATCAGAACCTGGAGACTCGGCGAGTAGTCCGGGATGCCATTATTGACGCTAAAGGTCACATCATCTTCGTCAATGCTTACCCTGAGCTCGTCGACAAAAACCAGGTATCACTCCAGTCTTTGCTAATGGTGGCCGAGAATCGCGGCATAAAAGCCATCAAAAAACGCCTTCAAACAGATGCTCAGTATGCTGCTCTCCTTGGTAGCTTGGTAAGTCATTCGCATGTCTCGTTTTACGGATTTTTTTTAACTATCATTGCTATTACTTGAGGTCGAGCCCCGGATCCCATTATTGCGGCGTGATCTGAAAGTCGCTGCATGTGCGAACATCGATAGCTACTTCCGTCTCAGCAACAACATAGTCAAGGCAAAAAAACTCATGGAGCAGCACGCATATGTATATGCCTTGAGGTTTGATGTGAGTTTACTCTGTCCCTTCCCTCCTTCGCCAACACCCAGGAGCGGGTTCTTTATCGTATTCCCATATCTTCCCTCCTTCACCAACACCCAGGAGCGGGTTCTTTATTGTATTCCCATATCGTTTCTCCTTCCTCGACCATTCTATTCTCTTACTAACTTCCCTCTTCAACAGTCCAACGACGATGCTTTGCCCATAGGGAAAAAGCCCTACCAGGGTGAACTACTGATTTTTCTGTTACACGACGGTGTCTTCAATGGTGCGAAGTCCATCGGCGTCAGATTTTCGGCGCGTTTTGTCGAAATTGCGAGAAACAAGGCCAAACGCCCCGAAGTCCCCATTCCATTGCTGGCGCTGGCGGCAACAGCAGTAATGTCCTTTCCACTAAGCCTTCATGCTGTGCTCATTTGTTTTCAAGATCTACGCGGCCCTTTTCTGGAAGACGCTTGGTTCACCGGGAAAGTTTAACTTTACCGGGAATCAATTCAGTGAAACTTATGTTTTCCATGTCAACTTTCTCGAGGGTTTGAAGAAGGACGCACCTGGAAAGTTTCACTGTATGATGGCTGACATTTTCGAAGCTGTACAGTAAGTTTCGCTGGTGTGGATGGTGCCATTCTGACATGCTGGATACTGACGCTACTTGCAGGGCTTTGAAACAGAAGGGCAATGATCATCTCGCCAGTGAGCATCGAAATGCTCTGTCGCTACTCGACTTGGATGGCATGGCCGATGATTAGGTTCTGTAGTCACGGTGCTGATCCATTCCTGTATATTGTGCATTCATTAGTGATTGTACCGAAATTCCTCATACCCTCGTCGTCAGCTGTTTCGCAATTACTTTAATACACATGTTTTAATCCAATATTAGTCTTTTGTTCTTGTAACATTGCCTGGGACGCGTGATCTGTGAACCAACATTTGTAATAACGGCTTCTGCAATTCACCACTATTATGTCTAATATCAGCTAAATCTTGATAATTATCCAACACTGAGGAGGGGGTTAAAAAGTCCTTCTAAACTATATAATCTTCCTAATTCTCCTAAGGCTGCTAATTAGACCTAATTCTTGGATTTTATCAAAGATTATCGAAATTTTTGCCAGGAGGTTTTTCCTGATGTCTGCAAGATACCCATTCGAAGTGTGTTAATAAATAAATTGGACACAAATCATATCAGCTAAATGAGATCAAGGCTGCGCTCCATCAAGGAGCCATTCAAGATATTTTCATAGATTCCATGACACCACTCGGCGTTGAGGTTGAACGATCGACGAGGCCAACTTCGATAGAGCTCTCCAAGGATGAAAGCGAGCTGACGGATCCTACATCACATCCAGTTTGTGTTACGCTCCAAAAACTAGGCAAATCTGAAGATGAATCACGAGAAGAGATTATCCACGCTAAATTTGTTGTCGGTGGTGATGGTGCGTTTCGAAGATGTCAATATAACCAATATAACCATTTTCCTTGATAGGCGCTCGCTCATGGACCCGCAAACAACTCGATATTACGATGGATGGAGAACAATCTAGTGAGAATGGTGATCACTTAGAATTATCAGCAAGCTCAGTCTCGATCGTTAGATTCCACCTGGGGCGTCGTGGACCTTACTGCTGACACTGATTTCCCGGATGTCAGGAATAAGACCTTTATACATTCTAACCATGGCTCAGTCATTTTCGTTCCTCGAGAAAAGGATCGCATTCGCATATATGTACAACTGGAGGCTAATGATGTCATCGATCCAGTGTCAGGCAGAGTAGACAAGGAGAAAATAGGTCCAGAGCAAATTCTTAAAGTAAGCGGTATCCACTATATGGTCAGCAGTCATCGATATTCCCCTTAGACTGCCCAGAAGGCGCTTGAACCTTACAAGGTTATCCGGAAGAGTGAATTTTTGTGGTGGACGATATATAGCGGTATGCATCTTACTACTTGCTACGAATTCGTGTTCGTTTGACATTTTTACTCAAGTTGGACAACGAGTGGCCTCACAGTTTTCCATCAAAAATAGAGTATTTATCGCTGGCGATGCTTGCCACACGCACTCTCCAAAAGCAGGTAAGCATCCCAATTCTGGCCTCTTTTCTGGTCTGGTTATAATGGAGCTTCCAGGACAAGGGATGAACGCAAGTATCAACGACAGTCGTAATCTAGGTATGTCTTCTGCTCCTGTTGTCATGATCGAGCTACTATATCGCTTTGTCAGCTTGGAAAATTTCCCTAGTTGTTCGTGGGTGGGCAGACATGTCCCTTTTGTCAACGGCAAGCTCTTGTGCAGCTCTTTGACTCCTTGCTTACGCCCGGCCGATAGTATGAATCAGAGCGCCGTAAATTCGCATTAGACCTGATCGCGTTTGATAAAATGTGGGCCGCCCTTGTCTGTGGCAAGCCCTTGACTGTGCCGAGCAGCAATGGGGTGTCGCCCGATCATTTCTTGAAGTAAGATTATGCTATCAACAGTCTCTTCCTGTTACTAATCCCATGAGGTTGTAGGACTTTCCAAACAGACTTCACCACTGGCGTTGAGATACATTATCAGCCTTCAGTTGCAGTAAATGATAGGAATCAGGAGTTGGCCGTTGGCCTCGTCCTCGGAAAACGTGTACCTCCGCACAAACTCATGCGGGCAGCAGACGCATGTCCATTCGAGCTCCAGGATCTTCTTCCTTCGGACTGCCTCTTCAAGTTACTTGTTTTTACCGGCGATTTCAGCGATCCGCTTCAGCAAGCGAGGGTCGAGTCGATGGTCACGGACATGCAGAAACCTGAGAGTTTCCTGAATCGTTACGCGACGCCTGAGAATCCACGATTCGATGTCATCACGATCAGCAAAGGCCAGAAGTATGAATTTGGTTTCCTGCGGCTCCCTACGCTTCTTCGCTCTCATTGGTCAAAGTGAGTGCCTGCTCATCTGTATCAAGTGCGATAATGCTGATTGAGGTGCTCTTAGGGTGTTTATCGATGACACCGATGCCACTGGTAGCTTTGGGGGAGGAGGTTACTTATATTTAGTGCTGCCGCAGTTCGGTTCTGAACCTCGGTTCGAACCCGAACCTTTCCGAACCGGACTCAAGGTCCGGTCACAGGTCCGGCATGGCCCCTGGACCGAACCTTAAGTCCGGTTCAGGGTTCGGAGCTAACCAGAACCGGTTCGGACGCGTTCGAACCCCACCACGACTGTCATCTGTCAGCGCCTACACTACCTCAATTTTGCTGCAAGTCCCTGACTCCTATTGGCTTGTAGTTTTGTCTCGAGGTACGTTGCGCATGTAGACTCGACTCTGGATGGGGGACTGATATGTTCTTTGTCTTTGTCTTCATCCTTCATGACAATATTCCTGGACCCGTCTTAACAATTTTTTTGTCTGTCTCCACGCTCCCTGACTCTACGTCCACCGGTGCTCTCTCACTCACTTTTCGTGGCCATTGAGTTCTCGTCATCAAGCAACCCTGGCCTTCAATTGCTCGTACCGTATACAACGACCACAACCGTTACCTGGAGATGTACATGAAGCCATACGGTGGAGTTTTCTACACAGGAGACAGCGCCGCACGCGATGAACATGGTTACATTTGGATCAAGGGCCGTATTGATGGTGAGGACGTCCCGCCTGTAATGACCATTCTGTAGATGTTATCAATGTCTCTGGACACCGTTTGTTGACTGTTGAAATCGAGTCCGCCTTGATCATGCACAAGGGTGTCGCCGAGACTGCAGTCATCGGCACTGCTGATGAGTTGACGGGACAGGCCATATTTGCCTTCGTCACACTTAAACCGTCAGTCTTTTCTCCCTTTGTTGAATGTCGATTGATAGCGAATTCACGTACGACCGCAATGACGAGGCTTCCCTTGCTAAGGAGCTCGTACTCGGCAAGTCCAGACCTGTTTCTTCCTAAGTGATCATATAATGATTCATGTTGGTGCAGATCATGTGTCGCATCATGCGCAAGATTGTTGCTGGTGAAGGCGATCAACTTGGTGATCTCAGCACTGTCACTGAACCTGGTGTGTCCATCGTGATTTACTTCGCTCTGAACTCGCGCTACGTTGATCGCAGCAGTGGTTGATGATCCGTATGGTGGTAATGTTGCAGCTGCACTCCACCGCTCTCCTGTGTCATTAACGTCCTCCCTAACTCTGAAATCTGCATCCTCGGCCATCATGAGTCTTGGCTTCGCCTCACTCTCTCATCATCTGGAGCGGCTCAAGTTCATGCATTGGATCTTTTGATTCTCGATTCTGCTACCAGCATCTGTCACTTCAGTTCGCTTCGCGGCAACACTACTCCTCCTACTCTCGTCTGTCATCTGCACTCGTCTGAGCCATGTCAGCAGTTGCTGACGTGCGCTGGGCATTTGCACATGGTGTTCGTGGTGTTGGGGATGGTGTGGTGCAGCTCCAGCCCATCGTCTGCAAGCTTGGTCGAACCCGGTTCGAACGCGAACCGGACCTCCCGAACGCGTTCGGTGACGTTCGGTCCAGGGTTCGACCAAACAGCTAAACCAAACCTATGGTTCGGTTTGGCGTTCGGAAAATTCAGCCCAAGAACCGGACTGAACCGGACTTCGGCAGCACTACTTATATTATGGAGTGGGATCTGAGGGGGCGCTGGTTGCTGTTCGTCCTGATGGCTATGTTGGAGCCATCGCACCACTGGATCGCGTTGAGGTCCTTGATGCGTATTTTGCGTCTTTCATGAAGATTGCTGCTTAGGCTTAACGACAAATCTTGTTCAAATGCTGCTTCGCTGTTTCAACACAGAACTAGTTCCTATGATATAATTCTTCTTGTCCACATCCTCAAACCAGACTTATTCACGCGTGCACTCTATGGTACAATATTTGCACTATTATTCGTTCTTTATCGCCGACGCAGAGGCGGTGGTAATTCACACCTTTGAAGGGGAGGATCAAACCGAGCTTGCTTGAAAAGTCGACGAGGAGTAAGAACTATTTCTACTGACCTAATAATAAATCCGAGAAGTGAAGCCAGGCAGAGTCAAGGTCGTCTCGTACATGCACCTCCGCTGGCATGCGCATACAAGTGGTCAGAGTGGGATGCACAGGACCTGACCGTGACGTGGTAATGTAGTATTGGGACCGGAGACACTGTCATGGACTCTCTGAAAACAAGGAAGCAAATGAGAATGAGTCACAGATACAGAGGGGCGGGATGACATCAAGGCTAGCTTGCAATAGTAGGAATGTCATACACGTAAGTCACAGTCTGCATAGCCCAAACATAGCAGTCTAAAATGACACCCCGGGAAAACAATCAGCCTTGCCAGCTCTACCGGTTACAACCGGCAAAACCGACCCTGAGTAGTTCTGCTATCTACTAAAGACCTGCACATATGTCATGTATGCATCTGCCCATTGCCACGTCTGTATTCCTTGTGAAAAGAATACATTTTGATGACCAACGTTAGAGTCTAGCTTTGTTTCCTGATGTACATTAAAAACATTATATCTGAGGAGCGTACCCCCTTTTGCAATTTGGATCATCGTGTCCTTGGGCTCTTCCACCGTTCGATAGAATACCAAGGGCAATGCAAGTCAGATCGGGGGTCTGTCGGCAATCTGCTGGCATTGCAAATACCATGTGTTGAAGGCGGATGTAAGGTGGATAGGCGCAGAATCATGTATTCACATCATAAAAGCAAGCCGTCTTCTTACTGTCTCTCTTTAAATTTATTTTCGAGACCCCATATCGCATCTCACATATAATGCATTTCTCCTTCCGAGTCATCCTCGCCGTTGTTGCTGCTTTGACGATGTCTACGGCTGTCAGCGCTCGATGCCAAAAAATTGGCACTACTTGCGGCACAAATGAAGATTGCTGTTATGGGTATAAATGTGTGGCAATCTTACATCGATTCGTCGATGGTGAGGTGAGTATGAGTAGTTTCATCCACAATTTATTGACTCACCAGTATGGTAGCCTTTCTACATATATGAGTGTTACCCCTGAGCAGTGAGGTCGAATGAGTCATGTCTGCTTTCGCATTGGTGTAGTGTGGTTGATGGCACCAACGTGTAAGTAGTTCGTTGTTCAATGCGGAGTGTTTCTGAACAAATTTTACTGCTGCTTGAACAGTGAAGACCTTGAAGCAGAGGGACATCTCGAGCACTCGAGTGTATGATATATGACTCAAGTACTTACGGTTGTACCCCCATTGTAAACTTGTAGAATACTTCATGAGTCCCCGAACGATTGTAGTTGTGAACTGGGTTCCTGGTGCTAAACCTAATCAAGGTAAGTCACCGATAGAGACTCGACATCGAGAGAGGCTCTGCTAATAAAGTGGGCAATTTCGACTCGTGGTTAGTCATATGCAACGAAAGATATGGAGAAGCACATTCTTAGAGCTTGAAGGCCCGCCAACTTGCCATATGCACGTTGTAAAAGTCCAAGTCGTCTAGCAGAATGACAAGCTGCGCAGCATCCAGAAAATAACGTCACACCTAGCGACTACTCTTCTCTAGAATTTGGACTGAGCCTCAGCTGCTGATCTCCCGAAATCCGAATTCGCATTCCCCGATGCACGAGGAGACTCCGAAGTTCTCTCAGCATCTATGAGACGCCTATACTGAGCTTCGGGGATCTTCGTGTCGTCAAACGTAGGCCGGTACAACAACGTATTGGTCCAGCAACCATAGAATAACAGGGACCTGAGAGCAAGTCATATCCGAGGTTCGTTGGACTCTGCTGGCATTGCACATGCACATCCGTCTTATAAATTATAGGTTAGTACTTAGTAGGACATACAAATAAACCGTCTCTCTTAGCTCTACCGTTCCCCTGCCTCCGGTCCTCCGAATCCATCATTTCGAGATTTCATCTTACAAATAATGCGTCGCCCCTCCATCCTGAGAACGAAGGGTTGACTCGAAAGTCTCCACAAGGTTGTTGGCTGGAAGAAGGAAGATGCTTGGAGGATGCACGAATCCGAAGGTGTGGGAGACGAAGAGACAATGGCAAATGCCGGGCGGTAACCTCTGATGACCATCATGCTAGCGGGATGTCTTCAAGTTACTGTCTGTTTGCACAATCTGAATTGTCTACCTATCAGGCAATTTATGGGCCATGTCCTCATTTCTGCCTTTAAACGCTGACATGAACGTCTCCACCATGATATCGCTCAAAGGTGTAGTCGCACTATTCGGATCAATATTAATGTGAATCACTGGAAACTCAGATCTACACACTACCTCAAGGGACCACCTTCACAGCTAGAAACTTATCAGCTTGAAATTCATGGGACAAGTCTTTGTGAAGATCATGCTCAAAATCAATCCATTGCAGCATTTTAGCGTACAGAAGACTCGTACATCTCGCCGATCTTGCGTGATGGACAGACTGAAACACTAGAGACTTGGTGTCCCTCACCTTCCTGGCAGAACAGTTCAGATGTGGAGTGGAGGAAGCCCAGGCTGGGCCTGATAAGTTCCTTTGCCATCCTACGGACTCCGCTTTCCTTTCGTTCTTCCTGCAAGCAATCCCAGAATGCACCTCAATTTCATCTTTTCTCTTGGTGGTTGGCGAATCAGATTCTCGCCCTCCCGATTCAACAATTAATTGGAGCTAATAGGACGCTTCAATCACGCTGTCTAAGACTAAGTACAATTTTTGCATGCTGGTCTTGGCCGCTATTAACCAGGGTACAGGAGATGCCTCTGCACAGACTCAACGCGTAACACAAACACAACGAACTTGTGGTCCAATTTCCTTTTTCCCGGGAGCCTCGATTCATGCACCGGCCTATTCCCTGCATACTACCACTTCCCCATGAACCGCAACCTCTTGCACTACCGAGAGCAACGGCTCAAGGGTACGTGGATCGATATCGCTCCGCGATTCGTGCAACCGAAAATCTACCACTCGTATATTGCAAGACCCAGTAACTGCAAGCGCCTCCGTAATCATCTTGACGTCTGGTTTGCCCACTCCCATCAACAAAGTCAATTTCTGCAACACGGGAAGATGAAGTCCACGGAATGTGTCGATAAACATATCCGCAGGACGATGGTCGAAGGGAAGGGTCATCGATTCAAGGCAAGAATACGTCACTGAATGACCCCCCATCCCCGACACATAGGATGTAAGTATACGTACACCGAGGGTTTCTAAACGAGGGAATATGTCTGGAAAGTAGCGTATCCCACTGGCTAGAGCCTGATGGATGTAGAGATGACGTATGCTTCCGCAGGCAGCATTGGGTTTGAATGATTGGATGGTATCCGACAGTGAATACATGATACGTGCGCGACAGAGATTTGGTGCATTGAATTTGATGAGATCTGTCAAGTCCCAGAGCCGATCTAGCGTTCTCAGCTGGGGCGTATTGAAGTGATCACTCCTATTGAATGTGGATGAGGGAGCAGACACTGTTTCCCAACGCCTGGTCTCATCATAAAGAATCTCGAGCAGTCGAGAATTCACATCCTGGCAGGAATGTCGGCTTAAGGAGGAGAGAAAATAAATATCAAGGTGATATATGCAAATGGTGAGAGGTAGATTGCCAGACTGAGCGAGCCAAAACTGGAGTAGAGAGGGAAAGAACAGCGTAAGTGGCTTGAGGAGTATTCCGGGAAGCACGACTTTGATGCGCGACCAGATCTCTGGCGTTGAATATGCAACGTCCCGCCAATGGCGGCACACTCGAGTGAAGAGCAGGGGCGGGCTAGCAAAATTTGCTGACATGGCGATGGTTTTACTATCATATGAGAAGATACTAGGACAATCTGGTTCGTCGTTGACGGCGAGCAAGAATACGACCTGTAAAACTTCTACTAGCAACTGATGCATAATGGGTGGGCATGTAGTCCAGGGCCGGGTCATAGATGTTTCGATGAGCGAATGCATCAAGCGACAGTTTGGCTTTATCGGATTCGCAAGGCTTCAAATAAAGAAGAGTCACTGAATGTTCAAAATAGGAGATTGATCTCCTGAGTATCACACGTGACTAGTGCGCCAACAGAGGCTATCATCGCATCGTCGCAAGGATCAATGTGAATTACCCCATCTGCTTCGGATAAACCAGCACACCTCAGTTTGTATTTTTCCAGACCAACGCGGGATCGGGCATGGCTGGCGGGCAGGAACACCAGCTTGCGATGTTTCAGAGGAACTCAAATTCATGGACAGCATCAAGATGCACGAGAGTTTTGACGTAGTAGCATAGTGCTGGGTGCGATGATGTATGGCGGCATGAAATATGTGAAAAAAACTACATAGGACCTTCAGACGACAGCCCTTACTCTGCGTCTACAACAGCGGTTTGGAGGCCCTGGCAGAAGGTTGTTGTCGAGGACAGAACAAATAACAGAGGGTAAATACACACCTTGAACGAGGTCACAACTACATGGCTGGCATATGTGAAAAGTTTCTCCTTTGCGCCCTCATCATCATTACGCTTGCCTGTAAAAAGTAGACCGTCAGTATTATGATCAATTTGGAAATATAGCACGTACGCTCAAGCTTTACTCTTATCCGGTGAGGGACGCTCTTAACACCTCGAGCCCACAATGCCTGGTTGAGCTTGGGGTCCAACCGAACATCGGTTGTGCCCATGGATTTGCGGGCGAAATCGACAACAGATTTTACGGCCCATGGGGCACGCTTTTGAAGGAGCGGCCATGCACGAGCTTGTGCAGATGGATGGTGTATTCACGAGTTACAACGTCTTGAAGAGCGGAGCGCTTGCCGCCAGTCTATGATAAGATTTAAAGATGTATCACGGGTGAAGGTCATGATAGCACACACCTTGCCGCTTTTTGTCCTGGCCTAAAAATGGTTCGAATTAGTTTCTCAAAGGGTAGAGCAAGGATGTGGCTTACCATGTCTTGAGGATGTATAATGTGACGAGCTCGTCTAACTGGGACAGCAGATGTCGCACAGACTTTGGTTGTGTTTGGTTAGTGTAATGATGACATAAGGTTCAAGTGGCTGAGGTACTTGATAGTTTTTCGGATATGTCCGAAACACGTGATACGTATTTACAACAATGCGGTGCGGCGGACTTGTACCAATTTGAAGGCTAAAAATAGTATAAGCATTATGTTCTGGATTTACATGTTGCCTTTGTTTCCCAGCTCGTCTGCTTTGTTGTCATGTACATTATCTGTAGCTGTATATAAGGTCTCTCTTCGAAGACTCACCTTTGTTCATCCTGTCTTCTTCTTTCGCACTCTTTTACTCAATCCATAATGCGCTTTGCTGTCGTCGTTCTTACTCTCTCCGTCGCTGTCTCGTCCGCGTTTGCGGCATGATTCGCACGTCAAAGCTTGCCCAGTATGTCTATTTTTTCTTTGTCATCATACAACGGTATCTGACATCATCAGATTGCGCTGTCCCTTGCCTGACGGATGCTGACTTTGGCAACTGTTCTTCTACCGACGACAACTGTCTTTGCCACAGCCAGGCTTTCATCAACAGCACCACAACCTGTATTCAAGCATCTTGTACGGGCTCTGACCTCACAAATGCCGACGCAGCTTCCCAATCACTCTGTGCTGCAGTGGTATGTTATAGATATCCTTGTTTCTTGAATGGCTGATAAATTGCATAATGCAGGGCGTCACCTTGACCGCTGGCAGCGCTGCTGCGACGGCTACCTCATCATCCAATAGTACCGCCACTGCTACCACAGCCAAGCCTTCGTCAGTCGTTCTTTCATTTATTTTTCGGTAATTAAAAAACTAAACGAATTGAACCAGGTCTTCCAACGCTGCATCAATCGCATAGCATTAACATGCTGACTGGTGTAGCAGCCTTTGCCATCATGGCAGCGTCATTATAGAGGGATTGCGAGTCATCTCACTATCATTATTCTTTCGCATTCTTTTGCGCATTAGAACTTGTCAGGGTGTTTTGAAGTTGACGTTGAGCGCTGAGCATTAACTCACGATTACCTGATTGATTTCTTGCATGCGATTCCGAGTCGATAGAGGAGAAATTTATGGGGTTATATAGTTATCTATGTAGTTAAACTTCGTCATTCATCTACTCGGTCGCCACGTTAGGCAATTTATTTGATTTTGTGTGCACAAGCGCCCATGGCCTCCGACTCAATTTGCAGTTGAATTTGCGTACTTCAGACCGTCATCGGTTCATCACCCACCAAGCTCCAAGGCTGGCCTTCTTCTGCAGATCACAAGAAATTGCCGCCAAGCCTACGTACGCCCCTTTTCATAGGCTGTACCGACCGTTGAGCCCGTTGATCAGTGCGCCTAATATTCCGAGGTCACCGTCACGCTATCTCCTACATCCACCATGCAACCAAAGACATTGCGATTTCAGTTGAAACGAATTCCCTTGGCACTCGTGGTTGGGCTGTTACTAGGCTTGCTAATTGGAAAGACACTACCAACAAGCGTATGTCTGTCTATACTTTGACAGTTTTACTATCATGACAACGCATGATTGTTTTGTAGCTCTTGTCAACAGGCGGGAACAATCCCATATTCGTGTCTCGCTTGTCTGCTCGCAAACAAATCACCCTGCCTAGCATTGACCAGCGCCGCCGTGTCCTAGACCTGCTCTCCACGTTGTCTCCGCACCATACCACAGAGTGCACACGAAATTCCCAGCCGCTTTACGTTCAGCAAGTCCGAGACCGATATGATTCTCTTATAGGACACAAAACTCCTTCTGAATCCACCTGGTTCTCTTCTTGGGGATTTTCCGACTCCCAACACGTACACAACGTTCCAAAAAAAGAGCACAAATATTTTTTCGCCATCAACTTGTATAACTCCTTCGATGTCATTCCTGACTTGTTTGCAACTCTTTTTCGAGTCTCTGCTATCTTGGGGTATCACAACGTCTATGTCTCCATATACGAAAATGGCTCGACAGACCAGACGAAAGCGCTGCTACGAATATTCGACGCCCTCACTCGTAGTGTAGGCTTACGTGTTACTATTCGAACCTCTACACGTACACGAGGTGCCTTCAACCATCGTATAGAGTACCTTGCGGAGGTCCGCAACCAGGCTTTTAACCCACTCCACGAGCTCCGCGACTCGCACAACGAGTACTTTGACACCATCATATTTATGAACGATATCCTCCCATGCGTGGACGACTTGCTTGAGCTGATCTGGCAAAGTAGGCGGAATAATGCAGGTATAACATGTGCTTCTGACTACATGTATCATAAAGAGCTGGTAAGTCCCGTTATTGCACTCACAGCCTAAGCTCATTTTCCATTTTTGTATATAGTCCTCCCCCGTGTTTTATGATAATTGGGTCGCCCGCGATATCAACGGGACAGCGTTGGAAAATGCTCCGTTCGAAAGCGTCTTCCATGATCCCTACTCCTCCGACCGTTTCCAGATGCACCTTCCCATACAGGTCCAGTCGTGTTGGAATGGCATTGCAGTCCTGGACCCTGCTCCATTTTACACCCCCCCTTATATCAAATTCCGTATGGCTCGACTCACAGATGAGGAGTGTTCTGCTTCAGAGTGTAGTTTGATCTGCAATGATTACTGGCAGGCTGGGTATGGGCGTATATTGATGGTACCGCGGGTGAAGCTAGCGTACGACAAAGTATGTTTTTGGTTGAAATGCAATTCGATGTCTGATGGATTAAATGATTTTTTTGCAGAGAGTATTTGATATCATACATCCTTCAAGACGGAACCTTACTGCTATCCGTGGTTATATGCGTCTTGGGGGACTTCCGGACAATCCACGGACAGATCCACAGGACCGGTCATGGTTTGGTCCTCATGACCGTTTGTTCACGCCGGAGGAAAGTGAAGAGCTTGATTTTGTGCCCGGGCCTTCGCATGGTACGTACTGCGTTCTTTATTCTACTCCCCGACTTACGAGTCATGCAGTATGGTGTTGGGGCTGGGACGGTGCAGGCGATATAGATGGTCCCGATGTGGATCCAATCTGGGAGCGGATGCCCGACCGTTCGCAGCATGTAGATTCTGTGAAGGTGAAGCATCACAGGGAGATGAGCGAGCTGTGATGCGTTCGGACATAACATGGACATCTGGGTAGTATGATCTGTTAATTGCGTCGAACTTATTTGGTTTGCGTGGTGTATCTCTACGAAGGTATGTCTACTAGAGACGCGATTCTGTGGAATTTCAAAAGTGCTTGTCTTCCCACTGCAGTTTACTTGCTAGACTCGTCATCCCTAAGAGTAGCTTCAGTCAATGTTAAGTTATTGCGGTAATTAATAACGATGAGTGACCCAGGAGTAAGTATCACGCGTACTCGCCTTCGAACTTCGAACGGCGAACACTGGGGAAATAGTATTGGCAGTGTCATTTCCCTAGATAGAGTGACCTCCGCTCGAGATAATATGTCACTGACGCTTCGTAAAGGGCACTTGGCACAGTTGGTAGCGCGCACGCTTCGCATGGATAGATTGCGTGAGGTCGTGGGTTCAACTCCCACAGTGTCCATTCTTTTGTGTTTCTCGTCATTAACCTCATTTGGCGCGGAGTTAAGGCATAAGGGTTCACCCTTCCTTGACATCCCGCCTTTGCTTCGTATTTCGGCAGCTTTCGACGGTACTTTTTTCTTTTTCGTCTCAGAGGTTTTATGCAACGACGCTTAGGCTCTGGCAAGGCTCTGGCACGCATCTCCCCTCCCAATCACCGCCGATTGACGGGCATGGGCCCAGATTCTAGTAAACACACTAACAGGTGGAATCAAAGGGTGCTAGGCGTCACCAATAGAATATGGGCCATCATCCTCGGATTCGTCCTACTGATCGCGCTATCGCGGTTTATACTCTTCTCAAACCATACCAGCGCTGGGTCATTTACAACAGAAGGCCTCGTACCAAAGAATTATTTGCATGGGGCCAACAACCCTATCGACAATTCATCCGAGGTTGCAAATCCGTTTGACTTTTGCCCTGTGTTTGGGCCCAAGGATGATATTGCGAATAAGTATGGGGTGGTTCCGTTGTCGCAGAGTCGGTTGCATTTGGGGAGTGGGGGGAGGGTGCACCGGGTTATTCACAAAGCACTTTTGGGTCAGCCTGTGACTATCAGCGTGCTTGGCGGTTCTAGTGCGTGTTCTTTATTTTGCAAAAGAACTTATATTGATGGTGTAATTGTGTAGTATCTGCATGTCATGCAGCAGGAGATGATCCATTGTCTTCCACCTGCTATCCTTCACGCTTTTTCCAGTGGTGGTCGAGTGTTTTCCCTCACCCGGCATCAGAGCTTACCAACGGTGCTATGAGGCGAACAAACTCAGGGTACTTTGGATTTTGTAGCTCGCATCATATCCCAGAGAACACCGACTTGGTGATACTCGAATTTGACGTCGACGATGAAGGGTAAGCACAGATCTCCGCCTAAAGTGTTATGTGGCGTTTAAATTCTACCAGCAACCAGCGTGCGATGGAGCATTTCGAGTTGATGGTTCGCTCAATATTGGACCGCCCTGATCAACCTGCAGTCGTCATTCTAGGGCATTTTAGTGCACAAACACACCAGGTATATGGATTTGCAGGACCTGACCATTGGCACAATATCGTCGCACAATTCTATGACGTACCGCATATCAGGTATAATTTCATTACCTGTCAAAAGAATATTTTCTGACGCCTGTGTAAAGCGTCAAACCCATACTATATCCGTCTTACATGGCAAACCCCGACCTCATTAAGCCTTACTTTGCGGACCCCATTCTTGCAAATCCGGCAGGTCATGAACTTATAACCGACGTTCTCGTATCGTACTTCCAATCTCAGATATGTGCCGCGTGGTCAACGGCGCGTGGCCAGTCGTACGAGACCATTCCTATCATGATGTCACATGGTTACCTCCCAGGTGCAGATACGCATCTCTTTGGCGGAGTAGGCGCAAGGAAAGGTGCTGCGGTGCCTGAACCACCACGCCCAGTAGATGACGGTGCAGAAGCCGAGAAGAAACACGCACTAGCTCTTGCCCAAGCAGAGTCCCATCCTGTACCAATATACCCTGAACTCCGAATTCCTCCTGTGCGAATCAATACGCGCCTCAAAGACCCGCTGCCATTCGAAGAGGTCGCCCCATTTTGTGCGTCTGCTAATGACCTCGTGAACCCTGTACCTCCGTCGCTTTTCTACGGGTCTGGCTGGGCAGCGGCGCATCCTCCGGCAGGGTCCTCTCCGTTGCTTACGGCTGGATATTATTGGTATAGCTCGCTGCCTACGAGCAGATTGCGCGTACCTATCAAAGTAGGCGCTGGAGACGTCGGGATTTATTTCTTGAAGGAGCCTATGAGCCGGATTGGGGAAGGAAGTGAGATTGAATGTTGGGTGGATGATAATTTCAGAGGTGCGGTGATTATAGGAAATGCAGGACATGTCAGTGAGGGGGCGCCGACGTGAGTGTCTTGTTTTATTTTCATTTGTGTGCGGTCATTAATGGGTCATCAAGTCTTATGATGATTGATCAATTTGTCACGAGAGGATCGCACTTCATCGAGTGCGTGCTACTTGGAGACGAAGGACAAAGTGTTCCTCCTTTCAAAATCATTGGCGTATTCGCAACTTAGGACATCATCAAAAATGAGGGATAAAAATGGACATACCTGTGGACGCTAATGCTGATATCGCCAGGTGGTAGCTATCAGTAGTGATCTATCATTGTAAACCTCAAGGTGGTTGTACTATTGAACACTGACAATCCGGCTGATGAACTTTCTTTTTATAATATAACTAAGGAATTTATTGTTGCTTTGGATTTCTTCTAATACGACAGTAATAGGGTTCCTATGTTCGAAGCCATGCTGTCTTCGCAATTTTCTTTAATTTCTTCTGTTCCTTGAACCGCTCCTGCAAAATGAAAATCAACATCCGATAATGAACGGAATCCATGTCTGATCTTACCAGATCTTTCTTTGTCGGGCGTTTTCTCTTCTTGCCTTCTCCCTCGGCCTCAATCTCAGCCCTGTTACGGGCCTCGACATCGCTCTCCCAAGCACCAACGTCAAAGTAGAACTCGCTCATGCGCTTAGCACGTTCATACTCTGACAAGTGAGTAGGATCGCGACTATCCACCTTCGCAAAAGCACCAGTCCTCGCGTTGAACTTGGCGGTATACATAAGATTGCTAGGAACACCAGACGAGGAAGCAAGTGATGGATCAAGATGGGCTAAGGACGGATCAATACCCTGCGCCATCGCGTTTGCTTGCAGTGTGGCGTAGTGAGAGTCTATTATTGTGGAAGGGCCAGATTGGGAGGTGGAGGACGAGGAAGGTTCTGGTTCAGAGGCGGCAGGTTGAAGGGGGTTCACCCAAGTCGTTTCTTTGGTTTCTGAGTTGTAGAAATAATAGGCGTTGTGCTGAGGAGACCATATGGCTTGCCACGATCCCGCTGTTGGGAAAGCATGAGCTGTTGTGGCGTCCTGGTCTGTATCCGAAGGTTCAGCAGACTCCTCTGGGGAGGTTGACTCGCCAGTGGACTTGGGCGTCACCTCCGTGTGCTGCTCAACCTGCTCTTGAACTTCCTCCTCCGTAGGACTAGCTGAACGAGAAGTCGACATGAGAGTTGGAGATCAAAGTCAGGTGAGAGTTAATAATATTGCGATTATTATTTTTGGGATGTTGGCTATGTAACAACTTATCAACAAAACTAATAAATAATCCTTTATCACACCGCCATGTCTGAACCACACACTCATATTCCAATCGTATGGTTACGATCGGCACTAAAACAATCCTCCCAGCCGGGTTCACCCTGCTTGCACCCGTCATCTTCCATGCCGTCGTCGCCACTTTTGTCCCCTCTTCCCTCATTTCTCACACTACCGGCGTCAACATCGCGACTGCCACCCCTCTCGTCCTCTTCGACGTCGCTCTCGCGGTCCCCGTCGATGAACATGCAGCAGAACACGGCTCAATCCGTCGCCGGACAAGGTTACACGCCGAAAGTGTCGTTCGACACATTCGAAAATCCCGCCGCGTCCATGTTCTCATTTACCCTGCACGTGCAATCGGATGGATACGCTAGGAGCAGAGCGACGAGGGTATTTCTTTGTGCATCGAGTCCAGACGAAAGCGGACGTTACGCCCTTGACTGGGCGCTGGAGAGTTTGGTGCAGGACGGGGATGAGTTAATCGTATTCAGAGGTATCGACCCAGAGGATTTAGGTGGGTGGCTCGTACTACCTGGACCTATGCGAATGTTAAATTATAACTTAGAGAAGGATCATGAAGTCGTTCGAGAGGACGCCCGTGAACTCATGCGTCAGATTCAGGAGAAATGTATTGAATACGATCCAGAGCGGAAGGTAGGCGGCCGTTATCGTTACGGCATACCTCTCAATGCGTTCATCGTAGCTTTCCATTATCGTCGAGCTTATTGCCGGCAAAGTCACTACAACCCTTGAGCGGTTAATTGCTCTGTACCGCCCAGACTCAATCGTAGTGGGCACGAGAGGCCAGCGTGGCATGATGCAAGCCTGGGGTGCGGCGTTCGGTGCGCCAGGTGTAGGCAGTGTGTCAAAGTATTGTCTCTCGAATTCTCCCGTACCAATCATCGTCGTTCGCCCGGAGAGAAAGGTCAGGAAGGTACTGGCCAAGAGACGAGCTGATCCAAAGAGAGGTACCCATTTTGACGAGTAAGCAGACCTTCATATGCTGCTGCGATGCAATAGCTCATACGATCCCTCGAACTGCAGGCTTACGAGGGCGAAGACGCAGAATATACAGAGTGTTCCGATGTCTCCTTCTGTCACACGAGCGTGATAGATTTCGTTTATTTATTTTTCTGCGATAGTTGTACTCATTTACTCTGTACCCATAGTCACCCTGTATTTCTAATGCCTGGACGGAAGTCTGACTTCTGCTCAACGTATGGTTCAAATCGATTTACCATGGAGAAGTTCTCGGTTGGATCTAAGTGACACTTAGCACTTTGAATGGCGGCGTCAAAACGAGTACTCAGTACTCAGTCGCCGACTTCTTCACAAAATAGAACTCCAATATTAATTGCAGTGAAGGTACGTAAAAAAAGTTCCTGTAGTCATTCTGTAAGTAAATCTCATCCATCTCATGAATCAGGCGCTGATATGATAAGCATAGGAACGAACAGCGACGTGCATGACAAATGCGTAAAAGTATATCGCCACCAATGCTATCCTTCAGTCCCCCAAAGTTCCACTGTCCCTTTCCAGGGCATTCTGGTGCTCAGTCATACCACGCAGATCGTCGTATAAGCTCTGCTAGAGCATAATACAGCGTCCACGGTAGCCTATCACAAGGACCGCTCGTCTCGTTCTTTGTCAGGACATAGAGGAGGTGGAGGTAGCATGTGTCTCGAGTTTCGTGGAAAAAGGCGTCGGCTCCAGTGTCGTGGCTTTTCGCCACTTGGACGCACAGCAATTACAAGAGCACGGGAAAGCTTGTCCAGGGGTTGTGCGTCGACACCATCTGGCATCGAGGCATCTGTCATGGAAGCTAGTTTTTCTCGAACTTCAAAAACAGCCCTAAGCGCCGCATGCCGGACTCGGGGAGGTCCGGTTGGGCCCATACAGCTCCCTGATGTAGGACAGATGCTTGGTAGAGCTCCCCATTCCACGCATGGCGCTCAGTGGAAAAAAAGCGTCACCTTCTGTTTTATCGTCTGTATTTGCATTTTCCTTTAGGTAAAAACGTACAAGGCTTGGGTCTTACCATAACGTTGGTCTCAGATAACCTTCGCAACGACACGAAGTACGTTACATCGTGGACTTCAGCGGGATGGAGTACACCGAACACCACTTGAACCACTGATCACAGTGATTTGTTAGCGAACGACGTGATAACCTATGTAAGTCAACGAACCACTTCTAACTTCAAGAACTAGGGCAATTTGATATACCTCGCTCTCATAACAGAACAGATACCCATAATCCCAAAGTTCCTCTCTAACCATATCGACCCAAGCGCACCTCCATTTGTTTTCGGGGAAGTATTTGACGTCCCTCGACTAAGTCAAGCCATAGGGATCCACTTGCTTCAATGGCACGAAGTCAAGGATCCAGACAGTCAGGTTCTCGATGATCTTAGTTGTTGGACTGTCTGGGAAACCGTTCAACAGCACATCGAGATTCCTGAACCACGACGAAGTCCCTCCCTGAACCTGCTCAAGCTCGGTGAGCCAATTTCGAACATTCCTCTTCGGTGCGTGGCCATCATAGATGTCTCATGGACGCGAACCGCAGCTTGGGTCGAGCTGACATCTCTTAGCATGAGACATCACAATCATGCATCCTTTTGGTCTCTCGTGTTAATTGGGTTTCCAGAAACTCGCTCGAAAAGCCTGGAATTATCATGAACAAATCGACATTCCCCTCAGCACGCTGCACCAGGTTTCCCTTCCCCCGGACTATCACGTATTATGCTTCGATTTCTGTCACTACATAAGCGCTCATCATACATGGGAATGGGAAATAGACTATTCTCCTGCATGGAGATTTGGAGGCCAACACATGTGATGGACTGCAAGCATGGAAAATATTGCCGATGCGCATGACCGACGCGCCATGAATGAACCAACACCTCCTGTGAGTGAAAGTTTCGGGCATAGGTTGCTCTACAGATCTAACTTTTTATAGTATATATCGATCCACATACGGCACGGCGACTTCAGCCAGCAATGCGAGGAGTTTCCCGTGGATCAGTGCTTCGGCCTGTTGTCTGTCATTGCGCTCAGGGTGTCTGAGGTGCAAGAAGAGCTTCGCACACGAAAAGGAATCGATGCTACACATGTTATCATGACGAGCGACGAAAGGGACCCGGAATGGTGATCAGATGTTGGGGCGGACATGGGTAGATCATGCAGCGGAACGGACAGAGGAGATCTATGGAAAATGGTGAGTAGGTTAGATGTCATATTTTCATTCTAACTCAAGTTGTAGCTGTTACCAGGCATCCGGTGTTCATCGATGCTATCATTCAATCGAATGGAGCTGGCTTTGTTGGCACTCGTGGTTCCGCGATGTCCACACTAGTTAACCGTGGAGTACAGTCGTAGAATGACGGGGCGACTCGGCTCATTACGTGGGGGTGGCCGGATGCGGACGACCACGGATGCTGATCAGCATGCTAAAATCGATCCTGCTTTGCGCTTCACAAATCATTTGCTACAATGTTTCTTTTATATGATGCGCGTGATGGTCGTTCTCCAGCTCGAATTCACTGCAGGCGAAAGCAAGCTTAGTCTTCTTGGTGAACAAGTACTGGAAACGTTCCCTTCCTGACGGGGAACAATCAAGACGCACCAAGACATGCAGATACTTTATATCAGTCTACAGCGAGCTGTAAGGTGAGCGGCCATGGGACATAAGACTCGAACTTGAAAGTTTGTTGAAGAGGTGTGCTACTCACTTGATGTCTTGGTAGGGCTTGAAACTGTGAGGACAAACGTCGGACGCATGTAGCCAGTGCGGTCGGTTATGACTGGTTGGGGGCAGGCGGTGATGGCGCACTGCCTCGTGTCTTGGGCGTCTATGGAAACGAGGATGGTTAGCGTGGTGAAGTAACATAAAAACGCACAATACACGCACCTCTGTAACTTAGAGAAAGACACCCACAATCCCTCGGCCGTGCTCAACACCATCAACCTCCAGGAAAATGTCACAGCTCATTCCAAGCACCACACCCATTCGAACTTTTGAAGATCATGAGGACAAAGTAAGGGCAGTCGCAGTGTTCCCCGATAAACGACGAATGATTACGGGCTCGGCGGACAAGACACTTCGTCTTTGGGACTTGGAGACAGGCATTGTGTTGAAGAAGATGGAAGGGCATAGCAGTGAGGTGCATGCATTGGCGGTGTCACGAGATGGTCAAATAATAGCAAGCGGTGATTATGAAGGAGAAGTCATCGCCTGGCACGGTGAAACTGGCGAATCCATCACCCAACCCATCGAAGCCCACTCCAGTTGGATCTTCTCGCTGGATTTTTCTCCGGATGGAATGGTGCTGGCCACTGGTTCACGGGACTACACGGTCAAGTTTTTAAGTACCAAAACGTGGCAGATGCAAGGAGATCCAATCGGGTGTGGCAATTTTGTCTACTGCGTTCGATATTCGCCTTCTGGTGAACTTCTTGCCATCGCAACATACAGGAATATCCAAATTTATAATCCAGGCACAAGGGAACAAGTCGCATCTTTGACAGGTTTCAGTTTATCATGGAACGTGTCACTCGCGTGGACGCCTGATGGCACACGCCTTCTTTCAGGAGGTGGTGAAGATGATCCCACCATACGAGAGTGGGACACATCAACCTGGCAGCAAGTTGGTCATCCCTATGAAGGCCACACTGACACTATCAACGCCATTGCCATTCATCCTGCTGGCACCCTCGTCGCTTCTGCATCTAGAGACAACCATGTCCGTCTCTGGCGGCTCTCAGATCAACGAACCATCGCCGTATTCCAGCATTCATCCACCACGACATGTGTCACATTCTCTGTGGACGGCAAGCATATCCTCAGCGGAGGTTATGACAAGAAGATCTGGGAGTGGGCAATACCAAAGGACGCTCATTCAAAGGCAAGTTTTCATTTCTGACACCCATTACACAATTCGAGCATCCTTCGTGCAGATCCTTAACATCACAACAGCCCGTGATGCATGTCTAACTGGGGACTTGTCTATCGCTGAAGAGCTCCTCACTCAAGAGATCCACACCAACGCCGACGACGTTATTTCATATGCCAATCGTTCATTCGTCATGGCCCGGAAGCACGACTGGGATCATGCTCTTGATGATGCAATCCAGGTGAGATGGAGTGACCCATCGTGGCCCTTTTACGAAAGGCTAACTTTTATCCGTAACGTAGTCCATCAACATTCGGCCATCATTGATAGGCTTTATCTCAAAAGGCATCGCCCTCTGCGGAAAAGGCCACGTCCGGGAAGCAAGGATAGCATTCGACGTCGCATCCATGTTCACCAACCAAGATTCAGAAACCAACCAATTTCTTCTCTTGATCAAGGTACATTCAATTCGTCTCCCATGCTCTCTGCCTCATCTTGTATTCCAGGCTATCGTCCTCTTCAGCGCAGATCAATACGAGGAAGCAATGATGCTCATCAAAGACCTGGCTGCCGCTTGTCCCAATGTCGATCCTCTCGCGCGTCGTGTCGTGGAAGTGAGTATCATGTGGCCACACTCGATCATCAATCCTGATCTTTTCAACTCGCACAATAGACATATCTACGTGTTCAGCTCGGAATCAAAGCTTTCGATGGCGCGCATCACGACGAAGCCGCTAATCACTTCACCACCGCTGTTAACTCAAACGCTTTCTCATCGAAATACATTCATCTCGCATACCAGGACTTGACCGTGGTGCGTCGGCATGATCCATACATAATGCTTGTCATAACCTAGTGCTTTGTCCAGCTCTTCGGCTGGGATCTCGAGTCCTTGATGCTCACTGCACACCAGAAACGGTGCCAGGCATTCCTTTCAGCAGGTAAACTCGACGAGGCCCTCGCAGCACACAAATCCATGATGGACGCCATCGACGACATTGCGAAGGCCAGCTGTCTCGATTGGTCTAACGGCAAGTCTTCCGTCGTGTCACCCACGACTACCATGCTCACCCGCACGTCACTCAGAGTTCAAGGAGAAATGCAGCACGCTCGCTGCGGACAACGACCGTATTCTTGGTGTATGCACCTCTTTCCTTACCTCTTTCGATACTGACTATTATGCAGGCAGAGATACCCGGGCAAGATCACGATGGCTACGATGCAGATCCAAATTTCTTCTATGGAACGCATCAAGTGCGTGCAAGAGCGCATCCTTCTGTTCTCTCGCTCATAATTCATCACAGCATTCTCAGATTTCCAGGCCGAGACTTCAACAACGCCCTGGGCGCCTCAAAAGATTGAGGCTCGCTATGACGAGGAGGCCTCAGGAAGCTCCTGCGCCTGCACCACCCACCACCTCACCACCAGTCACTGTCACCACTACTATCAAAACTCATTTACGACACCTATTCTCCCCGTCACCCCATCATGCAACGCCGCCCGTTGTCGACGTTCCATTCGCGAAGGCCAAAGAGGTGGGTCAGGTCGATTCTTATCAGCGTATCCTGGTTTTCTGATGCGTAGATCTACAGCGTAATGCTGCTGCGGGTGCTCCTGGCCCAGACCCGGACATCGTACCTGATGAATATTTCGATACTGCCGAACCGGACCCTGACACACAACAGCAGCAACAACACCAGCAAGCAGTAGCAGTACACACCGACCCTGGCGAACATGGAGGCGGAAAGTCATGTGTCTGCTGCTAGCGGGTTTTTGAATGTCTCTTGAATATTTTAGTTATATCTCGATCTTGTTATGCTATCTGTATTGACTTGAAGCAGTATTTTATTGATAGGTGATTCATTGATCAGTACATCCTTTAGACCATCCTCCATCCGTAAAGCTTGACTTGCGCATCAGTCAGATATCGTGCGCGTGTGCAGCCAGAGCTATTCCGCATTCAAACATCTCTTGTTGACTGTACAGACTGTGCAGTGGCAGGACGTGCATCGGTTCAAGCTTCAAGTCTTCAGCGGCATCATCCTACACAGCACCTCGTGTCAGCACTGCCATTCACATCCAGAACCTGTCCTAGCGTGTCTGACCTTTGAAAAAAAATAGTCAGACGTCAATAGCGTTTAGTATCTTGCACCTGCTATTATATGGATTCGCCAGGAACAGAGCGATGAAGTTATTGCTTTATCCATCGAGTCCAAGCGATATTGATGGTATGACCTAGTCATCTTCAGATGCGTCGATCCATGGCAGAAGAAGAGTTACGGGTATATTCAGATGGGTCGGCCATAGAGGAAGGAGTCGGAGCAGCAGCAGTGCTCATGGACGGAGAGCGGAAGGTGAAGGAGAGAAGATACCACCTAGGAGGCATTGGAGAACACACGGTGTACGAAGGGGAGATTGTAGGCATGCTGCTCGCGGTACAGCTGTTGAAAGAAGAGGTGAGAAGGAGGGGAAACGTTCCAACCATGGCACTGGGAGTGGACAATCAGGCGGCAGTGCGCGCAACGATGGCATTTCAATCGAAACCGGGACACTACCTCATGGACATGTTCCATGACGAGCTACGCGAACTACTCACAGACAACGAGAACGAGACCCACAAACTGGTGGTTAGATGGTCAGCGGGGCACATTGGTATCGAAGGCAACGAAGAAGCAGACAAAGAGGCGAAAAAAGCTGCAAGAGGAGAATCATCAGACGGGCACCTCCTACCCCATTCCCTTCGCAAAACGGACAACTCACCAGTAACCCTCCCAAGAAGCAAATCAGCGATCAAGCAACTGTTCGACAAGAGAATCGCAGACGAAGCGGCCTCAATAATGCGCCTATCCCCCCGATATGCGAGATTCAAAGAAATAGACCCACGCACCCCGTCAAACACCTTCTCACGAATCGCAGACCACCTCCCGAGACGCCACTCATCTCTCCTAGTCCAACTTCGAACCGGTCACGTCCCGCTAAACAAACATCTACACCGCATAGCACGAAGCCCATCCCCGCGCTGCCCATCCTGTCAGGAAAGAGAAGAATCCGTCCACCATTTCCTTTTCGTATGCCCAACGTATGCGGCCCACCGAAGAAAGCTAAAAGCGGAGCTGGGCACTCGAGCCCAGCAACTAAAGCACTTACTCAATGACGAGAAGTGCATAGGACCTTTATTCAAATATATAGCTCGCACCAAACGATTCATCAGCACCTTCGGAGACGTCACCCCCCCAGAAAAGGAAAAAGCTCGCAACGGACGAAGAACATAGATAGCTAGCAAGCTAGCAGAAACCCCCGCATACCTTCAGATGGTATCCATTGTCCTCGCCTCACATCCTGGACCAATATTAGAGTTACATACAATGTTCCAATAGCACAAACCTACGATAGATTACAATACTGTACGTACTGTCCACCATAGGGCCCCGCCCCACCGGACAATAAAGAGGATTCAAAAAAAAAAAAAATTGCGTCGATCCAAAGGATTTAGGTGGGTGACTTCTACTATCTAGACCTCTACAAATGTTAAAAATAACTCGTAGAAGCATCATGAAGTTGTTCAAGAAGAAACCCGCGAACTCATGTGCCAGACTCGGGAGAAACGTATCGAGTATGATCCAGAGCGGAATTCGAAGGTAGTAGGTAGTCGTCACCTCATTATGGCATGCCTTCTCATTGTGTTTATCGTAGCTCCCCATTATTATCGAGCTTATTGCCGGAAAGGTGACTACAACACTCGAGCGGTTGATTGTTCTGCACTGCCTAGACTCAATCGTAGTGGGTATGAGAGGCCAGCGTGGCATGATGCAAACGTTGGGTGCGCCAGGTGTGGGCAGCGTGTCAAAGTATTGTCTTTTGATCGAATTCCCCCTTGCTCATCATTGTCGTTCGCCCAGAGAGAACTTAAGTCGAAAAAGTACTCGCCAAGAGACAAGCCGATCCAAAGAGAGGCAGCCATTTTGACAAGCAGGCCTTTATATGCTGCCGCGATGCACCTGCTCATACACTCCCTCGAATTGCAGGCTTACGAGGGCGAAGACGCAGAATATACAGAGTATTTTAATGTTGCCTTGTTATATGAGCGTGATTTTATTTGTTTTTCCAGACAACGCAAAACTGAAATTGTAACAAATACAAGGTAAGAAAGAAAAATGCTATAGCCATTCCATGATTAAACGACAACCAATTGATAAACCAGGCGCCAATATATGTAAGAAATGAACTGCAACGTGCGTAACGAATGCGTAAAAGTAGATCGCTACTCATGCATATCTTTCTCGATCCCGAAGCTCTTTTCTCGGAATTCTTGCGATTTGTCCCGTTGCTTGATCATATGACTCAGCTCGTCGTACAGGCCCTGCACATCGGATATTGCAGCGTCAAATTTGGCCCGAGCTATACCATCATCCGCCGTGACAAGGATCGCTTGTTTCTTCTGCCATTTGATCAACGCTTGATGCACCTTTGAAGCGAGTTCTGTGAACCACTTCGACGGAACACGATTATACGAGGCTGTCAAATTCAGCCTCGTCGCTGTCACGAAGGCTGGTATTCCATCGACGTAGTCGTCTTCTTCTTTGAGATATTGCGCATTGTCCCACGCATTTGTGATGAGCATCCGCCATTTGTCCTTGATAGGGCTGAAAGAAAGATCCTTGCCCGAGGACTTCATGCGCCCGAAGATCACGAGAAGGTAGAATCCGACTTCCGAAAAACGTTCATGAAAGACACCGTCAACTAGAGGAATGCACCGGTCGAGATGACCATTACGGGTCAGACGTTGATACCACTCGTCGTTCTTTGTCAGGACATAGAGGAGGTGGAGGTAGTGGTCGAGTGCAGTGTCGTGGATTGTCTTGTGGTCATTTGGATGCACAGCAGTTGAGAGAGCCTGGCAAAGCTCATTCAGGAGTTGTGCGTCGATACCCTTCGATGCCGAGGCACTTGTCAGAGAAGCTAATTCTTCTCGAGCTTCAAAAACAGCCCTAAGCGCGGTATGCCGGACTCGGGGAGGTCTGGTGGGCCCCATGCAGTGGATTAGCGACCTGATATAGGACTGTTGCTTGGTAGAGCTCCCTAGCCCACGCATGGCGCTCAGTGCAAGCAAAGCATCACCTTCTGTTTCATGATCTTTGACATGGCCTGCATCACCCTCTGTTTCATCGTCCATGTCGTGCTCTGCGTCATCCGCCAGGTAATCAACTAGCCAATCAAATTCTTCACAGCTGGGCTCCCTGTCGTCGCTGTGACGCCAACGCAGATCACCATTCCAAATCAAGTGTTCATCGTCCGGACGTGAAAATTGTTCGTCCACTCCATGGACAACCAGTGTTCTGAGAGCAGTGCGTGTATCGGCACGGTGCTTCATTTCATCGTCTTCTTTCTCCGAATTCTTGAGTTTATCGTAGGCAGCCCGTCCAGCCATAAACGCATCGCGAATGAAGCGACTTCGGATTCCTTGAAATTCATCATTCCAATGAAACTTCAGGAAATCCTCCTTGATTTTCAGCGAATGGATGCAAAGATGGGCCATGGCTTTGCCAAACTTTATATATAGTTCCTTGTCCTGACACGCCACGAAATGGTCACGCAAACGTGCGAAGGTTGCTGAAGCATCATGCTTCCGGGGCCATTGCACGGTAGGTAAAATGGCAGCCGCGGTCTCGATAATGTCCGGGTTTGTTGATATATCTAGTATCCATCGAATGGCGGCCGATTTGCCGAATATGTTAAAATTGAATGGAGATTTGTCGGGACGAAATTTTCGGTAGATGGTAACCAATAGCTCCGAGGTTGGTGTTTGGAAAGGACTGTCCGGACGCAACACCGATACGAGGACAGTGCCGACATAGAACAGAACACCGAAAGCTGTAACGCAGATAATGACGCTGGATATTGTGGTTTGCTGGACCCACATGCGGGCGCTCAGCGAGAGGCCGAAGAGAAGGAGCGAAATCTGGAGCAGCACTAGGAACATCCGTAAAAAGGCCTGCAGGCGAAAATACTCTACTCCGTCGAGCTTCACCTGCCTCTCTATGCCGCGCTCTTCAATAGTTCGTCCTTCCCGAACTACCTTGTAAGAGTTTAGCCATTGTTTTCCCAAGACAGCTCCGAATGCAGCCAAGACGCTAAATGCGAGGCTAGCGTAGGAAAGCGTTTGCATCCAGACCATCGAAGGGACAAATCCCGTAGATGAGGAAAGAGTGCTGATGTCAGGTACGGAATTTGAGCCGTCAACAGTTACCTTGATTAGATACAGGAGAAGGGCATTAGTGGTGTCTCCTGGATTAGGCTGCGACCCGACGAGGAAGGTAGAGTTGACAGCTGAGAATAGACCAGCCTAATCCTTCTATGAGACTTGCATCGAGAGACGCAGAAAGAAACGCACAAATGTCAGAATAATGTCCATGTCGTTATCGGCCTGCTCGAGGAAATCGTCATCGTACTCAGTCGAAACTCTCTTGTATGTCGCCCAAAACTTTGAGTTGTCATCTTTTCCACGTTCTTTTGCGATCGTTGATCCTTTAAGGACTTCGAGAACGTGCTCCAGCGTGTTTGACCTTTGAGAAAATAGTCAGACGTCAAGTGTAGCGAGGTGATGCGTTGACATTCACATCTTATTAAGGCTTCCTTCGATGGACACCGCAGGATTCTCCTTCGTGTTGTTTGGTTCGATCCTATTGTCCGGGGTCTGCTCCAGGGTGTTTGACCTTTAAAACAATATAGTTAGGCGTCACGTTGGCCGCGTTGGTTGGTCAATATTTACATATTCTTAGCGAGGCCTCCACGCTCCTCGTTCGCATTATTCGGCTTGAATTCATCCTGGATCTCCTCTAGGGTGCTTGACCTTTGAGACAATAGAGTCAGACGTCAATTATACCACGCTGATCGATCGACATTCACATATTTGCAACAATGTCAACTTCGATCGCATCCCTGCGTGTGCATGAGTATTATGGACAACTGAGTCTAGCTTGCTACTTACTCGTTAGTCAGTAGGTCGGTACTGACAGGCGGGGGACTGGGTCGTGGTGATGCGCTTGCCATGTTTGGGCTAGGGGTAAGTAGGAAGGGAGAAATGGTGGAAATATATAGTTGGGGCTCTGCACTGCATCCAGATGGCACGTTCTTATCAGACGCCAAAGCCTTGTGACCGGCTGAGCCGGTACACAAAGTGTCACTGAATCAAGTCCCTGAGACAGGCGATTGAAATCTACCGAGAGGCTCATTTTGAGGCACCAGCTTACCACATCATCCTTGATGCTAGAGAGCACGCTAAAGTACTAGATCAACGACTGGAGGAAACGAGGGAGAAAATGGTAACCGGCAGTATGTGACTCCGACTTCCGTAGCCACTGCTAGCGTCAATTTTGACATCTTATATGACGCCCAAAATCTGTTGGATATATGGTTGATGGCCCTGGCGCAGTGGGTAATCTTTGAGGCAGAACCATCTGTGCTGTCACGGTCTCCCGAAGTATGAGAATGAACGCGCGGTTCTCCATCAATATACAGGCCGATGTTAGTATGGGAAATGACGGTCAGGCACATACACAAGGAGGGAGGTAGAGAGATCTTCAGAAACGCACGGACGATACTTCGCTATCGAAATAATTTTCGATAATATAATCTACAAAGATTCGGAGAGGGTTTGATTCACCCCGCCGTTTGAGGCAGCTCGGATGCTTGTAGCATGAAGCCTCGCGGTGGTTCATAGTCATGAATTCAACGAGTTTCGTAACGTTTGCATTTACAATCTGCTGCTTGTCTGTGCAAACCATCCTCGCACGACGACACACCGTAATGATACCGACTACCTTTGTATTGTGTCATCACCGTGACTCATCTAGATTTGTTGTCGAGATTGAGGGCGGCCTAGTTGGAACTTGGCTGTGTACCGTGACGATGCGGTACTCTCCGAACATCTCTGGCACTGTCGTATTTTCACTGGGCCCGAGTGATGCGGCATGGCCTCAGGCTGCAGTGTACTTCTTGAACCGAATAGGACGTCGACCGCAGGAGGAATCAATGGCCATTCATGGGGAGATCGATTACCAGTGAAAATTGGTGCGAGAAACGTCTGGACGGTGTTGCAACTTGCCTGTTCTACCAGTAGTGAGTGCGAGGTGGGTGACTCGTGACCTGGAGGAGAGTTGAAGGGTAACACCCTCGGCATTTACCGAGGACCTTCTGCCACTTGTCATGCACCGCCCAGTGTCAATTGAAACCGCCCTCGACAACAAAATTTGGACGAATACACGGACAGGTCTGCACATAAGCAGCAGATGGCAAATGCAAACGTTGCTAATCCATGCAACTGGGAAACGAGTGCGAAGAATATAGAATTCACGTGAAGTTTGCGCAAACTTGAAGTGCATGCGTTTGCACGCGCGCTACGCCCACAAGTTTGAAAATGTTCATCATTTGTTGTTATCAACTAGATCTACACGATCTGGCGCTTTGCATGACACGCTCACACGTTCTGACATACCCCTACATCAATGTCGCAATTGCCGTGCAAAGGTTATATCTCGATTGACATGTTTCGGTCTATGATACATCCCGGCGCCGGATAATCCTCTGAGGTCCCACATCAAGTTCTGCAGGTCTCTTCTAGTAAAAATCGTCCCAGCCTCGTTCTCCTTCTGATATCTTCTGGCATCTTTCATGTTTTCGTCATCACCATCGTTCTCTCTTCCTCCGATGCTCTCCCTCCGGTCTTAGCTCGATGTTGCTACATCCTCTGCAACATCATTCTAGCGTTCTCCGTCGGTGAAAATGCAACAGTCTGAGGGCATGGCTCGACCTGTCATCAGTTAAGGTCACGGTTCTCACGTTCAGAGTCCCATCCGAGGCATTCGAAAATCTCACTGTTTCCATGCTCTCATTTACCCTGCACCTGCCATTATTTGGATCCATCAGGAACAAAGCGACAAAATTATTGCTTTGTGCATCGAGTCCAAGCGATATGAATGGTATGACCTAGTCATCTTCAGATGCGTCAATCCAGAGGATTTAGGTGGGTGGCTTGTACTATCTAGACCTCTACAAGTGTTAAAAACAACTCGGAGAAGCATCATGAAGTTGTTCAAGAAGAAACCCGCGAACTGATGCGCCAGATTCAGTAGAAATGTATCGAGTATGATACAGAGTGGAAGGCAGGTGGTCGTTATCTCATTGTGGCATACCTTCTCATTGTATTTATCGTAGCTCTCCATTATCGAGCTTATCGTGCCCAGACTCAATCGTAGTGGGTATGAGAGGCCAGCATGGCATGATGCAAGTGTTTGGTGCGGCAGGCGTGGGCAGCATGTCAAAGTATTGTCTTTTGAATTCCCCCTTGCTCATCATTGTCGTTCGCCCAGAGAGAACTTAGGTCGAAAAAAGTACTCGTCAAGTGACAAGCCGATCCAAAGAGAGGTAGCCATTTTGACAAGCAGGCCTTTATATGCTGCTGCGATGCGCCTGCTCATACGATCCCTCGGATTGCAGATTTACGAGGGCGAAGACGCAGAATATACAGAGTATTCCGATGTCTACCTGTCACATGAGCGTGATAAATTTCATTTTATCTGTTTTTCTGCCACAGTTGTACATATTCACTCTGTACCCATAGTCAACCTGTAATTCTAATACTTGAACGGAAATCTGACTACTGTTGACTGTGTGGTTCAAATCGATTTGTTATGGAGAAAGTCTTGGTTGGATCTGTGACACTCGGCACTTGACATGATTGTGGTGCTCAAACGTTAGTCACCCACTTCTTGATAGACGAAACAGAACTACGATTACAGTGAATACAAGATAAGTGAAAAAAACCCTGTGGCCTTTCTGTGAGTAAATCTCATCTATCTCATGAACCCACTAATCTAACCATAGGAATGTGGGTAACAAATGCGAAACAGTAAGTACCTCACTACTGATGCTATCTGTCAATCCAAAGTTCCACCTTCCCTTTACAGGGCCTTCTGGTCCTCAGTCATACAGCATAAATCGTCGTACAAGCCCTGCATAGAGGATAACGCAGCGTCCATGGTAGCTTGAGCTACGCCATCATTTGCAAGGATCGCTTGTCTCTTCGGATCCCCCAAATTGACCAAAGTCATATGAACATCTGCAGCGAGACTTTTGAACCACTCCTTCGGAACACCATCATTTGAGACTGTCAAATTCAGCCTCGTCGCTTTCACGAAGGCTGGTATTTCATCGACATAGCCATCTTCCCCTACAAGATATTTTGCCGAGTTCCATGGGTTCTCGAGGAGTAGCCGCCATCTCTCCTCGGCAGGACTGAAAGGAAAATTCTTGCCCGAGAACGCGATGCGCCCAAAGATCACTAGAAGGTAGAATCCAACATCCGAATCGCCTTTTTGAGACACTCCGTCAACTAGGGAAATACACCGGTCGAGATGTCCATCACGGGCCAGACGTTGACACCACCCGTCGTTCTCTGTCAGAGCGTAAATGAGGCGGATGTAGCAATAGTCTCGATTTTCGTGGAAAGAGCCGTCGGGTCCAGTGTCGTAGGTTGTCTGGTCGTCCTTCGGACGCACAACAGTTAAAATAGTAGTCAGGAGTTGTGTGTCGGCACCTAGACGTACGGCAGCTAGAAGAGCCTTGGAAAGCTCATCCAGGAGTTGTACGTCAACACCCTGTGGCATTGAAGCATCGGTTATAGAAGCTAGTTCTTCTCGAGCTTCAAAAACAGCTCTAAGCGCGGCGTGTCGGACCCGGGGGGATGTGGTGGAGTGCAAACAGCGGATAAGCGAGCTGATGTAGGACTGTTGCTTGGTAGAGCTCCCTAATACCTGCATGGCGCTCAGCGCAAGCAAAGCGTCGCCTTCTGTTTCATCGTCTGTGTTTGTGTCGCTCGCCAGGTAATCAACGAGCCAATCAAACTCTTCGTAGCTATTTTCATCCCCATCGCCGTGATACCAGCACAGATCACCGGACCAAATCAACTCTTCATCATCAGGACGTGAAAGCCCCAAGGACTGTCCATGGACAAGCATCGTCCTGAGAGCGGTGCGTGTATCGGCCCGATATTTCAGTATATCGTTTGGTGTGGGTGAATTCTTCGACTGATAGTAGGCAGACTGTCCAGCCATGAACGCATCGCGGATGAAACGACTTCGGGTTGACTTGAATTTATTATCGTCCCAACGAAACAATAGATGTTTCTTCTTAATTTTCATCGACTGGATGCAAAGATGGGCCATGGCCTTGCCATACTTTACATACAGCTCTTCCCTGTCACGACACGCCACGAAACTTTCACGTAAACGGGCGAAGGCTGCTGAAGCGTCAAGGTTCGGCGACCACGGCACGGAAGGTACCATTGCAGCCGCAGCCTCGACAATGGATGGGTCTGTCGATGTCTCTAGTACCCAACGTATGGCGGACGATATGGCGAACGTGGGAAGAGATGAATGTCTTTTTGGAAGAATTTTCTTGCAGAGGGCTCGAATTATATCTGTCCCCGGTGTCTGAAAAGGACTATTGGGCCACCACACTGACACAAAGATGGTGCCTGCATAGGAAAGAGCGATAGAAGCTGCACTGGTTGCCATGAATCCGAATGTTGGCACGGAGTCTGCCCACGTCTTGAGGCATAGTGAGATGCTGAAGAGCATAAGTGCAATCTGGAGGAGCACAAGGAATGCCTGCAACAAGGGGCGCAGCTGAAAACGAACCAGCCCATCTAATTTCATCTGCCTCTGCATGCCACTCTCTTCTGAAGTTCCTCCTTTTTCCCGAGCTGCCTCGTATGAATTGAGACATTGCTTTCCCAAGACACCTCCAAATGCAGCGATGACACTGAGTGCTAGGCTCATATAGGCAAGAGTTTGTATCCAGACAGTTGAAGAGGAATATCCCGTAGACGAGGAAAGATTGCTGATATCAGGTGCGGCACTTGACCCGTTAACGGTAATTGCTATAAGCTGCACCAAGAGGGCATTGGTAGTGTCTGTCGGGTCGGGCTGCATTCCGATGACGAAAGTGGCGATGACGGTCGAGAGTAGACCAGCCTGATTCACCCGTGAGATTTGCGTTAATAAATATAGAAACGGAAACGAACGCACAAAAGTCAGGATAACAGTTATATCGTTGTGCGCTCGGTTGAGGAAGTCATCATCGTACTCATTCGAAATCTTCTTGTATTTCGCCCAGAACTTTGACTTGTCATCTTTTCCGTACTCTCCTGCAATAGTAGATTCTCGAAGGACTTCGAGAATCTGCCCCAGCGTGTCTGACCTGTGACAAGATATAGTTAGATGTCAAGTGAACCGTGCTGATGAATTGACATTCACATATTCATAGCAAGGCTTCCTTCGATAAACACTGCAGGATTCTCCGTTGCGCTATTCGTCCCGATCCCATTGTTCAGGGTCTTCATGTATGACCTTTAAGACAATATAGTTATTAGTTAGACATCAAGTGTACCGTGCTTATTGGTTGATGATTACATATCCTCGACTAGGCTTCCACGGTCCTCGTTCACATTGTTCGGTCTGAGTTCATCCCGGATCTGCTCTAGGGTACTTGCCCTGTCAGACAATAGAGTCGGACGTCAATTATACCATGCTGATTGGTTGAAATTTACATATTCGTAACACGGTCAGCCTCGATCGTATTCCTGTGTGTTCATGGGTGTTATGGACAACTGAGTATAGCTTGCTACTTACTCGTTGATCAGAAGGTCGGTAGCGATAGTTATGGGACTGGGCCGTGATGACGTGCTTGCCATATTTGGGCGGGGGGAGACACAGAAGAAAAGTAGAGAGGAAGAAATGGTTGAAATATATAGCTGGGGTTCTGCACGGCATCCGAAAAGTACGTCCTTATCGGACGCCAAGGTGTAGTTGGTTGCGCCGGCGCCCAAGGTGACAGAATCAAGTCCCTGAGATAGGCGTTTGAAAATTTCCGAGACGCTCATCCTGAGAGATGAGCTTACCACACCATTCTAGATTCCCAATGGCACGCAAAAGTACTCGATTGGCGACTGGATGGAGAAATGATAACCGGAAGTATACGACTCAGACTTACCTAGTCGCAGGGCTGGCGCCAATTTTGACATTGAAGCATGCTTTTATCTAGCGCCAAATCTTGTGGCGGCTGGTGGTCCCGGGGCAGTGAGACGAGGTCCTACAAAAAAAGTATCTTGATGAGCGCGCGGTTCTCCATAAATATACAAGCTAGTGCTAGTTAGTACAGGGAAAGGTCAGAGACATACGCAAGGAGGGAAGTAGAGGGATCTTCAGAGACACATGCACGATGCTTCACTATCAAAATGATTTTCGATAGTCACAAATATAATTTACGAAGATTTGGAGCCGCAACCAGACTCGAGGGTTCGATCCACCCCCACCATTCGTAGATGAGGCAGCGATGCGTGTAGCACGAGCCTCACGGTGGTTCAAGTTCATACTAGTAGTACGAATCCAATGGGTTGGAAGTGAGTCGCTGTTACCATCTGGCAAGTTGTATTATGGGCGTTGGGTATTGGTGGACTGGACTCGTAACCACTCTGCCTGCGGGGGGTTTTGAGATGTTGAGTTTAAAAATTTACAGTTACTGATTTCGTGGGTTCACACCGGGCTTCGCCCGGATGAAGGGGCTCATCAGAGGGCTTAATACCTGTGTATCATCATTAATACTACTTATCAGAAACATTGATGCCATAATGTCTTCCTTACCAAGTAGTAGGGCACTTCCTGCAGCACTCAGCAACCTCTTCGTAAAATATATGTTGCAGTAAATGATCAATGCTCTTGAAAAACTATGATACGTTATATAATCCGCCTATTTCCGAGTGGGCGACCGCCCATGACTAATTGCCCGTAACGGATGCATGTCTTTCACGATCCCGAAGCCGAGTCCTTGTGATGTGTTCCGTTTCTTGACCATATGAGTCAGCTCGTCGTGCAGACCCTGTACTTTGGGTATTGCGGTATCAACTCTGACCCGAGCTACACCACCCTTCACAAGGGTCGCTTGTCTCTCCTGCAATTTGACCAAAACCTCGTGCACCTTTACAGTGCAATCTGTGAACCACACCCTTGGAACACTATCATGCGAGGTTTTCAAATTCAGCTTCGTTGCTGTCACGAGGGCTGGTATTCCATCGACGATGATGTCATCCTCTATGTTATATTGCACTGTGGACCATGCGTGTGCAATGAGTGACCGCCACTTCTCTTCGGCAGGACTGAAGGGAAGATACTTGTGCGACGACTTGATGTGCCCGAAGATCACAAGAAGGCAGAATCCGGCATACCGGCCAGGCTGGTGACTGACTTTGTCAACTAGAGAAATACACCGGCGGAGATGACCGTCACGGATCAGACGTTGATACCACTCGTCGTTCTTTATCAGAGCACGGATGAGGTCGAGGTAGCAATTATCTCTATGTTCGTGGAAAGAGGCGTCGGGTCCAGTGTCACGTATGTTGCTATGTGGACGTACAGCAGTTAAAAGAGCGCAAGAAAGCTTATCCAGGAGTTGTGCGTCGACACCCTCTGGCATTGAGGCAATTGCCATTGAAGCTAGTATTTCTCGAGCTTCAAAAACAGCTCTAAGTGCGGTGTGCCGGACTCGGGGAGGTTCGGTGGGGCGCATACAGCGGATAAGCGAGCTGATATAGGACTGTTGCTTGGTAGGGCTCCCCAGTCCCCGCATGGCGCTCAGCGCAAGCAAAGCGTCGCCTTTTGTTTCATTGTCTGTGTCTGTGTTTGCATCGCCCTCCAGGTAATCAACGAGCCAGTCAAATTCTTCACAGTTGGGCTCACGCCCGTCGCTGTGACGCCAACGCAGATCACCATTCCAAATCAGATGTTCATCGTCCGGACGTGAAAGCTGTCGGTCCACTCCGTGGACAACCAGTGTTCTGAGAGCAGTGCGTGTATCGGCCTGATGCTTCTTTTCATCGTCTTTTGTCTCCGGATTCTTGAGCCGTTCGTAGGCAGCCCGTCCAGCCATGAACGCATCGCGAATGAAACGACTTTGGGTTCCCTGAAATTTATTATTCCATTGAAATTCCAGAAGTTCCTTCTTTATTTTCACCGGCTGAATGTAAAAATGTGCTATGGCTTTGCCATACTTCAAATATAGCTCTGCCTTATCCTCGCACGCCATGAAGTTATGGCGTAAACGTGCGAAGGCTGCTGAAGCATCAAGGTTGGGACGCCATTGCATGCGAGGTATAATCGCAGCTGCAGTCTCGACAATGTCCGGGTTTGTTGATGTCTCTAGAATCCAGCGAATGGCAGATGATTTGGCGAATACGTCAGACTTGGGAGTGAATCTGAATTTGTCTGGAAGAATTTTTTGGAAGATGGGTGCCAGTCCTTCCGAGGCTGGTGTCTGGAAAGGACTGTCCAGACGCAACACCGACAGGAGGAAAGTGGCGACATAAAATAGAATACCGAAAGCTGTAACGCAGATGATGACACTAGATATCGTGGGTTGCTGGACCCAAATGTGAGCGCTTAGCGAGAGGCAGAAGAGCACGAGCGACATCTGGAGTAGTATCAGGAATGTCTGCAAAATGGTCTGCAGGCGGAAATATTCTATTCCGTCTAGCTTCATCTGCCTCTCTATGCCGCGCTCTTCAAGAGTTTCTCCTTCTCGAGCTACCTTGTATGAGTTTAGCCACTGTTTGCCCAAGACAGCTCCGAACGCGGCCAAGACGCTGAATGTGAGGCTAGCATAGGAAAGTGATTGTATCCAGACGGTCGAAGAGGGAAATACCGTAGATGACGAAAGAGTGTTGATATCAGGTACGGAATTCGGGCCATTGACAGTGAGCTGGATTAGATACAGGAGGAGGATATTGGTAGTGTCTCCTGGATTAGGCTGCATTCCGATGATGAAAGTAGAGTTGACGGCTGAGAACAGACCAGCCTAATACTCCTGTGAGACTAGCATCGAGAGACATAGAAAGAAACGCACAAAGGTCAGAATGATGCCCATATCGTCATTTGCCCGCTCGAGGAAGTCGTCGTCGTACTCAGTCGAAACTTTCTTGTATGCCGCCCAAAACTTTGAGTTGTCATCTTTTCCGCGTTCTTCTGCAATATTCGATCCTTTGAGGACTTCGAGGATGTGCCCCAGCGTGTCTGACCTGTAACAAAATATAGTCAGACGTCAAGTGTACGGGGCTCGTGAGTGATATTCACATATTCTTAGCAGAGCTTCCTTCGATGGACACCGCAGGATTATTGTTCGCGTTATCCAATTTGATCTGACCATTATCCGGGGGCTGCTCCAGGGTGTCTGACCTTTGAAACAATATAGTTAGACGTCAAGTTTGCTGTGCTGGTTGGTTATTATCTACTTACATATTCTTAGCCAGGCCTCCACGTTCCTCGTTCGAATTATTCAGCTTTAGTGCATCCCGGATCTCCTTCAGGGTGCTTGACCTTTGAGACAATATAGTCAGATGTCAAGTCTACCATGCTGATTGGTTGACATTCACATATTCTGAAGAAGGTCGAAGGCTTGGATTCCATTCCTGTGTATTCATGAGTGTTATGGACAACTGAGTATAGCTTGCTACTTACTCGTTAGTCAGAAGGTCGGTAGCGACAGGTGGGGGACTTGGTGGTGATAATGTGCTTGCCATGTTTTGAGCTGGGGGAAACATAGGAAAGTACGCAGGGAGAAATGGTGGAAATATATAGCTGGGGCTCTGCACGGCATCCAAAAATTACGTTCTTATCGGATGCCAAGGTGTAGTTGGTTGCGCCGGCGCCCGAGGTGGCACAGAATCAAGTCCCTGAGACAGGCGTTTAAAATCTATCGAGATGTTCATCTTCAGGGATGAGCTTACCACACCAGCCTTGATTGTCAAGAGCGTGCAGAAGCACTAGATCAGCAACTGGAGAAAGAGAGAGAGAAATAGCCACCAGAAGTATATGACTTGGACTTGCTTGACCGTGCTGCAGGCGTCAATTTTGACACTGAAACATGATCTGATCTGGCGCCAATGCCTGCCATGCCATATATGGCTGGTGGATCCAGGGCAGTGAAACAAGGTCCTGCAAAAAAATATCCCTGAGGCAGAACCATTCATGGGGTGTTCCGAAGTATGATAATGAAGCGCGCGGTTCCCCGTCAATATACAAGCTAGTGCTAGTACAGGCAATGACGGTTAGGCACATGGAGGAAAGCAGAGGAATCTTCGTAAATGCACGTACGATGCTTCACTGTCGAAAGGACTTTCAATAATCACGGTCATGAATATAATTCGGACCTACTACAACCAGACTCGAACGTTCGAACTTCGAACCACCTCGATGAATTGCTGCAATGGCGAAGGTTCACCATCATTGCAGCTATTCATCTAGCACGAAACATCGCAGTGGTTCATGAATTCAATGAGTTAACATGATGAGCGAATCGCCAGCATTGCCACGACATGACGGGTCAGTTACTTGGCAAGTCAAATATCAAAGTTTTCGAGTGAACACCAATATTACGTAATTTGTTGTATGTTGTGCATTCAAACGTGTACCCCACAGTCACTTTGGATTTTTAATGCCTAAAAGCATAAGAACAAACTGCGACGAGCGTAACAAATGCGTAAAAGTACTCCACTACTGATGCTATCCTTCAGTACCCCTAAGTTTCACCGTCCCTCTGCAGGGCGTTCTGGTCCCCAGTCATACGACGCACAGTGTCGTACAAACCCTGCATAGAGGATAGTGCAGCATCCACGGTAGCCTGAGCTACACCATCTTCCACAAGGATCGCTTGGCTCTGTTGCAAATTGACCAAAGTCATATGCACATCTTCAGCGAGTTCTGTGAACCACTCTCTCGGGACACCATCATCCAAGATTGTCAAATTCAGCCTCGTCGCTGTCACGAAGGCTGGTATTTCATCGACATAGCCGTCTTCCCCTACGAGATATTTCGCCGAGTTCCATGGGTTCTTGAGGAGTGGCCAGCATCTCTCTTCGGCAGGACTGAAAGGAAGATCCTTGCCTGAGGACCTGATACGCCCAAATATCACAAGAAGGTAGAATCCGACATCCGAATGGCCCTTTTGAGACACTCCGTCAACTAGGGAAATACATCGGTCGAGATGGCCATCACGGGTCAGACGTTGCATCCACTCGTCGTTCTGTGTCAGGGTATAGATGAGGCGGATATAGCAATAGTCTCGATCTTCGTGGAAAGAGGCGTCAGGTTCAGTGTCATGGATTGCCTCGTCGTCATTTGGATGTACAGCAGTCAAAACAGCGCGAGAAAGCTCATCCAGGATGTGTACATCGACACCCTCTGGCATCGATACACTGGTTATGTAAGCTAGTTCTTCTCGGGCTTCAAAAACAGCTCTAAGCGCAGTATGACGGACTCGGGGAGGTCTGGTGGAACCCATACAGCGAATAAGCGAGCTGATGTAGGACAGTCGCTTAGTAGGGCTCCCCAGTTCCTGCATGGCGCTCAGCGCAAGTAAAGCGTCGCCTTGTGTTTCATAGTCTGTGTTTGCGTCGCTCGCCAGGTAATCAACGAGCCAATCAAATTCTTCACAGTTGGGCTCACGCCCGTCACTGTGATACCAGCACATATCACCAGACCAAATCAACTGTTCATCGTCCGGACGTGACAGCTCAACAGACTGTCCGTGCACAATCATCGTTCTGAGAGCAGTGCGTGTATCGGCCCGATGCTTCAGTATATCATTCACTTTGGATGAATTCTTCAGCTGATGGTAGGCATCCCGTCCAGCCATGAACGCATTGCGAATGAAATGACTTCGGTTTCCCTGGAATTTATCATTCCAAGAAAGCTTTAGAAGCGCCTCGTCGATTTTCACCGGCTGGATGCAAATATAGGCCATGGCTTTGCCATACTTCACATATAGCTCTTCCCTGTCCTGACATGACACGAAAATATCACGTAAACGTGCAAAGGTTGCTGAAGCATCAAGGTTCGGCGACCACGGCACGAAAGGTATCATCGCAACCGCAGCCTCGACAATGGACGGGTCTGTCGATGTCTCTAGTATCCAGCGTATGGCTGATGATATGGCGAATGAAGGAGATAGATTTCTCTTCGGAAGAATTTTCTTGCAGAGGGCCCGAATTATGTCTGTGCCTGGTGTCTGGAAAGGACTATCGGGCCACCATACTGACATGAAGATGGTGCCTGCATAGGAGAGAGCGACACAAGTTGCACTAGTTGTCATGAAACCGAATGTTGGCACGTGGTCGGCCCACGTCTTGAGGCATAGCGAGATGCTGAAGAGCACGAGTGCAACCTGGAGGAGTACGAGGAATGCCTGCAACAAAGGGCGCAGCTGGAAACGAACCAGCCCATCTAGTTTCATCTGCCTCCGCATGCCACTCTCTTCTAAAGTTCCTCCTTTTTCCCGAGCTGCCTCGTACGAATTGAGACATTGCTTTCCTAAGACGGCCCCAAACGCAGCGATGATGCTAAGCGCTAGGCTCATATAGGTAAGAGTTTGTATCCAGACAGTTGAAGAGGAATATCCCGTCAACGAGGAAAGATTGCTGATATCGTGTGCGGCACTTGACCCATTAACAGTGATTGCTATGAACTGCACCAAGAGGGCATTGGTAGTGTCTCCTGGGTCGGGCTGCATTCCAATGATAAAAGTAGCGATGACAGTTGAAAGCAGACCAGCCTGATTTTCCCGTGAAATTTGCGTTGATTAATATGGAGACGAACGCACAAAAGTCAGGATCACAAAGATATCGCCTTGCGCCCGGTTGAGGAAGTCATCATCGTACCCATTCGAAATTTTCTTGTATTTTGCCCAAAACTTTGACCTATCATCTTTGCCACGTTCTCCTGCGATAGTAGATTCTCGAAGGACTTCAAGAATGTGCCCCAGTGTATCTGACCTTTGAGAAAATATAGTCAGACGTCAAGTGCATGGCGCTGATGAGTTGACACTCACATATTCTTAGCAAGATTTCCTTCGATGTACACCACAGAATTTTCCTTCACGTTATCCGACTCCATCCCATTGTCCGGAGTCTGCTGTGGGGTGTCTGACCTTTGAGACAATATAGTTAGACGTCAAGTTTGCCTTGCTGATTGGTTGACATTTACATATTCCTGGACGCCACATGTTCCTCGCTGGTGTTATCTGGCATTATTTGATCGCGGATCTGCTCCAGGGTGCTTGACCTTGGAGTCAAATGTCGAGTATACCATGCTAATTGATCGACACTTACATATTTTTATCAAGGCCGACCTTGATAGACACGGCAGGTTCCTCAGTCACTGCGTTCACGTCAATCGTATTCCTGTGTGTCCGTAAATTTGTTGTCAGCTCAGTCTAACTCGCCACTCACTCGTTCGGGAGGTCGGTATCTGCAGGTACGGGACTAGATCGCGGGGACGTGTTGCGCGTTATTCGTGCTGTAGTGGACATAGATGGAAGAAGGAGGGCAGGAATGGGGAAGTAGATGGTTTCAGCGCGACTGTCAACGTTTTTACTGCAATGAAAGAAGCACGTTCTTGCATGGCAGCCTTGTGGCGATTGGCCATGGGTGCGTGAGACCCCGTAGAATGGAATACAACCTTAACACAGACTCTATCTAACACTGGGCCAGGTGTTCATTGCTGCATGATATCGGTTATCGATCCTCCCTACTCAACGCTGGCATATTGACCACTGGAGTGTATCTGTCCTTGAGTAAACCAGGACCGTTGTAATGTACTATAACGATGAATGAGAGGTAGGTGACCGCAATGAATTGCATGCAATGATATCATGAGATACCTAGCTATATGTCCCAGATTACAGATTGGAGTCCGGAATACAAGTGTGAACAAAATGTTTTCGATGGAAATCATTGTTGACTGTTGTTGTGCAAAGGCGTTGTACCTGAGAAGTTCGATCGTCACTACTAGATGTCCACGGGAGTTCGCGCATTTTTGGCAAAACGGTTATTACTCCACATCGCACAAACAAATAAAATTAATTCTTTGACAGTTCGATAGCGTGACATCGAAAGTACAACGTCTGCTAGTTTCTTTTTCGAAAATCGACGTGTTGAGTCCAGCAGAGAGTTACCGCGCAGAAAAGTGCAATTTTCCCTAGAGTTCGCGCACTTCGTCACACTATGTCACACGTCTGCCGCAATGCCTTTTCACGCTCCGCAGAGTCCGCACCGTTTGAGTATTGTGAAGTTGTGCATGGTGTAAAGCATTCCGGCATTGCGGAGTTTTGATTACACAGTCTCTATGTAACGCTTTGGGCAGATTGTCACGTTTGGGGCTTATTTCTTCATCGCAGATGATCCTGACAAGCATGTGCCCCGGATAAATTTGTTTTAGTATTCTCTAATCATGTATAACCATCTCACAATATTCCAGAATTATATGTGGAGATCTGACCTTTAGAGCGAGCCTTCTATGCCTCTCGCACTGATAAGTTGTCCATGGAACAAGATCTACTTCGATTTTCTTCAAAAAAAAAATATGGCAGTGTGTATTATGTTTGGGCGAATCCAGATCTATCATGGATAAGGATTCCGTGTAGAATTGCGTGTGCTAGAGTCAATGCGCGGACTCTTGGGACACACGGACTCGTGGGACCATCTAGTACCTCCTTCAACAATCCTGCGGGCTACATGCTGCTCAACACAAAAGATCTTGAGGGTTGCTGTGGGACAATAAATTAAAACGCCCCTTGCACGCTAGGGATTTGGCCTCTGTCGTCGGAGGGTCTCGCGTTTCTGAATTGTAAACACTTAGTAGGGGCGCACATCCTGCCAGAGATAGTATTATCTTGATCAAACTGGTCTCGGGCTAATTCATCTCAAGAATCCCCCGCCGATTTAAAGATGTATTCCAGATCCGACCTTCGATCATACGACGTAGATCGGTCTATACATGTCCTGAGGATATAATTATGGCGTCAGCTGCATCCTGAGGTACACCACGATACACATGCAAAGATGGCTCGTCTCTGCTGCAAATCGTCCAAAGCTCGATTCACAGCGAGCGAAAGTCAGAATGATACTTATATCGTCATTCGCGCGCCCGAGGAAGTTGTTGTTGTACTCATTCAAAACTTCTCGTATATCATCCAGAACTTTGAAATCATCTTTCTTTCTGCGAGATTTGATCCTTCGAGGACATCGAGAATCTGCTCCAGGGTGTTTAACCTTTTGAGATATTATAGTGCTGATTATGTAATCGATATTTCCATATTTATAGCCAAACCTTCCTCGATCGACACCACAGGCTCCTCGTTCGGCTGGAGACCATCCCAGATTTGCTCAAAGGTGTTTTGACCTTTGAGACAATATAGTCAAACATCAATTATACCATGCTGATTGGTTGTCAACGTTCACAAATTCTTAACAATATCGACCTCGATCGTATTCCTGTGTGCATATGAGTGTTACCGACAACTCAGTCTAGCTTGCCACTTACTCGTTGGTAGGAAGGCCAGTACCGACAGATGGGAGACTGGGTCGTGATGATGCGTTTGTTATGTTTTGAGTTGGGGCGGATGGGAAAGTAGGGAGAGAGAAATGGTAAAAATGTCTAGTTGGTGCTTTGCGCATAAAAAGCCCGTTCTTGTTTGATGCCAAAGCCCTTCAGCCGATTGCTCCGGAACACGATTGCTACAAAATCAAGTCCTGGGGGCTGGGCGTTTTGGAACCTGCCGAGACGCTCATCTTGAGAGATGAGCATGGCACACATTCCTGATTCTCAAAACCGCGCAAAAAATAGACCAGGGCTTGAAGGAAGTGAGAGAAATGGTGATCGGAACTTCGGAAGTATATAACTTGCTTAGTCGCTGTGCTGGCGTCAACTTTGACACAAAAGCATGCTCGTATCTGGGGCCAAAGCCTGCAGTAGGGCAAGAGGTCTTACACAACAAGGCGGAACCACCTACGCTGTCTTCCGAAGGATGAAAATTAGCACACGGTTTTCCCTAAATATTCATTGTGATTTTTTCACAAACTAGTGCAAGTATAGGTAATGACGATCAAGCACATACATGAGAAAGGAAGTAGAAGATCTTCGGAGACGCACGCACGATGCTTCGCTATCGAAAGGAATTTCGATACGCAACCAAACTCGAGGGTTCGATCCGTCCCCACCGTTCGAGATAACGATGTATGTAGCACGAAGCCTCGTGGGTGGTTCGCAGTCAATAGTGCAACGAGTTAAAAGCTCATCCGAGTCGCTATCGTGACGTGGAGTTGAGCAAGTTGTAGTCCCGTTGAACCAACCGCCTGGCTGAGGTTTTGATTGAACGTCATCAAGCCTTGAGCAATTGGGTTGGCTCGTAGTTCATCAAGGCGTGTATTCCGCTCCAACCAGGTGTACTCACTCGGTGACTTTGTATATGAACCATCAGTCCGCATGCGGCACACGACAGAATCAATATTTTACCGCTCTCGTGGAGTAAGATGAAAAGGCTTCCTGTTTGAGAGATCTGCCACTCGCAATAATAGATGATACTGGATCAAAGTCCTTAGCTGCGATATAATCGCATACTTGGAACACAATGAGTGGGGGCTGAGAGCGCAGTGCGCAGCATGGTGGTAGAAAGTAATAGGCCATTGTTTTCCATTGTTGTGCAAAGGCTTTGTACCTGATTACATAACATTTTTATTGTCTCAACGTCCATTGTGTGATTGTCTTCCCACGTGGGAAGACAATAGTGAAGCGGAACTAAAGCCACAATTGAAACAACAAAAATGCGGGAATGGCAGACTGGCTTTCGACGTTTCTCTCCCTTATACCATTCAGACGATTGCAGAGGCGATTTTATCGCGTAGAACGACGATGAAGAACCATGATCCAACATCAGATCCTTCAATTCGGTCAACAATTCATTCGGCTTCTTCGTCGACACTTGATATCAAAAATGACTCCAATGTCTCTGAGACAACATCAATTCACGATATCCCTAACATTCATGCAGCACCTGTTCCATCAACGAAGCTGCTGTTCTCATTCCTCACCCCGCGAAGGAAGCTGGTTCTTCTAACACCGGCCGTTTTGTCTTCTGTCGCTACCGGCGCCATCGCTCCCCTTATGACTTATGCCGTCGGGCAGTCATTCAACGCCTTTGCCGCTTTCCCATTGACACCCAACCCACCGCAATCCGCCAAGGATGCGCTACTTCATGGTGTGGGCATTGCAGCAATTGAACTCGTAGCACTCAGTATTAGTGCGCTCGTCATGAGTAGCATCACGAGTAGCTTGTGGATTTCTACTGGGGAGCACAATGTCGTGGAGCTTAGACGGCTCGTATATCAGTCTGTTGTCAACAAGGAGATGTCATGGTTCGATCTCCGGATGGGGGTCGACGGGTCTGCACCTGCGGGCCAAGTGCAAGACACGTCCGAAGATTTCCCCGTAGGCGCTGGCGGCCTCATGGCCAAGTTTGCTAGGTTAGCAATTATTTTGTCTGTCTGAGCCCTTGATTCTGAGTGTCTTTTCATAAATCCAACAGAGAAACCGACGACGTACGCGCAGCCTCGTCACTAGCAGCAGGCCAGCTGCTTCAATATCTAACCACCACCATAACGAGCCTTGTGCTCGCATTCGTTTGGTCACCGCTCCTCACCCTTGTCATTCTCTCAGCCGCCCCCGCATTAATCATCATTCAGGCATTCTCTCAAGTTCTAGCGGGTCCTCTCCTTACTCGTGAGCGCACCTTTACTGCGAGTGCCGCTACCGTCGTCGAGCGTGCCGTGTCTGCAATCGCCACTATCAAAGCGTTCAACGCAGCTACACACGAGACTCGGGTACTTTCCCGTGTGCTCGGACGCGTAAGCGCAGCTGCGAATGGACTTGCAGGAATCTGGGGCCTCACATGTGGCTTGAGCCAGTTCGTCACAATGGCAATGTTTGTACAAGGATTCTGGTTCGGAGCTCACCTTGTCCGCGAAGGCAAGAATACACCCGGTCAAGTCATGAGCGTTTTCTGGGCATGCCTTATCGCAACGAGTAATCTTCAAATGGCTGTACCCCTTCTTATCACCTTCATGAAAGGCAAGGTCGCCGCTGCAGAACTCGCAGGCATGATCTCCGAAGCACATCAACCATCCTCAACGCGACGTTTACAAGAACTCCGGAAAATACAACCAAAGTCGTTTTACGGCGAACTGAGCCTGACTGGCGTGTGCTTCGCATATCCCGCACGACCGGACGTTCAAGTACTCCGCGATGTAACCATGTACCTCCCCGCACATGAGACAACATTTATTGTTGGATCAAGCGGTTCTGGAAAGTCCACCCTTGGCGCAATCTTGATGGGCGTTTACAATCCAGACTCTGGCTATGTTTGTCTGGACGAGCAGGATGTGCGATATATTGACGCCGCGTACGTGTCGGGCTGCATAGCCGGCGTAGCGCAGGGCGCATCGTCTGCACCTGTCTTCCCAGGAAGCCTTCACGAAAACGTGGCTCTTGGCGCAGTGGGAAAAGGCAAGCGATCGGAGGACGTTAGTAGAGCAGAAGTAGAAGAAGCGTGTAGAGTTGCGATGCTTGAGTCTTGGGTGCTTGGTTTAGACCAAGGCTACGACACGCTATTGAGCGGTACTGGTGCGGAAGGCATCCAGTTGAGTGGTGGACAGCGCCAGAGGCTCGCAATCGCGCGCGCGCGGATTCGTGACCCCGAGATATTGATTCTCGGTAAGTTTTGCATTTCTCTCGTTTATCTGGTCTCTTAGTTATGTTCTTTTGTTTCAGATGAAGCAACATCCGCATTAGACCCCCCGACTCGCGCACTTATTTTGGCTGCTATTCGGAGATGGCGACAGGACCGCACGACAATCATCATTACGCATGATGTTGCTGCAATCGAAGAGACTGACTTTGTCTACGTCATGCGGGAGGGTTCCGTGGTCGAGCAAGGCTTTCGATCAGACCTCGAGCACGCAGATGACGAATTTGCTCGCATGCTTCGTACAGGCGGGCTTGCAGTTGAAGATGACCTTCCTGGGTACGATGCAGTCGCAGCGATCCTCGCAGGGGAGGAGGAAGAAGAGGAGGAAGAGCTCCCAGTTCACGAACGACACATGAGCATAGCTCCGACATTGGGCGGCATGCGTCCCGTCACGGCGACGCTTGGCAACTGGATGTTCGATGTTGTTGCGGAACTTACGAAATCGAGTACAACACCACCACCTCTTCCTACAGCAGCAGAGAAAGACAAGGACTGGCGGATGAGTCGATTTATCCCCCCTAGTGCGTTACCCATAGAAGAAATACCGGAGTTCAAGGGTGGTGCTGCAGGGAGACAACGGAGACCGAGCAGTATGTCGATATTCATTCCCGAAGTCACGGTTCCCCCTCGCACATACGGCGGCCATCGTTTTAGCTTGCAGTTCACCCCTACCTCCCCGACACTTTCACGCCCGAGCTTCTCTTTCCCAGAGCCGGTATGCATGGTCGAAGATGATGAGGAATTCGAGACTGAGAAGGAGGCGTTGAAGCGCAGCGCTGAAGAAGCTGCGAACAGGAGAGAGCGCAGAGAGCGCAAGCACCATGGCGTCCTACAGAGTATCGTCGTGCCTTCGTCTGGAAATGAAGACACCCAAAACCCATCGAACCTTTCACCAGCCCCCGGCCTTTTCGCCCTTCTGCGCGCTGTGTACCCCACCATTCCCAACAAGCCAATCGTTTTCGTCGGGCTCACCATCTGCTTGCTAAGCGGGGCGATGACGCCCATATTTTCATTCCTCCTTTCCAAACTCATTGTTCTAGTCTCGGCTGGTGGTTCAGATGCCAGCCTGATCAACTCCTACGGTGGCCTTGTCCTCGGAATTGCAGCCCTTGATGGGCTTCTTCTTGGTTCCAAATTCTTCTTTATGGAAACCTCCGCTATGCGTTGGGTCACTCGCCTCCGCGACATCGCTTTCTCGCGTGTTCTCAGTCAGGACAAGAGCTGGTTTGACCGTCCCGAGAATGGCGCAGCTAAACTCACTCAAGTCATCGTGAAGGATGGCGATGACGCTCGTACATTGATTGCTGTCGTGGTAGGCCAGATTGTTGCTGTTGGCACGATGATGATAGTTGGCCTCCTCTGGGCGATGGCTTGGGGGTGGCAATTGACATTCGTTGGGCTCGCTATTGGGCCTGTGTTTGTTGGAGTCATGGGTCTTCAGACTAACCTTGTGGCAAAATGCGAGATACGCAATAAGCGGGCTCGTGAGGAGGTTGCCAGGGTGTACTACGAAGTAAGTTTTTGTCATTACCTGATGTTTCTCGTTCTTATTTGTTGTGTAGTCTGTTCTCAACGTCCGTGGCATCCGTGCTATGTCTCTTGAGCCTGTTCTTCAGGCTCAGTTCGACAAGGCTGCCTCACAGTGCCTTTCCACTGGGGTCCGCGGCGCTTTCGTTGAGGGGTGCTCTTACGGTGTCGCCAGCGCTCTCATCTACTTAGCAGAGGCCCTTCTTTTCTACGTTGGCGCTGTGCTGATCGCCAGAGGCACGTACACATACCTCCAGATGTGTCAAGTCCTCAACCTTGTCGTCTTCACCGTCTCCATCGGCTCCCAACTCATGTCCTTTACTCAAAAGATTGCCAAGTCCGTTTTGGCCACGCACGATTTGCACGAGCTCATCAAGCTAGACACGACGAGCTCCGAGTCTCAGGGTATCCTCCGTCCGAGGATCGAGGGCGATCTTATCTTCAACAATGTATCATTCTCTTACCCCACCAACCCTGATGTCTCTGTCTTGAATAAGATGTCGATGCGCATTGCAGATGGAGAGTGCGTAGCGATTGTAGGTGCTTCTGGATGTGGCAAGTCAACCATTGCGTCGCTCCTCCAACGCCTCTACGAGCCTACTTCGGGCACCATTTCGGTGGGCCTCAATGAACTCCGTGCAACGGATATCAACTATCTTCGTGACCATGTTGCCGTCGTCAGCCAAACCCCCAACCTCTTCGACGCCAGCATCCGAGAAAACGTTGCCTACGGACGAGTCGGCGAGGACAATGGAATGAGCGATGCAGACGTCGAGCGCGCTGCTCGTGCAGCGAACGTCCACGAATTCGTGATGTCATTGCCACAGGGCTATGACACACTCATCGGGGAGAACGCGTCTCTCATCTCAGGTGGACAAGCGCAACGTTTGCAAGTCGCACGCGCACTCGCACGACCTGCCAAGATCCTAATTTTGGACGAGTGTACTTCAGCGCTCGATCCTGCCAACCAGACGGCTGTCCTGGAGACAATACGAGCTGCGAAGGTTGGGCGGACCACTATCATGGTGACACACAAGGTTCCCGTGATGAAGATGTGCGACCGTATTCTTGTCGTCGAGGATGGCCAGGTGCGCGAGCAAGGCACGTATGAGAGTCTCGTGGAGGGCAAAGGCCTCTTCGCCAGACTTGCGAATGGCGGTGAATGGGTTAGCGAGTAAAGGCTCGCTAGCTGCTGTATTTGTTTCTTTTTGCCATTGCATTCTCTTGTGTTCTAACGGCTATGATAACTTACTGCCGTGATAGCTATACCTTCGACCTTCACTGTATTTTTTTGTTTGTTCTCTCTTCATCTGCTTTATTGACTGGGCACAAATGACATTTCACGACTACGCATTTGTAGTACTACCACAATCATTTATTTACTCATCTGTACTGTAGTTACTATCAAAGGATTTACATGTTGTACAGTACATTGGCTAGCTACGTTGCAATAGAGTGAAGCTGCCGTAGTGATTCTGACCTGTTCCGAAATTTCCAAATCGAATGATATGTAACTCCCCTTCATGTCTTCCTCATCTGTCACAAATTCCTCCGCAGCGGATGAAACTCTGCGCGCTCAAATTTTCCAGAGACTACACCCTCGCGTTTATCTCGAAAGGTTTATTGCCGAGAAAATCAGGCCAGATGGACGGACGTTCGATGAGTGGCGCAACGTTTCTGTGAATGTCGGTACGTGATTTATCCAACTTTTTGGTGCTTACGCCATGATGTGCTTGCTGCAGGATCCATATCAACGGCTGATGGTTCTGCTCTTGTGCGTATGGGAGACACCACGATTGTTTGTGGCGTCAAGGCAGAAATCGCAGAACCCGAGCTCGATCACCCTGAACAAGGTTTTTTAGGTGATTCTGCCACTCCTTCCTTCTACACACAACAGCAGGAGCTGATTGGTTCAAAATTTGCGTAGTACCCAATATCGATTTGCCTGCAATCTGTTCTCCAAAATTCAAACCAGGTCCTCCGACAGAAGAAGCTCAAGTCCTTTCTGATAGACTAAACGAAGCTCTCGTCGCGTAGGTCATCGCGCTATGTGTTTGTTTGGCTTTGAACTCTTGTCTTTTCTTCTTTCCTGACACAGCTCAGGCGTGCTTTCATTATCTTCGTTGTGCATCCACCCCGGACAAGCCGTTTGGACGCTCTATGTGGACTGTACATGTATAAATTATGATGGGAATGCGTTTGACGCTGCACTGCTGGCCATGTTGGGCGCCCTCAGAAGTAGTGAGTTCAACGTGCTAGAGGCATGCCACATAATTGATGACACGAGCTAGCTACGCTGCCTAAAGCCACCTACAACGAAGAAACTGGGCGCACGACGTGTTCGCGGAAAACTCGATCGCCGGTACAATTGACTCGAAATTTTGCTTCGTCGTCTTTTGGAGTGTTAGACACGTACGTTCTCTTTTCGCTCTTTCAAAGTTATGCACTGATCCTCTACTCCCAGATCGCACGTTCTCTCAGATCCCACTGCATTCGAAGAGCCCCTGATGGACGTCACGCTGACGGTTATCGTAGATGACCGAGGAGAGCTTATCAGTACTACTGAGTCAGGCGGTGCAATCTCGGAAGAGACGTTGTTGCGGTGCATTAATAGAGCGAAAGAAAGAGCATTGCAGCTCAAAGACTGATGGTACATGAGTCTGTGTGGAGACAGTTGTGAGTGAAGAATTTGACTCTTGTTGGCGTAGCCCTGCCATGATATATGAGGCGACAGCACCTTCACGACAGGAGGGCACCATCAATGGTCACGGATGTATAGTCGTTCCGTTACCGACGTCCTCGTGTGTTTTCGAACATCCGAACTTCGTCGCCGCCGATCTCAGTACTACCGTATATGAGTTGTCAACGATTTTCTCGCAATAAATCACGCTGGATTTATCATCTTATTACATTCTCCCGCTTTTTACTATTAGCATCTGCCGCGGACTGGCGGGCATGGTTTGGTGTGAGTATACATTATCATAACGGCGATCATAGTGATAGTTGATCCACGCGGTCCACCACGAGTCTGACCTCATCATCAATTTTTCCGTGGCCCGAGTGGTAACGGCGGCCCTTCAGGCCATCAGGGTTGGCTCAATACATGACTATTCGTCAGTCGGTTTTGCTTTGGGAGACTGGCCCCTTGACGATTCATTCGTGATGAGTCTGCCCAGATCTTGACTTAAATGCTCTCCCGCGCTGCGTCGGCGTAGGGATTCAGTGTCGGACAAAGGACCACTAAACTCACCCCATGGTTTGAAATTTGATGTGAGTATTTTCTTGATGAGAGTTTATAAGTGCGGCGAGCGATGGCGGGCATATAACATTACTCCCTCACTGAACATCACACCAATGCGGCCATATTTGACACACTTTGCAGTGCTTTACGCATTTCTGGCCAGCTTTGGTGTAGAGATTCATGCCCTCTCCCCGAACTATTCTGCATGCCAATTACAACAGAATGCCCCCTTGACTGGGTGCCCAGATGGAACGCTGTTTGTGTCACCCACAGATAGCAGAGCACATTTTAAAACTGTCCAAGCTGCTGTGGAGTCCCTGTGGGTACCAGCCAGAATTTGTCCTGTTTCATGTCTTGATATTCACAGACCAGAGACGGGCGACGCAATAATTCTGATTGGAGCGGGAGAATACTTTGAAAAGGTCAATGTTACGCGGTCCGCGCCACTCACTCTTCTGGTATTTGTTATTTTATCTGTGAAGTTTAATTACCAAGACATTTGTGTATAGGGCCAACTTGATCCTAACACTGCTCGCGACCCAGCGGGAAATGCTTCTCAGCGCAACCTTGTTCACATTTGGTACAATTTATACGTCCTGCCTGGGATGACAGACCAGGACACTTCAACTCTCACCGTTGCACCTCTCCCTGGACAACAGTCAGGTAACACTGACTTCAAGGCGTATAATATCGACTTCGAAAATCGTGCTGTAAGCTTTGAGGTCTTTCTTGACGCACATCTGTACAATCTTAGCGATTCAGGCCAAGTACTCGATTTCTCAAGCTCTCGCTGGCTCCTTCATGTATTCAAATGCTTCCTTCTATGGCTGCACCTTTGCCGGCTGGCAGGATACATGGTACACTGGTGTCAACGCATACTCATATGCTTTTGACACCATAATATACGGTCAAACTGATTGTGAGTTATGTGACGTTGATTCATGTGCGTTGCAGTTGCTAACACTGTGATGAGATCTTTTCGGATCTGGAATGGCGTAAGGATGCATCAATTTATGTATAAACACCCTGAGTAACTATTGGAATAGCTGGTTCCAAAACGTCATTCTGGCCAATCGAGCTTGTGGTGGTGGTATCGTAGCATGGGTAGGTACAGAAGGCACCAGGAATGGTGCATTCATTGCCGATTCGAAAATCATTCGGGTCAGTTTTTTCTTTTCTAGTGATCACTTGATCTGATTTTTTTTCACTATTCAGTCCCCAGATGCAAACAGCACCACCGTCACTGATAGCCGATGCTACCTCGGTAAGCTAGAAATGGAGAACACACTTTAATTGTAGTACTAAGGTCACTTTCTTCTCTATCTAGGACGCCCGTGGAATCCCCTGGCTATCACCGTATATTTGCGCACATATATGGATGAGAGCATTCATCCTAATGGTTTCACACACTGGTCCGGAAAGTAAGCACGATTGCAAGATAATGACACCGATCTCTAACTTATTTATGACAGAACGTCTGTTTCAAGCACTACATACTTCGCAGAGTATCGTTCGTCTGGTAAGCCTTGTGCCTTATGCTGCCGGTGTCGGATCCTTATGTCGCTTGCAGGTCCTGGAGGGAACACGTCGAAACGTTTACCCCAAGAGTATATCTTGACCGACGCGCAGGTGAATGAGAAATTCACACTGGAGTCAGTGTTCGCTGGTACACCAACGTGGATTGACTTTGAATATGTGGCGTAAGCGGGGTAGCTGCAGTGTTTAGCGGCGTTTAGAGTGGAGTTTGCCGGTAGAGAGTTATAAGTTTAGAGTGCGTTGTGTGGGAAGAGCAATCCATCGGATCCCATCCTTCCTCGAGTTTGAGCATCCGGTGCGAGAGCAGGCATAGCCCACTCCAGTGTATTAATGGATGTTGCCATGCTGTTCGTACTTCCAATGCTTGGATCTACGTTTTATTGCTCTGTATCGCTAGACTTTTGCGAGTCGTGAGCTATTTACCTTAGATGATTGCCCGACCGGCCGAGTCGTACCGTATTACAACAGCCGTCCATCATGATGCGCACTGTCCTTCGTCGCAGCCAGAGTCCAGGAAGAAAGGCAGTGTTGAGCAGTAAGAAACTGAAGTATATTTGTTCATCGAGATGGCGACTAATACTATTCCCGGCCGTCGCTGATTTCTCTTGCGATGGTGAGTTGGTGGCTTGATGTTGATGATTGATCATAAAGATGCCCACTGGCAACTGATTCGAGTGAGTGCTGTACATTCCTTGCTAAAGTCAACAGTAGATTTTCATCCGCATACCCTCGAGGTTCAGAAGCCCCCTGTCCTCCATTACTAAGAGGTCGGCTGAAGAAAAATGGACATGAGCGCATTTACCTATTCGAGCGCCAAAACCCATTTCCTTACATATGGTACATGGATAGAACGAAATAATTTCTACTTGATTCCTACTGCAAGCACCGGATCACGCAGTGATTATACAGAACCCAGATTGGTGAACAATGACTATACATGTTTGAAGGAGTAGATTTCCAGAAGACAAGGTCCTCAGAAGAAGAAAAAGCAAGGGGATCGGAGACAAATTCCTATACATATGATATCTTCAATCCATACGCCCATTTGTCGTCATCATCTCTGTCAGCTTCGCAACTTTCATTCGGGGAATAAGTTCAATTTCAAATGGCGCTGCATGAGCAATAACCGCATCACTGAAAGCGTGTGTGTTGATTGGGGCGCCAGGTCGTTGAGCAATGCGGAAAGACCACAAGAGAAGGGCGAGGTTAATGTACAATGAGTGATTTGCGAGGTGCATGCCGGGACATACACTTTCAATGGCACATGAACCTCATTGATCAGTGTCGAAAAAGGTAGGCACGACTTACCGTCTACCAAAGCCATATACGATGAACTTCATATCATCCTTAAGACGGCCTTCTGAATCAAGCCAACGCTGGGGATTGAAAACATCAGGATCTGGGAAGGCGATCGGATCACGAGAAAGAGTCCTGAAAAGTACGCTCAGTGAAGCGATGTACACCGCGAAGCAGCACCTTACCAATGGCACCCATAGACTATTGCACCCTTTGGAATGCAGTATCCTTGCTTATCACACACAGACTAGAATTAGAACGTGGATTATAACGAATTCGAATTCAAGACACTGACCCAAAAAATATCTTTAGTTGCACGGTGGGGAAATCCTGAGGCGCATGTCAGCATCGTGCAGGAATGTGCCGAATTTGAAACTCACCTATACGGACGATAGGTCTCCATCTCAAGGCTTCCAACAAGAACGCATGTAATTGAGGGAGCGAGCTCGAGTCTTGAAACGTCGGCGCTACCACACAAAATTGATCAAAAAAATCAACCTCTTCATACCCCTTTGGCATACCTCTGTCTGACCCGATGACCATATCGAGCTCTTCATGTACTTTTGCCTGAGCCAATGGATGGCACGCCGCAGCCATGATGATAGCGGTTATTCCAACAGCGGTCTCAACAAAAAATGAGTAAGCTCGCGGAGATGATAAGTTACCCGACTTGCTGTATCAGATCCCGCCGCAAAGAGTGTTCCGGCAAGATACGACATCTCATCTGTAGAGAGTTGGTGTCCTTCTGTGTTCTCCAAAAGTGTCTTGGTAAAAGATGAGCCAGCTATGTTTTGATCCTGGGTACAACATGACATAAGTGACATGCGTTTATTGAGACAGAGAGCTCCTCACCACTTCACTCTTGACGCGGCTTAGTTGATGCCTATAGAACTCTAGCTCCTCATTATGCCACTCATAAAGTTGTTTTCCGTAACCGGGCAAGTAGCGCAAAAGGGGTACACGATCGACGAGATAAGCTCCTGGGCGAATTGCAACCTGGAAACGTTCAGTGATTCTGCGGATACGGACAATTTCGGGATCGGTGTTGGCAGTAGGCGCAGACTTTCCATAAGCCACCCGAAGAATGACTGATACTGCATACCTTGGGCACCATATCTATGAAAAGATCACAAAAGGTCTTGATAATAACGTACCGATGTGCGTGCTTCTGGTGGCTCTTCGGGTCATTCACCATGTCTAATATAAAATCCATCGCGTGCTCGCGCTGCATATCTTGGTATGTCTCTGCTGCTTTTGGTTGTAGATGGGTGTGTACTGCTTTTCGAAGGCGTCGTAATCGATCTCCGTAACGAGCCAGGACTACACGCATTCCATTTGAGAGCATCTCACCCGCGGCAATCGACCGGGGTCGATCTACCAGTGACGCACCCTCTTTCTCCATGATGTCTATGGCTGCCTAGTAAGGGGACCGATGTCTGGTCAGTGTCGGAGGAAGCTCAAGGTATGGGCAATATACCTCAATGCTGCCAATAACGATTATCACTTGACTACCTTGTCGGAACGACACAATTGGTCCATATTCTCGAACCATGTCTGTCAGTGTATGGCAAATGCTGAGTGGATGATCTGCATCAGCTCCTGATACCTCGGATAGAAACTCACTTCACAGCAGGTAAGGCATTGCACCAGAACCAACGGGCGGGAGGCCCGGGAGGAAGCGGGATGCCCTTCCTACCCGCTAAGGGGGACATCTTATAAAACATGACGAGTAACACTACGAATGCGGCTGCGACGACACCAGCAGCATAGTTGGCACTTGTGACGAAAGTTTCCATCCTCACAATGTCAAGTGGGATGAAATAAGATAGCAGGAATGAGAATTAGATGTCTGAATGATATTAAATGTGCGTCTGAATCGGTCTGATGAGCTGTACTTATCCGATTCGGTGCCCAACATCTTATGATGATACTAGTGACCTGGCACGCAACCAGTTAGAAGTCACTAGTCCGGGCCGACACCCGATTGACTACACGAGTTCTCAAATATCGGACTCGTGACCAGCCCGTCTATGAGGCAAGCCGTCAATAGACGGACTGATAAAACTGTTTGCCAGCTGCCGCTGAGCGGATTGAAGATTCTCGTGATAACGTTAACCTAACCTCCGGCCAATGAAAAAACAAGACTTTTCAACTTACCTTGCTTGGGGCCCACAACATGCGTTAGTAGAAGTTTAGAAGGCTAGAAGAAAGACAAATTCAATAGTATCCCTACAAGTACATGACTGTTTACTTGCCGAATTTCAGCTACCTTCATATCGATCGGATTTCTGTTCGAGCTGGACAAACAAAAGGGTCCCGCCTATTACGATACTAGATACCCCAGAATGGCACTAGACTTGCGCAGCTTTCTCATTTTCGGACACCATTCTCACCATATATGGTTGGAAACCGCCGTCACATTCCAGCAGCCGCCGTAAAGCACCAATGGGTCACTATGTCTGCCCAAATGTCATCCAACCGCCGAACTATCAACCGAGTTCTTCGGCTCTGTTGTCAGAATGCAGCTACAAGAATTGTTACTTGATATCTACTGTACAGCTAGACATTGGTATTGATACTCATCGATGCTCCTTCAAATTTCAACGCTCTGCTCCCTTGCTTTGCCTTTCCTCGGCTGCCGAATCCGTCGATATTGCGCAGTCTAATACCATTCTGGGGTATCTCGCTCGACGAAGTATCGGTGAATGAACAAAAATGGATTCTGGCCGATGGATGTGAAGTAGCTGTTACAGTCCGCTCGGCAGACGCGAACGTCCGAACAGCCTGCTAAAATTCAATGTCCGACGTCGGCAGTGGCGGCGAGTGACCACATACTTATGACGTAGACTAGATACGGATGCTCACTTGGAAGAATGTGTGGAACGTGCTAAATGAAGTAGCTTATAATTAGGAATTGGTGCAAAATTGATCGCAGCAAACGAAAATAACGAAATGGTGGGAGTGCGCGCGAGGACATACTCGGAGCAAGAATTTGAAATTGTCAAAAAGATCTGGGCCTTGCTGGGAATCGAACCCAGGCCACTTGCACTTGTGATCACCCAAAGCAAGTATCGTACCTCTAGACTACAAGGCCTTGATGTATGTCCAGATATGATGACCCATATTGTTCAGGCAACAGACATGGCCTCGGCTGACATTGGGCTGACATTGACCAGTTATGTTAAAGTCATATCGTTTTGTACGGGGCTTTGACTCCAATATTCTTCTCTTTAATGATCAGCACTGTCTATATCATGCACTCCTTAAACCCTTCCACTCTTTTAGCTTCTAGATCGCTTCGTACTACACTTTCGCCTGCGCGTCCTTCGAGCTTCGATGAACTGGCGGAAATTGTGAGAGAGTACGAGGCCAATGAGAAGGAGGTCATGGCGAAAGCTGTAGCGCATCCAATCGTACAACCCATACCCTTGCGTCGGCCGAACGTCATGTCTCTCGCGCACATCTTGTGCTCCGATCCTGGAGTTATTCCGGATCAAGCAACAGTAGAAGAGAACAAGGACAACGTTTCTGCGCCATCATCGCAGTACACTGGCATAGAGGTGTCAAGTTGGGATGAGCCTGCTGGTAAGTACTTTGTAGGTCGTGAAGGATGCACTTATCAAGAAGCCACCGCTAGCACCCTTCGAGGATATGGATGTTTACCTCAACTACTTTGATGAAGATGGGGAAGACATCGCTCAGCCAGATTCACCAGTACAGTGGAATGCCTCTCCGATGCTTGGATGGATACCTCCCAGTGGTTGCGAAGACATCGAGGTCGGTCACGAGGATCTGACGTACTCTTCAAGAATTCCAAATTCAACCTTGCACCGCGTTCCCCGGGCATCTGATGAACCGGTGCATGTCAATCCGTACCCAGCCACGCGGCCAGCAGACGTGAGAGCCGCATCAAATCAATCAACACATCCCCCTGCACAGCTTCCACGAACACGAGTCGTACTGGCCCCAAGTCAACGCACAGGAGCGAAGAGCAAGAGCAGAGACCGTAAAGCCAATTTGCGGGTGTCTTGTGGGTACGGGCAACCGCCGAGGGGTGGGATTCCTCCTGCGCTGGCTCGAGATGTGACGAAGTCTCATGCGCTACGCGCTGAACAGGAACATAAGCGCATGCGTGCTGCAGCTGCGAGAGCTGGTGAAGGGAGGAAGCCCAGTGTGCTGCAGAGGGCCAGTGCGGAGACTGAGGATGGGATGGCGGGGATCTGCTAGTCACTGCCCCTCTACGGATATTGATGGTCCACATGGTGTCTGTTACAGAAACTCTATTTGAGAGAGACTTGAATCAAATATTTTTATGGTCCTGCGCACTGCAATGATTAGTAGTTCACTACCCACGACGACGACAACTTTGAAGCAATTATTCTAGTCTGTGTGATACCATGTCGCCATGTGAGTTGAGCAGTGCCCGTCGTGAGAAAACCCGAAACCATAGGCTAGCTGGAAATAGGACACTTTCCCTTTGCTCAGCTACAAACCGTTCAACGGGTCTCATTCGCTTCTTTCCCTGCTCCATCCACCTCGTCTTTCTCTGTGTCTGCCAGAGCATTTCTTTCCTTTCTTTCCTACCCAATTCTTCTTACTTCCTTCCCTAGCAGGGTAATTGCTTAACAACGCGCTCGCCATGAGCCGCCCGTCTGCTGGCATGTCACTCCACCAGAGGCTTGAGGCCGCCAGCGACCTCTCTGGCTTGTCTTCCATATCAGAGGATCTCATTGTCTCATGTCTTCGTGAGCGTTTCATGTCTGAATCAATTTACACCAACATCGGTACAAATTCCCTCGTCGCCGTGAACCCTCACAAGTATGTCTCTTCCAACGGCGACTCCGTCCTTCAAAAATATGCCTCAGACTATCGCGACACAACGGAAAACAAGTCTCCATTAGCACCTCATATTTTTCAGCTCGCAAATAATGCCTACTACCACATGAAACGAACTGCCCAGGACCAGTCTATTCTCATCGGGTAAGTAACCCCATCAACACATGCATTGCATCATCTAAAATAAAACTGCTTTCATTATAGTGGCGAGACTGGCAGCGGAAAATCAGAGAACCGTAGACTCGCCATAAAGACCATTCTTGAGCTTTCCGTCTCCAATCCAGGAAAGAAAGGCTCCAAACTCGCTACCCAATTACCCGCCGCAGAGTTTGTCATCGAGTCTTTTGGTAACGCCCGCACTTTGTTCAACCCGAATGCTTCTCGCTTCGGGAAATACACAGAGTTGCAGTTCACTGACCGTGGGCGCTTATCCGGTGTTAAGACCCTCGACTATTACCTCGAGCGTAACCGCGTATCTTCCGTGCCATCCGGAGAGCGCAACTTCCACATCTTCTACTACCTCGTGGCAGGTGCAACTCAGGAAGAGCGCCAGCACCTCCACCTCTTGGATAAAACTCAGTACCGTTATCTCGGTCAGCGTGGTGCTATCCCAGCACGCCAAAACGGTGTTCGGGATGATGACGCCAACCGCTTTGAGCAGCTCAAGGTCGCTCTCAAGACAATTGGCTTGTCCAAGCGACACGTCGCTCAAACTTGCCAACTTCTCGCTGCCATTCTCCACCTCGGCAATCTTGAGTTCACCGTTGACCGTGGTCGTGACGTTGACGCTGCTGTCGTGCGTAACACAGATGTCCTTGGCATTGTTGCCGAATTCTTGGGTGTCCAAGCGGGTGCTTTGGAGGGCGCAATGTCGTACAAGACTAAGCTTGTAAAGAAGGAGCTCTGCACCGTCTTCCTTGACCCCGATGGTGCATCTGATAACCGAGATGACCTCGCAAAAACGCTATATTCTCTTCTCTTCGCATGGTTGAACGAGCATATCAACCAGCGGCTGTGCCGTGAAGACTTTGACACATTCATTGGCCTTTTCGACCTCCCCGGACCACAGAACATGACCAGTCGCCCCAACTCCCTTGATCAATTCTGCATCAACTTTGCCAATGAACGCTTGCAGCACTTCGTCCAGAAACGTATCTTTGAGGCTCACGTGGACGAATATCAGAACGAGGGTATCTCACGTTTTGTTCCCACTGTCTCCTACTTCGACAACTCTGAGTGCGTGCGGCTACTTCAAAACAAGCCGGGTGGTCTTATCCACATCATGGATGATCAGGCTCGCCGCTCGCATAAGAAGACTGATCACTCGATGGTGGAAGCCTTTGGCAAGCGCTGGGGCAACCACTCGTCGTTCAAAGTCGGTGTCATAGATCGTTCTGGTTTCCCCACGTTCACCGTCAATCACTTCAACGGCCCCGTCGCCTACTCCGCTGAAGGCTTCTTGGACCGTAACCTCGATGCTCTTAACCCTGATTTCGTTTCCCTTCTTCGTGGCTCAGCTTCCGGCATTTCTGATGGCGCGGAGGGTGCTGGATCAATGAACCCCTTCGTCAAAGGCCTCTTCTCGGGCAAGGCTATTGCAACACAAGCCCACCCTAAAAATGAAGATACCATTGTTGCTGCCCAGCAGCCCGTCAAGCCCATGCGTGCTCCCTCCACTCGCCGCAAGGGCACAATCAAGCGCATGCCCACGCTGCGGGAAAATGGCGTCGATGAACAGGATCGGGAAGATGACGATATCACTGCGTCCGCTGGGAGTGGCACACCTTGTGTCGCAGGCGAGTTCCGTTCTGCGCTCGACACGCTCTTCGAGACTCTAGGAGACACGCAGAACTGGTACGTATTCTGCATTAACCCGAATGATTCGCAGCTACCCAACCAGCTCGAGGGTCGGTCTGTCAAGGGCCAGGTGCGCAGTCTGGGCTTAGCGGAGATCGCGAAGCGCAATGTGAATGTGTTTGAGGTGGGGATGACGCCGGAAGAATTTTGTCAGAGGTATAGGGATCCGATTTTGGTTTTGGGCATTTCGGAGGGAACTCCGAGGGAGCGTGTTGAGCAGGCGCGGACTGCGTTATCGTTGAAGGAGCGGGATGTTGTCCTTGGGCAATATAAGGTAAGCGAATTGAATACGCAGCTCAGGCACGTGTTAAATATATTTCTAGGTCTTCCTATCACAAACGGCGTTCCACTCGCTCGAGGACCGTATTCGTGCATCGGATGTTGAGGAACAGAAGCGCAACCGTGTTCGTGATGCTGAGGCTGAGGCTGGACTTGATATCCGTGGCTTCGGCGACCCTTATGCTCCTTACCATTCACCTGGTGCTAATAATGGTGAGGACTCGCCGTTCGCCAACGCCTTCTCGGACCCTGCTCTTCCTCTCGTCTCCAATGCATCCCCCTTCCAGCGCGCTGATCTGTATGAAGACGAGTACGACGAGCGCAAGTCTTTCCGTAGCGACGACTTTGACAACCGCAGCCGCCTCACAAGTCACCGAGACGACTCAAACTCCAACTACGGCACTGAATCCTATGCGCCCTCTCGCAACATGTTCCAGAACGCGGACAAGGAGGGTCTCATGGTGAAAGAAGCACTGCCTGGTGAGATCGGAGACGGCGAGACGACTGAAGTGCTTAAAGAATCTTCTGCGCGTCGTCGCTGGGTCGCGTTGTGCTGGGCTCTGACATGGTGGATGCCCTCTCTCTTCCTTAAGTGGATCGGCCGGATGAAGCGTGAAGATATCCGACAAGCATGGAGAGAAAAGCTCGCAATCAATTTCATCATCTGGTTCTTCTGTTCATGCGCTATTTTCATCATCGTCTTCCTGGGTGAGATCATTTGCCCTACGGAGCATGTTTTCAGCACTTCCGAATTGGCGTCACATTCATATACGGCTTCACCAAATAACGTGTATACCTCGATTCGGGGGGAGGTGTTCGATCTTACGACTGTTGCGTCCACGCATCAGCGCGTTGTCAGTGTTGTGCCTGTCAAGACGATCCTTCAGACGTATGGCGGTACTGCATCAGACGCGATCTTCCCTGTTCAGGTCAGAAGGATTCGTTCACGAGTTGATTCTTTCTAACCAATTTTCAGGTCTCTGCATTGTGTAATGGCGTGACTGGCACCGTCAGCCCATACGTTACCCTCAGCTCTGCCAATGACACCGATCCTAATGCTGTTTACCACGACTTCCGCGCTTACACCAACGATTCCCGTCCAGATTGGTACTTTGAGAGTATGACCATTATGCGATGGAACAACCGCGTCGGATACATGGGTTACACACCACAGGAGATCAGTGACATGGCCAACACTGGTTATTCGCTCGGCATCTACAACGATATGATCTACGACCTTACGTCCTACGTTAACTTCGGACCTGCCGTTGAAGCTCCATATGGCGAGCAGCTTCCTACGGGCATCGACACTCAATTCATGGACACATCTGTCGTCGACCTTTTCAAGTACAACTCAGGTCAGGACCTGACGAAGCAACTTGATTCTCTCAATCTTAATAGTGCTTTGCTGGAGAGCCAACTTACCTGTCTCCGCAACTTGTTTTTGATCGGTATGGTGGACAACCGTAATTCGCCACAGTGCCAATTCGCAGAGGGTATCTTGCTCGCACTGTCAATTTTGATGGTCAGCATCATCGGATTCAAGTTCATCGCTTCCATCAACTTTGCGTCTCCTCGTGCGCCCGAAGACCACGACAAGTTCGTTATCTGCCAGGTTCCTTGTTATACAGAAGGCGAGACTTCATTGCGGAAAACCATCGACTCGCTGGCGCAGCTCAAATATGACGACAAGCGGAAACTTATTCTTGTTATCTGTGATGGGAATATCGTTGGTTCTGGGAATGACCGTCCCACGCCGCGCATCGTGCTTGACATCCTAGGAGCTGATCCTAATCTCGACCCCGAGCCACTCAGTTTCGTTTCGTTGGGTGAGGGTGCGAGGCAGCATAACATGGGCAAGGTCTACTCTGGTCTGTATGAGTGCGCTGGGCACGTCGTTCCTTACTTGGTCGTGGTGAAGATAGGCAAGCCATCTGAGCGTTCACGGCCTGGTAACCGTGGCAAGCGTGACTCTCAAATGGTGATCATGCACTTCCTGAATAAGGTGAGGGTCTTTCATAGAACGATGGATTTAGCGCTTATACTCGAGCTGCGCAGGTTCACTTTAGTACGCCCATGAACCCACTCGAGCTGGAGATGTACCACCAGATCAAGAATGTGATCGGTGTCAACCCGACGTTCTTTGAGTATCTGTTTACGGTCGATGCTGATACGACGGTGGAGCCCTATTCTGTCAACAGGTTGATCTCTGCGTAAGTCGTTGTTCGCCACTATGGGATTTTGGGTTAATGTCTGTTTTTCTGTAGGTGTATTCATGACAAGAAGGTGCTTGGTGTTTGCGGTGAGACTGAGCTAGCGAACGCGAAGCAGTCAATCATCACCATGATGCAGGCAAGTTTGTTTTAGATTTATGAAGTGGTTGGAAATTCTAATGAATGTCTAGGTCTACGAGTACTTCATCTCGCATCACATGGCTAAGGCTTTCG